GTAGGTGTAACAAAATTTAAAACAATATTATTAATAAATAATATAAATTTATAAAATAATATTTTTAAAATATATTCCTATAAAGAAAATTTTAATTTTATTATTAAAAAATCATCCAATTTAAAATTAAAAATAAATATTAAATTATTAAAAAAAATAATCAAATTTTCTAAATATTCTATTAAATTTAATTAAGTCACCAATTCATAATAGTTTTATATTATTAAATCATTTTTAAAATTTATTACATTTTTTTTCTATCTTCACTTTTTTTAAATCCATAATAAAAATTTTAATAATAATTTTTTTAATATTTTAATTATATTTTTTTTATAAAAATTCCAATTACATTTACAATTCTTTAAAAATTTTAAAAAAAAAAAGGTTTTTTAATTAAAAATTAATAAAATTTCCTTTCCCACCATTAATAAAATCAATATTCATTTATTCAATAAATATATTTAATATTACTAATAAATTATCAATATTTATACTAAATTTTTTTATATATTTATTATATATATTTTTTTATAATCTTTTTATAAATTATATTTAAATATTTAATTTAATTATTATAATTTCGTTTTAAAATCCTAATAATCTATAAATTTTAATAAACTTTTCATTTTTTTTTATATTAATTCTATTTTATAATTTAAAACTAAAACTTACTTAATTTATTAATAATTTAATTTATATTATAACATATCTAATTATTTTTTAATTTATAAATTATATTAAAATTTCAAAAAAATCATAAAAATTTTTTTAATTTTTATTATTTATATTTATATTTAATAAATTATAACTTTTTAATATATACTACTTTTTTTCAAAAATTAAATTAATCAAAGTATTACACCTATCCCAAAATTTTTTAATAAAATTTTTTAAAACAATTTAACACTCTACTATATTTCTTAACTTTATATATTCAGATCTTTTAAAAAGTAATATAATATTCAAAGTAAAAATATAAAATTATATAAATAAAAAATATAATATAATAATTAATTATAAAATTAAATATTATTTAAATAAATTATAAACTAAATTAATAAATTAATTAATAAAATCTAAAAATAAACCTAAAAACTATTATTATTTAAAGATTTATATATATAAAGAAATTTTTTATAAAACTTCAAAATATAACAAACAATTAATTATAAATAATATCAAAATTATAAATATTTATAAGGCTATAAATGTTTACAACTATTCTAATTATTAATATTTAAACCTTAATATTAAACTATATATATATAACTAAATAGTTTAATTGTTAATATTTTTGATTATTCCAAAAAAACAAATATATATTATTTTGGATAATATAAAATATATAAATACAAAATAAAAAATATATTTTTTTAAACAGAAAAATTTAAGAAATTATATAAAGAATAATTTTGTAAATAAAATAGAAGTAAGAAACAGAAGCATATTTGTTGCGCCAAGTCTTATTTTCTAATCCGGTTAGTCAATATAGCTGGGCCATGACAATTAATTAAAGTGTTATATTTGTTTTAGGATTTTTTAATTAGGTTTTTTGAAATAGTTTAGTATTTTATTATATTTTTTAATTCTATATATTTAGATTTTTTAGAGGGTAATATAATATTTAAGGTAAAAATATAAAGTTATATAAATAGAAAGTGTAATATAGTAATTAATTATAAAATTAAATATTATTTAAGTAAGTTATAAATTAAATTAATAAATTAACTAATAAAATTTTAAAATAAATTAAAAATTGTTATTGTTTAAAGATTTTTAAATATATAATAAAGTTTTCTATAAATAAATAATTAGATATATAACAAATATTTAATTAATTTGTTAATATTATTGATAGTCGATTAATTGATATATTTGATAAAAAAAAATTTGGTGTTGAATATTGTATAATGGGTTAATATTAAACATTTTTGCTTATTAATTAAAATAAGAAATATGTTGTTTTATAATATATTTGTATATAAAGTAGAAAATAGATATATAAATTCTTAATCTAAAGAATTTAAATAATTATAACTAAAAATATTCTTATAAAATAAAGAAAAGTAGAAACAAGAAGTATGTTTATCGTACCAAAACATATTTCCTAATCGGATTAATCAATATGGCTGGGCTGTGACATAATTACTATATTATACTTTTTATTTATATAACTTTATATCTTTACCCCGAATATTATACTACCCTCTAAGAGATTTGAATATATAGAATTAAGAAACACAACAAAATACTAAGCTGTTTTAGGAAACCTTGTTAAGGAATCCTAGGATAGGTGTAATAATATCTTTAAATTAAAAAAATGTTCTACTACAATTACATAAAAAATAATAACAAAAAAAAGATTTAAAATAAAAAATTAATTTTTATACTTAAAATATTGATTTAATATATTTTATAATACTTAAAACTCAAAATAAATTAATATATTAAATTACCATATAAATGTTTTTATTTTTAATAAATCCATAAAACTTTACAACAATTTTTAAATAAACTTAAAATTTTTTTAAAAAACTATATAAAACAATTTATTATTATTTTTAAATTCACCAAAACAATTTAAACTTAAAATTTCAAGTCCATAAATCCATGCAAAACATTGATAAAGTTATTAAACCACTCCAAACCACTCCATCCTCACACTATTAACTCTTGAGGGCATATCTTGCAAATGTTGATAACTCTAGGAGATAAAACAGATATTTAATTATAGGCCCAATAATTTATAACTCTTACCTTAGCTGCGTGGTTAGGCTCGAGGCAACTTCTGGAGCTTAGGTTCGTCTTACAAATAGTCTCGACAGCTAGGCCATGGGGCGATTTCGTAGACTACGGTAACCCTCACCCTTTGTATGGCTACCTATGGTGATCAAATTTGGCCCCATGATTTTAAGGCATATCCGTCGGGATAAATTCTTTGAATCTGTATGTACATACGCGTAGATATAGTTTTATCAAGATTTAATTATTGCTAAGTCAACGGAATCTGTATTTGTACCCGGAACCTGAACCCAATCTATAATTTAATTTTATTGCAGGATTTTAGTAACAGTACAGCAAGTTTTACAAAGTTTCAGAAACAAGAAAGCAATGTATTCTAATATTCCAACTGGCGGTACTGAAAGCTCATATACTAGTCTTATTTGTGGATGATCCACAAAAAAAGAGCGCTTAAGAAAAAAAAGAAGTTTGACAAAACGAGAGTCTGAACGTTCGAACTTATCTAATCCGATGCCATATTATTTTAGAGTTCGAGGATTCAGCGAGAAACATCCGCAATGCCGGTCTCTAACAAGCAAAATAGCATTTCATAGACTTTCCGACCTTTTTGAAGCATTGTGGCTGAACCGCATTGTTGCCAGTGGACGCGATTTGGTTCTGGCAATTGACATCGGAGAAGATAGCGCAGTTGGTTCCAAAGTGTCCATCACCACTAGCTTTGATACCAGTGAAACTGTCATATTTGAAACAGGCACCGCTGCAATCGGGTTTGTAGCTAAGGAAGGTACCGGTACAACCGGTTGCTCCAGTCCAGAACTTGACGCATTGACCACCGGGAAGGCCAGGGGTTCCCAAACAGTTGGCGGCGAAGACAGCGATTGGGCTGCTGGTGAGGAGAGCGAGAATGACAGCTTTGATTTGCATTTTGTAAATTGGTATATTTGTTCTGCGGTTTCAAAACTTGACTGTCAGCATCAAACTAGCTTCTAGAAATCTTAAGTCCCGACTACGAACTCTGCAAATACTAACCGCGAGAATACTCAATTAATATTTGCTTCAAATGAGCCGAAGTAGTGGATTGAAAAATGGACGTGTAGGAAGAAGTATCTGTCTGATGGTTTGCTTTGCCGTTGTAGATACTATCTAGTCTTTGAATACGTTCTTCGTCGACCCATTTATACTTTTTGATCACTCTCAAGCTGCTACGTATTTAATCAGAGCTGACACGCCAGGTACAAAACTATGGTGAAAGGATTCCACTCAATTAAGTCGAGCTCTAAACAAGAAATTATCCTCGGAATCGGCGAATCCATAACCCGGTTTACTGAACTGATATCACTTCGGAATCTCCGTGTATCCTCCTGCACCACAATACGAGGTAATATAGAAATCTGAAAGAATTGAAGCTGCTGATAACGTTTAACCGGCAGAATTCGAAAGCTAGGGTGCTAGCGAGCGAGATCAAGCTCACCGGGAATAAGTCAACTTATGCAAAGCTTGAAGCTGGGAGATAAAGCTAAGCAGGTAGTGATAAAACGTGCGCTGGTCGAAGTAATTACTGGCAATTTAAATATATGAGCCGCATATACACCCTAGTTGCTCTGAGGGTGCTCTTGCAGGTTAACTAATAGTTGGTTGCACAGCCGACCGCGTATCCACTATCCCGCACTACGTGGGGTTTTATAATGCCGGGGGTGATACTTCCCGTCCCATTTCAAAAGTGGATAGGTCATAGTATTCAAAGACCCGGATAAAATAAGTGGATTCGATTACTCAACTTGTTCCCTTCCTCTAGTCGTTTGCTTCGACGGATGAGTAATCGCTAGTGAACATCAAGGAATTTAGGCGCCACAAAAACTTGCTAGCTCAGTGCCATTTCTGGCAAACAAAATGTCAGGCCATATAGAGACGTTCCAAATTCATTAACTCCAGTGAACCATTCAGTATACTGCTCAAAAATAGGAGAATTGTGAAGCTTCATGAAGCATAATTTGCTGCAGCCTCATTCTTCCGGCTTTCACCGAAAAATAAATTGAGAAAGAGAAGTAGCAAGCCTCCGCAATCATACATCCATCCTTGCAGGCTGCAGGAAGAGGTAAAGTGGATCTCTCAACTGGTCAATCGTTGTGCTCCGCACGAACGCAACGATTTTTCAAAAGAGCTGGCTCGAAGACCCATTGACTTCAGGTAAAATAGCATAGCGCGGGCGTGGGAAGCGACCCCACTGATCGATCCGTCAACGAATCCGAGAAGTGTTGATCAAAATGTAGCCTTGGCTTCACGCTAGTTCATGCAATTGCATTGAACAGGAACCGATTCGAGCAACCCAAATTGTACTTACAAGTTTACTGCGCGTGCTCTATCACGCTTATTGACATGGGCAAAAGAAAAGGCCGATCTAAAGTATTGCCAGGTTGGTTAAGTGGGGTTAATACCTACCGCAATCGTTTCTGAGAGAATTCCTTGCCAGCTCCCACTTATGAGTCGAGTGATTTAATGGTATCCTTCAGTTTTCGAAAAGATAATGAGTATACTTTCGCCGTATATACGTATATAAAACAGATATCCTTCCTAAATTTTATATTCAACCAGAGTATGGTTAATTTATCTCATGTCTATCCAAACGAGACCAGCTACTACTGGCCGCCGTATTACAAGAAAATAAAGTCCATTCAGGAAGTCCAAGAAGAAATGGGACCTTATTTACTTAGGATCTACCATTCGGTTCCACTGAAGCCGATACGGTTTGCCTAGCACTCCTCCTTGTTCGAAGAAATTTTTACCTTCCACTCTCCGTTAATACTCTTGGATGCCGGCCTACAAAGTCAAGGAATTGTGGTATTGATACAGAACCCTACACTCACATATAATCTCCTTATCAACGAACGCCAACTTGGCTGGGCTGATACGCGGCGAATCCAGAATAGAGTTTCAGAAATTTATTTAAAAAATACCAATGAATATCCCAGAAGACCTTTTTATTTAGGAAAACTTTCCCTAAACTAACTTCTGACGGGCTGGTTTTTGTTGGACAAGCACGCGGGCACATACACATCGATGTCGGCGGTGGCGGCGGTGCTTCAAACTTCTCAAAATTAAAAGAGTTATCCGGCAAGTCGACCCCCTGATATTCACAGATAGTTCTCAAAGCCCCACAATCACTTTCTTAAGATCATCACGTTAGGCTTCAGCACATTTGACGGCTTTATTGAGAAATCCATCGGGTGGCATCGTGCACATACAATGAATATCAGTGCCGGAGCAATACGATATAGATGATACGAAGCACATAATCTAAAGCGTATAAATTAGGCAGGTATACATGCATAAAGGTTTTGAATTAGGATTATTAAACTTATAGCGCACGACGGGAGGATGCGCAACTGAGCCACAGCGAAGCCTACTCATAAAAGGCATACCAAAAGTCTCAGTATTGAATATGTGACTTCGTTAGGTTAAAAGCCGTATTGATCTGCGCAGGAGGTATCATAGATTTATCAAGATTGACGCAAAAACGCGCAGGAGGACGAAAATATGGCCTCATACAATTGGTTGCGGGACTAATTGCAGCATTCTTTCAACCTGAAAAGTACGACGTTTTTTTTTTCGAGGTTGTCCAATTGGCCTCACCCGCAAGCAAGCCAAGACACTAACTTGTTGCTGCCAAATCACGGATCGAAAATCATGAAAATGCATGGCAAGAAGGCCTCGGAGGAACCTGAAATTACCTAGTTCATATTTGAATCAGAGAAGGTTAAACTTGCATAACATTTTATCCTTTTTAGGATGCAATAAGGCTAGCTGTCCAGTCCGATCCTAGAATCCTCAAACAAGTCGTGAGATGCTGAGCTATAACTTGAATGAATGATTAGGATAATGTAGTGGCGTGTCGATTATTGGTTCCACACGTGTACATATTTTAACATATATATATATATATATATATATCGGTGAACTGGCAAAATAGTTAAGCAACTTCGTGGTTGAGAATCATGCTTTGAGAATCTAGATGACACATGCTTGAGCATCGAGGACTAGGTAAGGGTCAGATTCATGAGTTCTGCAGGTCGATACAGCTTTTCGAAAGCGATTGGTCGCTTTCTCATTAGGTACCGGTATACCAGGCCCGAGCTAGGCGTATCTCAGTAGTCTCGGTGACCTTTCTTGTGCTGTCTAAGCTGGATCCAGCGGCCGCTGTTAAGGAACACAATATGATTGGTTGAAGGGCTCCTGATACCATATTGTGGCTGTAATAAGTGGCTAGAAAATCATTCTTCCAACGACTGTGTTCAGAAAACTGTTGTGAATACAGCGCAGGTAGTCCTTATTTAGTCAACAATAACTTCCGTCCTTTTGAGCCATATTTTAATGTATTTCGTGCCAGCTAGTTGTTACACATGCTAGCGCAAATAATCGAAACTCTTATTAGATCTATACTACGGCAAATCTAAAGAGTCTCAAAAACAATATCTGAACAGCGACGACAGATCAAAACATTAAACGACTTTCAAGATTGTGTGTCAAATTAACTCTATCCATCAGCTTTGATTGAAATTTATATATTTCAATGTCCCTAAAGTCTTTGGATTTCAACGGTGCTGACGCGGACCTAAGTCCCCCTTATAAATAAAGTATAAATAGTCCCCTCCTCGCCCGTAGTTGATATCGGCGGAAACATCAGGATGATAAGCCCTTTTCCAGCCATACGGGGCGGAATCTAAATGACCCCTATAAAGCGCAACGTCGGTTATATACCCATTCGAGATCTCTTCGCTACAGATAAGATAACGATATTTGCCGCCAGCGCCTTTTGCGAGATCACCAGAACCATAATCCTCGTCAGTGATCAACAACCTAACATCGGTTATCCCCCTCCCATGAGGGTCCCTGTCAGCGTGGATAAAAACATATCTAAATTGTCACCATTAGTGAAAATCAAAGATGATAGATAGTAAGCCAGGGATTTTGCAGCGTACTCTCCCTTTTGGCCGTGGTTTATATCGGCACTTCCTCCGTTCATGCACTGAACAGCTCCATCCTCATGCTCCCTGCCATATTTAACCTTTTTGATGAAGGCAAGCGTTAGCATCTGTCTCATCTGAAGGAGCCGTATGAACCTTACCGTAAGCCCAGTGACTCTGTTGTCTGACATTTTCACAGTAATCCAACGACTTTTAACTTCCAATGTAAATGCGAAATACTCGCGGATAGCTGAATGTTAATGTGTATTTCCCCCATCATTGCAAGACGAACGGCCCCTCAAATAATATTTTTATAGTACGGAATTCGTTAAGTGCCCCGCATTGCAAAAACGAGTCGTTTTTTTCAATGAAACGCTAGCCCAGGTTCAACCGAGGTACCCACTTGGCATGCATATGCACACCATATACTAAGCTAGGGTTTCCATCAGAATATTCCACGACAAGGCGGAGTTACAAAGGTAAACTTAGGAAGGGTGAAAACAAATGGCATTACTTGATATCAGAGTAAATAAAGCTTCATCGGAAGCTACTAGGGTTGAGTGATCACGGGTGCTGGTGAGGAATTAGCTATTCGATGGATTTTGGCACAGGTGAGGAGTTAGAGAATGCGAAATGTGTTGATATTGTCGTATCTTAGGAGAATTCAAAATTGGAAATGCAACCAAGCCAACACATTTGTCAGTTGTTTCATAGGCGGAGTGTCGAGACCAAACAGTCGAAACCAGCTATCCTCGCATCGCAGGGGGTCAAATCGATAGCTGTAGTTATCAAATTTAACCTTTTCACCGCGGTGACGTATTTTAGCTTAATGACGAATCTCTAACCCACACAGCTTTAATAAGTGGCAGATAACGGCCTAGCCGGGGTGACAACTGGCCGGATTTTGGCGCAAGACTGATCTCGGACTAACAAGATTTAATGTATCGATATCCCTCTACTGAAATGCATCCAACACATACTTACTTTTCCCGTGTTTTGATACAAAACTCTAATTATTCCTCGATATTCCTGGCAATGCCGTTGCTTCCACAGTCATTTCCACTAGACCCTTTCATTTACGGAGGAAATGGTAGCTGAAGAGATTTTGAATTGGCTTCGGCTTAATCTAGTCAACGAAATCAATCAAATCAAATATCAGGCACTGGATCTACTTTTCGAACCACCCTAGCTGGCTGTCCGATAGCAACACTCCAGTCCGGGATATCCTTTGTAACAACCGACCCCGCTCCGATTGTACATCCCTTCCCGATCGTGACACCAGGCATAATAGTGGTATTGCCCCCAATCCAACAATCGTTTCCGATTATAACGGGCCTCCCATATTCTATATTATCCCTCCGTGACTGAACGCCTGTCTCGTGGGTTGCAGCGAAGATAGATACATTTGGACCAAACATGACCCTATCCCCAATCTTAACAAAGCAGATATCCAGAATTATGAGGCTATTTCGGCTCTGTTAGCTCAAGTGGACGATCAGACAAAAATAGATAACAAAACTGACCCGAAATTCGCATAAAACCTCTCGCCAATGATTATGTTACATCCATAATCAATCCTGAACGGTGGTTCGATAAAAGGGTTCTTGCCGACACTGCCGAGTACCTGCCGGAGCATGACCTCTCTTTCATCTGTGAGGGAGTCGCGGGTCGCATCCGCGGGAAAGTAGTCGTTGTACTTGTGCAGCAACTTGCGCGCGCGAAAGCGACCTTCGCAGAGCTCAGGAACCATCCCGTCGTACCTAAAAAGGAAAACGAAATAAATTATTAAAAGGTTGTCAATTAACGCGTTACCAGGAAAAGAAAATTGCCTCACAGGACTCCAGATATCATTTTCTCATACTCTTCACACCAGGGGACATTGTCCAGCGTCCGGGCGAAGGCAATGGCCTCAGGGTCCTTCTCAAGATTGGCCATGTTGAAATTCAAAGCGCAGTATATATTATTATGCCGTATGGGCGTTGATCAAAGGAAGTAGGGCTGGCGGCTTATATGCGCCCAAGTAACCTCGGTGTCACGACGGCATCCCGGCGTTGGCACTGATCTACCGAGAGACCTTCCGAAATTCATCCGGGAAAGTCTTGCCGATTCTTTGTTTGCCAGTTGCCAAGCACACTGTTGCGGTTGAAGACTCGACAACACAATTGTAACTACGAATATGGACGTTCTATTATATATGTACTGCAACATAGTTGATAGATTCCAACCACAGCTAATTAGGTATATCGGGAATGAAGCGTTCTTATTTGTTGGCCTTAGTTACTTGTATATACGTATTTACATTTCCGTTGGCTCAAAACGGTACATCAAAAGCCTATGTACATTCATATATACCCACCATTATATTAATAGCTCACCTGAACTCTAACCTTTGTAAACAGCTGGCCCAGGCATCGTGTAATTCGTTACTGGTGGCCAGTAAGGGTTGAAGTAAACGCCTGGATCGGTAGCCGAATAAATACCGGGGATCTTTCCAACGGGCTTTGGGGTACCTCCAGTACCGCCGGAAATTTCAAGCTGGGCGCACCCGAGATAAAACTGAGCCCCGCCGATAGATCCAGAGCCATGAACAGCGATATGTTCACCTCGAAGTAGATACTGGCCATTAGGAATCGCCTTAGGGATGGTGAAGGTGTAGTTTTTGAAACCATCGCTTAACCACGTCATGGAGGTCGTATAAGTAGCAAAGTCTTTGACACCGAGCTCATAGATCTTAAACCAGTCGCCAGAGCCATCGTATGTGTTAACATTGGCTGTGGTTGATTTAGACAAATACGCGTAGAGTGGGCCTGGGTGGCCGATATAGTCGCGAATCGTGAATCCGACAGTGCTCCCTGCGGTAACCTTATAGGTCTTTGTGGTCGCTGCATATCCGAACGAACCGACGTTGCAGCGCAAGTCATTCGAAGTGACGTCTTGAACTGGCGAGTTCGAGTTCGTCGTACGGCGAACGTATTCATATTCACCTGTTACAGTGCTGCCCACGATGAGTCTTTCGAAATTGTAGTGAGCAAGAGCTTGAGGGGCGGCCGCGGCCGCAGCTAGAAGGATTGAAAAATTGAACTTCATTGTGGGAGGGTTACTAGTATGATTTTGACGGATGAAAGAGTACTGTTGATTCTTTTCTGGCGAAGACAGTAAACTTGGCTCTTTATATACTAAAAAATTTCCAGACGCCTGCGCAGTCGACAAGTCTATACCGACAATTTACATGATGCCATTTTCATGGGTTTAGTACATCAATTCAAGTTCTGGACTGATGAGAACCCGAAACACCGTCGGGACGAGTAATGCTACAAAAGCGGAGATTGGTAAATTCCCGTCGTTCCTAAGCTCTCTCGTCGGGGAGGTAACGAATCCATTAACCCACAATAGCGATGATATCACCGTAGCACCACTGCACCACCGCACCGAAATTCAGGATCGCTCCCAGACTACAAGATCGCCATATTCATTCCCCTAAGAGTTAGCTGGCGGAATCCGATCGATTGAACCCGGGTTATGTTAGAATCATTTCTTTTACTCCACCAGTGCTAATTAGTGATAAAGTTCTCGTTCCGAGACATAGTTTCGCTAACGCGAGTCAGATCGGCTACCGCGGTGGCTGTCCCGTAGAATGGGTTTTAACCTACCCATGGCACCAAGCCGGAATACCACAGGATCAAGCGTGTGAAACCACGGGAATGTCAGTCCGAAAGTGTATAATTGAGACGCATCCCTGTTCTAGGACAACCTAGAACCAGTCTTACCTGAGTGGAAATTTTGTAGCAAAAATTCCATAATCAACTAATATAATATACGGTTTAGAAAAAAAAAAGTCCCGCCATTAGTTCGTGACAAGGAAAACTTCTGGATACCCGGGAAGCAACCCGAAAACGTTATGCATATATGTCCATGTTGTGTTGCCTCTATCGCTACAAAACTCGAACATTGGAAGTTATCAAATTAACATCAGATTCGATTTATCCACAAATATAAGCTTATAAGCAAGTTCACATATATGATCGCTAGTTGCAGTAACTATCATTAAAATTTCTTCATGACGTGACCATTGTAAAGATGCAGGCCTGGCCTGGACATGAAACGCTCGAGAGTACTTGAGTGTCTTCAATTGTTCACTACACGACGAAGCTCGTAGATATATATGTAGCTACGTTAATTCATGTATTTATAGTAACGCCGTCATGTTCTCTTTACCGTCTACCTTTATGGCTTTTTATTTCCACTCAATCGAGTCCCAATTGCTCGATATCGACCCTGGACGACTCCTCCAGAGGCTTGGATGCTGTCAGCTCCGCCTCCAGTTTGTTCAGCTTTTCTTTCACTTCTTTATTCATTTCTGTGATGCGCCCATTCGCTATTCGCACCGACTCTAACCTTAGGCCGACAGATAGCTCGGGGTCCAGCCCTTCCTCTAGTTCCTCCAATAACCTATCCCCAAATTCGTCTCGCAGTTCATCTACTTCATCTCGCAACATATCAACATCGGTTTCCCATTCTTCTTTCAGCTCTTTTATCTCATTCTTCAACTCTTCAATCTCTTGACGCTCTGTTCCTAGATCTTGAAGACCTTGCTTTAATGTTGCTTTGATTTCATTGAGATTCCATGCGAGTTGTTCCTTCAGCTCGGAAAGGGTAGTCCCGCCTGAGAACTCAAATTTGCGGTCTTCGGGCTGACTATCCACATTTCCCTTCACCTCAGAGGCTAACTCCTGTCTTGCTTCCTCCGCTTGATTTAAAACTTCTAGAAGGGCTCTATCTAAAGTTACGTCTTGAATAGCATTGTACTTTTCAATCCATTTTGCCAGTAGTGGGAAGGAAGCTAAATCTTTCTCAATATCCACCTCGTCAACGATGATCAATGTCTTCCAAAACACCGCTGCGTCCTGGTTTTGGTTGGCATGTTCGACGATCGCCATAATTGCATAGAGTTGATATTTCGCGGGACGGCCATATATATCGACTCCACCATCGATAGTGGCGTCGATAGCTTTACCGCAGCCGAGTTTGATTTGATAGAACAAGCTACTCTGAGTTTGGTGTTCCGCCGAAGGAGCTTCAGAAATTTTGGCTTCCGTCTCGAGTGCGCGGTTGAGCCACCCGGCTGTCGTAAGAATGTCCTCATATGCCTTCCTCCAACCTTCTGGGTTGCTTTTACTACTGAACTTTATGGTTGGCAGCATCTCCCATGCTTCTTCGTATTCCCCAAGCCGTAGGTGAGATGAAAATAACTTGATTTCAAGCTCGTCTAGTGTGACGGAAAACGCAGGGGTGTCGCCTTTGGTACGGGCGGCGTTGTTCGGGAACAGAGCATTTAGGGATTGTCGTTTCATTATTTTTACCATTTTGAGAAGACACTGGTGAGCGACTGCCCAGTTGTGAACTGATTGACAGTTCTCATAAGTTTTATTTAGATACTGGAGGTTTGCCGTAAGAAGATCAATGCGAAATTTCGATGGAGGAGAGATACTAGGTAGGTTCTCAGTGGCTTTCCAGGGGGGAGTGGCAGCCGTGCGCGTATATGGTTTACCAGTGCTATCCATAGCTGGCTGGTTAGACCCGCCGGTATTTGCTTTGTTGGATGGTACCTTGGACGGTATTTTAGTAGCCTCCCAGAAGAATGTATCGTTCGGTGCTTTAAAATCAAACGCAAATACTGGTCCCGGGGCGGGTTTGCTACCACTAAGAACGACTTTTGGAGATCGCATCGGAGCAATTTTCTTCGCGGTAGCGCTAGGTGCACTCGAGGTCTCTGCCATCTTGAAAATATACCTGTACGCAAACGAAAATTTTTAGAAAATAAATCCGGGGTAGTATGGTGTTTGAGCTATACTCTGCACAATGAGGCCTTTCGGCTGACTAAGTGTCTGTTTATATACATGAAAGCAGGCCCACAAGGCTACAAAGGTTAATGAAAGTGAAGCTGGCAAACATTACGACTATATGCTGCCTGATAGGAAGGGTTAAATGGGTGATGGGTAATGGAACTTGATTGGCCCATTAAAGTACCAAGACCTATTTTCGGCCCATCTGAAACCGAGCCGGGTTAGTTTTGCACTGTTGCAGGGATAATTCTAGACCAGCAGATTGTGGGCTTCAGTCAAGGCGGTTTGTGTAACTTGCCGATGTCGAATCGGAATTGTAAGCCCATCTCGACCAGACCCCTCACTTCGAATTGCTGCCCCTTTTTCCCAAGGCTTGTAAATGATACCTTCTCTTTTCCTTATCTTTTCAATTCCTAATATTATCACAGGATCATATCAAACAACTTACCATGTTATGAGCATATGCATTAATATTTGTACTTTGGGTGGCTTGTCGCCTGGACCAATGACCAGCACGCACGTACCTACACGTACCTACATGCACCATATATGTCGGTATGCGGCGTGATTGAACCGACGTCAGTGAAATAGAACAGGATGTAAGCAAAATTGAACTCAGCAAACTTAGTCAAAACTTTAGATCTTGATAAACTCCACTAAATCTTTAATCTAGTTTTTACGGAATCATATACTTTTGCAAATTTTGCTAGCAGATCGATAGTGAAAAATCCGAAACTTTACAGACACTGGCCCACCCAACCGCGCAGCTGCGCAGCGTTACAACCGTAGGGCCGATTGGGACTTAGGGAGGATATATATAGACTTCCATACTAGCTCTTCGACCTCCTTCTTTGTCTCGCGTCGACCATCTCGAATAAAGTGCTTTCCAATTCTCAACAAAGAACCCGTATAGCTTCGTATGTTTTTTAAAGTTTTTTTATTTATTTATTCGTGTATAACTGACTGGGCCTGAACGAAAATCAGAAATCTGTATCAACCTTACATTATGCGATAGTGAGAGGAGCGGTCCTAGAAGGTTATAGCCATCCGAGCCTGGATCATGCCTAACAGTGCGGCTGCAACATACAACACACAGGACGTATTTTCGTTGTAACGTATGAGATATTATATTACACTAGCTCCTCGAGGTCGAGCACATATATATTAATATTTTCGCTTCGCGATAACATTGGAGAGGTAATGCCTATAGTTTTTTTTCGCCGGACTATGCATCATGTAACTAGTCATGCTATGCATATACCTCTACCGGTACCCAGCCTAACTGGTGAGTTTCATGGAATCCAGGTCTCTACTCTAGGGGGCGTGCACGAGTACGGAGCTCGCAGTCAACATGCTCCGCAAGATTCAAAACACCTCAGCAATATCTCTGCGGGTCGAGATGTTGATCTTATTAACGCTCCTGACTTTAAGGGTCATATTATAAACCTCTGTCATTAAGGCCTATGTACTATCGATAAAGCGTGCCACTAGCTGCGCCGCCCATCTCCGTGGGTGCTTGGGAAAGAAAGGCTGTAGCAAAATAATAGGTATGAAAAAGCAGTGCCTCTCACCAGAGTGAAACGGTGGCTTGGCCTTGGGAGCGAGACCAGCCTTAGTTTCAAGACGCATAATCAAGCTTTTCAAATGCATGTCGCAATAAATGTATCCTGTCAGTAACCTGACGCCACAGCACCATAATTATAATTATCCTATATTTCCTACTATTCGAATTTCGAATAAGGTCACGCGACCCACCCTACATATGCTCTAGACCCCGCTAACATAATCATCAACGGCGGACCTTTCATAGTTTTAGATTAGGTCATCTACCTAGTTATACACCCGCATAAAGCTCCGAAGCCCACGGCGCCATAATCGATCGCTTGGCGAACCCCCTAGTTTGGTGATACCTTCTCTTTGGAGCCTAGTCATCGATGGAAAGGCTTTTGTGATCTTAAAATCGGTAAGTTAAAGCGATTCTGGAAGCAGAAATGTTTCGGGGAATTTGAAGGACTGTTGTTGCGAAGTGGAACATGCTTTTGAGGCGAGACCCTGGCTGCGAAATACAAGCACGATCGCGAAGTTATCAATATCAATAGCAGAACTATCAGAATGAAATCGATTAATGAGATCGTGTCGCATGTCACCAATATGTATATAAAAACCTTCTGTTTGCCTAATATTCTCGCTAAGTTTATTCACTAGTATCAGCATCTCCGCTTCTAGAACTCTCTTAATACAATTTCATTCATACAATCTCATGATTGAATAGCTGGCCTATTCCAACAACCAACATCTTAATTAATTCAATCATTTGAACAACTGTCTAATAGTTTAAATTTTTTTTTTTTTGCTAATTCCGCATTTATCCGACCACTTAATCGATACATATACAAATCCATAAGCTAATCCTACTAAACCGAAATGGCTGACCTCAACACTAAAATCGACCTCGGCATCCTCGCTCCAGGGCTTAAGTTTTCGATCACTAGTGTCGACGTTATTCTTGAGAAGGGGCCATTCTTTGGAGAGTTTATCGGTTGGGGTATCAACGGTAATAAATTCAAGAACCAAAAGGTAGGGGATATCATGGTGTCACGATCACATCATTCTTATACGGTATGTTTACTAACAATATGAATACAATTCTAGAACGGCCTGAATCTTGCTAGCGGCAATCTAAGGCTACCTTTGCAAGTCCCCAAGATTGCAAATACTCCAGAGGCTCCGGCCAATATCGGAACCGTCAAGTTCGGAAGAGAAGTTAGTCCCACAGAAAACGTCTCACCGGGCCGAATCGAAATCGGCTTTCAGGTCGTGGGATCAGTAGCATTGAAGAAGGGTGCCAAACCCCAGCCATGTGGATACAAAGGCTATATCACTATCACTCCAACTGAATGGGGCCGTATTCAGCGCCCAGATGGTGTTCAAATTGCTTACGGCTTCATCGGGCAGCCTCCTAGGAGCACCTTGATCGGAGTCCCCAATCTTCGAGATACCCATGATCTTAAGTTCGACTTTGTCATCGGCCCGGATATGAAGATAGCAATGACACCCAGCCTTGACACTTCCCTACTTAACAAGATTAGTGGTGGTATTATTGACGTTGCTCTCCAAGCGCACCAAGAGGCGGCAAACTTTGCCATTGGCGATAGGGTTCCAGGCCTTGTGGAAGGTGTAAATATCATCGGTACCATTCCAGGAAACTTCAGACGCATTAAAAGGCAGTATAGGGCTTAAGATTTGGCCTTGTACCCCCCGGTTCTAACTTAGCCGATGTTGTGGTTTACAGTTTATGAGTCTAGTTCTCAACTGTCCGCTTGTATTTACGTTTTAGCTTAATCGCAATTGGTTATGCTTTCGAAGGTGTCGGATACCGAGTTCTAGTATCATTCTCCATTTTTTCTAGTTATAGTTACCATATCGTGGTTACGTCTAAAATCTTGGCTTCTATCCTCAACTGTGATTCCCACAAACTGATACAAAGCTAGGGAATGCATTCGAATAATATACAGAGACAAAATTAAATAGGTGACTCGAGACTCGAATCGTCGCGTTGAACAAGAGCGCCCAGCAGCAATTAATTCTAGTTTACGAGATAAAAAGAGCGGCCTCGTCGCACCGCGTTTGTTGTATTTTTTGTGTTACCTTAATAAGGCATGGTGTCTGTGTTGTGTTGTCGTCGAAAGCGTCTCGTGTCTCGTGTCACAAACACCAAAGCCCACAAGCCAACCACAGTTTCCAATTACAATTACCCCAGATTAATAGTCTATTCTCTCTCGCCGAATGCCGTCATTTCTCTCCCGCCAGACACGCTACGGCGTCAGCTACAACAAGCTTTATTCAATATGTGCCCTAATATACCTTAGTAAGTTCCATATCCTTTTTCGGCAGAATCAATTGGCTAATGATTTGTGTCTCGTAGACTCGACCATGGCAGGTCTTGATGCCTCGCTCATCGGGAACCTTAACACACTCCCCTCCTTCCAATCTTTCTTCGGCACCGGTACATCGAAGGCCACGACGGGGATGATATTCGCATCAATGCAGGTTGATAGACATTGGCAGTTCGTTGGGTGATACAGAGCTGGGCTGACCGATTGTGCCTAGTAGGTGGGTGGCATATTAGGAGCCTTCACACTCAGACTTGCAGACAGCAGGGGCCGGCTCTTTTGCATCCAGATTGGTTCGATCGGAGTTATTTGTGGTGCTCTTATCCAGGCATTCTCGCGCTCAAGTATGTCTACGGTGCCTAATAGCGTAGGTTCCGATATGCTGACTATGCTTGTAGTGTGGATGTTCATGGTCGGGAGATTTACTCTCGGATTCTTCTCGACCCTCGCTTGTCGCTCTTCGTCAATATATCTTATAGAGATATCGCCAGCTGAGCGCCGTGGGACTATTGCTGGACTCTATAGTAAGGAATGCTCGATAGCTTCTGTGTTGCACAGAAAGCTCCGCCAGGCTAGATGCTCGAATACCTCAGACTGGATCAGGGCTAACTTGTAATAGACACCTTATTCTTCCTTGGTTCTATCCTAGCTACTCTAGCCGTACTCATATCCCAATCTATATATCACGGACATGCGGCATGGAGGGTTCCAGTAGCGCTGCAATGCGTGTTCCCCGCCATTGTAGCATCGGGCGTTCGTTATATCCCGGAATCTCCAAGATGGTATTTTCACCGCTGCTCTTGAATAGACGTACCCCGTTTAACTAAGGACTCCTCAGGCTGGTCGCAAACTCTCGATCTTCGGAGGCACGTGATGTCATGACAAGCCTCCATTCGAACGGTGTACTCACCAACAAAGTCTCGGAGGAGTTCGCCCGTATGGAAATAGACGTCAAGCAAAGAGATGGTATGCCCACTGGTTGGAGCGTGCTATATTCCTCAAAATCGAGAAAGCGAAGACTTTTTATCCTCCTTTGTATGAGTCTATTCGGGCAAATGTCCGGAAATAATGTAAGAACGTCGCTCATCTCAGTAACTGCCATCAACTCTGGAATACTAATATGCAGAAGATCATCTCATACTATCTACCCGCTATGCTACATGACGTAGGCATCAAAGAAATGAGCACGAAGCTCTATCTTAATGGCCTTTATGCGATCATAGGATGGACAGCTGCTGCGGTGGGCGCAAGATTACACGACTATTATGGCAGGCGCAAGATGTAGGTTCTCCATTTCAGACATCTCACCTCGCATGTGCAGCGGTACCTAACATGATGTAGGCTCTACAATTGCACTTCGGGCCTTGCCACGTGCATGGGCCTTCTCGCTTTATCGATGGGGATGTACTATCGTACCGGAGAATTTCTATATTCGACCTTCTCCCTTCTAACGATTTATACATTCGGTGTTATTTTCGCTACCGGTTATACTAGCATGCAGGTAAGAAAAAGAGAGATATTTCAGGCCTGAGAGACGTAAATCTGATTTGGAATAGCCCGTTTATCCCGCCGAAGTAATGACCAATGATATGAGGGCTCGTGGAATGGCTGTCGCAACCATGTGTGGTGGGTCAGCGGGATGTGTAGGTGTCCGCCCTTCCCCTCCCGATCTCTGATCATCTTACTAATGCAGATGCCAGCTCAACACGCTGCTTGCTCCCGCGGCTATGGCAAGACTCGGCCCCATGTTTTTTTTTCTCTTCTGTGTTTGGGATTTCATAGAAGCAGTAAGTACTTTGCGATGATTGGTGTTCCTATTTTTGTTTCAACTGCACATTCATTCTAACCAATTGGTTTAATTAGGTGGTCATCAATGCATATTTTGTTGAAACGAAAGGTCGCACGCTAGAGGAATTGGAGGAAGTTTTCAACAGCGACGATCCGGTTGGCCTGAGTATAGAGAAGAGTTCCAAAGAAAGAATGTTTTAGACCATGACCAAGGTAGTGTATGGTCTAGTCTCGTGACTAGTTTGGAGTCGTGGCGGCGGGGAGACGTTATGTTGTTTCAGTGGGGCATCGATGAGTTGGCGTCTGCGAGTATAAAAAGCCATTGGTCTTTGTTGTGCAAATTTTTTCGGGGCTTGTCTCTCCACCATGATTTCATCCAATCATATGATATACGAGATACATATACATTGCATATCCACGCATCAAAGGTCTATCAAGCGTTAACATGAGCAACAGCCGACAATCGCTATACTTCTATTACTCTTGCAACCATATTGGTTGTCTAACAACCGGGACTAACGAGAATGAGTGTTACATATCTTTAGTCCAAGAAATTGATCTAGCCCAAATTCTTCGACAAGGCGGTTCGGCAAGGATGTATCATCGGCCAGACAGCACAACGCCGAGCGGGACTTCAACCAAAATCGCAGGAGCATGCGCTGCCTGCCATGAATATCTGCAGCATCAAGCCGGTGCCACCAGGGGCGGGATCGAAGCCGTGACAGGGGAGCTTAAGGAGGCATTTGGGAAAAATCTTATTAACATGTGAAATGAAAAACCGAATGCCACATGTACAGGCGCACCCCTGAAGCTTCTCGGGCGTCCGATTCGATCGCTTATCTCACCGTTCTATGCCGACCTCGTCACCCCAACTGTGACCATTGGCTTGGAAGCAGCCAGCTCTTCAGTGAATTCTTAATGCTTGCATGCGTCACCAAGCTGCCTGCCAACGAAGTCACACCGCATATACACGATACCGAAAAAATTCTGATTGTCTCGAGATATCCCTGAGAGCTATATATCGACCATTCCCTTCCTTCCCTTTTCACGTTCAATCCACATTCCATTAAATTACCACTTCCATCCCCCCCAATTAATTTCCAAATGCAAAAACCGTTCTAAATCCAAGTCAATCACCTTTAACTTCCTTCCCAAGGCATACGGAGTATGCAATTGTTGCTTCAACCGATTGGATATATATCGAATATAACTTGAAATCTCCATCATCATGCTGGTATCATCTCTCGCCTACCGCATGGAGTGCCTCATCCGGGCCGCCATCCGGTTTTTCCTTTCACCCTTCTTCGCGATTGCCAACGCAATCCTCGCAGTTTTCTCACGCCGTTCGAAAGCGGCAGCACAGCTGTTTCTAAAGGCACAGCTCATCCGCGACATCCTACTTCAATCACCACCTCCTTCCTACCAGTCAACTACCCAGCTTGACCAAAATGCAGCTCGCCTTCGCTCCTTCGAAGCTGCTCTTCAAAATAGAGACCGCGAGCTGGCCTCCAGGTCCCAAGCCATTGAGAGCCAACAGCGACAGGTCGAAGCCGAACGCGATGCTCTCCTTTCTCGTGCCGCAGAACTCACGAGCAAACAATACTCTCTCGACAGGGTAGCTCAAGCTAACCGAAACCAAAGCACAGAGCTAGCTTCCAGCCGCGACCAATTGGCACGAGATACTGCCACACTAAGAGACAATCAGGACGAAGTCCAAAGGCTACGCGATATGGTCGCTAGGGAACGTGCCATCGTTGAAAGACAACGGTCGGAAAACTCCCAGACGCGTCAAAAAATACAAGAGGAGGAGGAAAGAATGCAAGCCGAGGCTATTGCCCAACAAAAACGTCTCGATGAGCGACAATCTGAGATCAACGACCTACACGACCAGTTCCTTCGTTCCCAGCTTGAGACTCTTGAGAATCACCGCTCAGAACACACCGTTCTCGTCGAATCACTCCAAACCCGCCTTGTCGAATCCCAGGAACAACACCAGAAAACAGAGCAAGTTCGTGCCGAGCTCCAAGAAAGAGTTTCTACCTTGACCAACAAGCTCGCTGAACGCACCGAGCGAGAATTCACCCTCGGCACCGAGCTTGGCGAGCTCCGACAAAGACTAAGCAATGAACGCGGTTCCTTCAACCGAGAATTCGGCGAACTTTCACACTCCCTCACCGAATTAAAGCAAAGGTGCAATGACTACGAAGCCAACCAACAAAAGTTAAAAGACGAACTCGAGGCGAAGGAGCAGAGCATTTCAACCCTCGAACAGGATGTCGCATCAAGGGAGCAGGTCCTCCAAGAGCGCTCCAAGTTCCTTGAGACATTAGAAGAATCCCTCAAGGCTCAACAAGCCGAACTCATCGACAGAGAACACAACCTTCAAGATCGCGAACACACCGTTCAGAACCGAGAACACAGCCTCGAAGATCGGGAAACCACTGTTCAAGATCGGGAAACCACCCTTCAAGACCGAGAAAACACCGTCCAAGACCGAGAAACCACCCTTCAGGATCGAGAGAAATCGCTCGAGGAGAAGAGCAAGGCTCTTGAATCTCTCCGAGAAACAATCGACGAACGTCTCAACCACGTCACTGAAGCCGAACGGGACTTGGCAGTACGAAAACAAAACCACGAAGACTCCGTCAAGGCATTCGAGGAGCAAGAGGCCCTCGATCACATCGACGAAGCCGCCGACGCAGAACAAGGAATCGGCCCTGGCCACCTTGTTAGCCGACCAACAATGCGTAACTTGTTGGGCCGTAGGACAAGCGACTTCCTCGGAAAGGGCTTCGGTCGCCGAAGTAGTGTTAGCCAGGGCACAAAAAGCCCACCAAAGAGCCGAGATGGCATGTCAGAGTCCAAAATTAGTTTCACTTCCTAATCTTTCGGGTAGCATATAGATAGACAAAATTTTGTATTTTAGTTTCTAGCATGGGGTTCAGGCGATTTTCCTTTGTGAATTTGATTTATGATTCACGATTCCAAGAATAAGGCGCAGTTCGGATTTCTCAGCATTTTTCTTTTCACCTATACCCCCGCAACATTTGTCATTCAGCATGTACATGTATATAGAATACCTACTAGCTAATTAAAGCCTTCCTACTACAAACTAATTTCCCTATTATCGTGAAAAAGAATGTCAATCATCATTCCACTCCGGTATAAGCTCTACAACCAATGCTTCCACACTGCCATAGCGCTCACCATCGGCGATGAACCTTATGAGTTACAAGGGGACACAATCTACCCCAACTTCCCCACATTGTTCGCAGACAAGAGATTTGACAACATGGTGACCGAAGTCGGCGCCACTGCTGGCTTTGAAGAAATTCCGACTCTATGCACCCGCTGCTCTGAGTATGAGAAAATGAAAAAAGACGATGCAGGGAAGAAACGTTTTAGTGTTGAGAAGGGCATTGAGGTGTTGGCCGACATTATCGATAGTATCGATAAAAAAAAGGGATCTCTCGGAGAGTTTATCCACAAGCTACGGCATTGAGATAACCACTATATAGAATACTTAGAGAGAACTGGGTTTGTTCCGTAGAGGCCGGCAATGCGTTCCTCATGTATGATATCATTTGCACATACAAGTGTACTTGATACCTGGCAGAGCGAATAACCACGCTATTTAATTTGACTGCACGCGCCTAAAGAAATCGCAAAACTCCCAATATGCAATAACCATGAATAAAAAAAGACCCAAGCACTTTTCGTAGTAGAAATGTATTTTGCCGATTTATATCCCTTTATTGATCTCATAAACCGGTAAGAAACTAATTGAACGTCTATCTTCATCATTCGATGACGAAGGGGATAACATCGCCCTCTTACTATTAATACTGGGATCTCTCCTATACTCCGACATAATAGACTCCGAGTCGGCCCCCCGTTCCAGTTCCTCTAGTTTCACATTGTTGTTGTTGTTGTTGTTGTTGTTGTTGTTGTTGTTGGGCGGTGGTAGAGGAGTTACGGCCTTCGCTCGTAATGAGTGAACACTGACTTTCGTCAATGTCTTGTTCCTCACTTTCAACCAAACTGAGGAGCTAATTAGTGGTTTTATGCACGGCGCGTTCACAACAAGTACCGCAACGAACTATATAATTCAATATCCTCATTAGCCATTGTAGAGTACTGGCATTAGTCGCATACGCTTGCAAAAAAACTCACAGTCTCTCGTGTTCCCCAGCTTAAAACAAAACTTGGATTTTCAATTCCGAATTGAATAAAATCACCATTGAAGGTATTGTAAAGGCCGTCGAATTTGTACATTAGCGAAAAGAGGTTGTTGAGGATAACTGCAATAATGAGGAAGAAACCACCGCCGAGGAGAACACTAATAACGAGTTTTCTGCGAAGGGGTAGTTTGGCGCGCACGATGAGAGGTAGTGGAATGCAGAGGAGCATTATATCGGTTCTATAGGTATCGTAAGTACTGAGTATTCGAAATGCTCGGGTATACTACTTACACCACATTGATCGGTCCGATGACAGCGAAATGTGGGATGTTGTTGACACAGTCTATCATATGGTTAGCGATCTAGGTAAAAATTAAGCTTATAAGATGGCGGAACCGAAACCAACGGGGAGGTAAGCATACACTCTGTTCCATAAAGTGAAGTCCAGTTCTTGCTTAACGGGCGACAGTTAAGCAATATCATGAGCACTATTCCAACATAGCTAGCTGCAATAACCCCAGCTGTGATATGCACGAATTTTCTGGCCTTCAGTCCAGCCCTACGTTAACCATAACGTTAGTCTTAAAGTCCATAGCTAGTACTAGGATTGTCAGGAATGTATTTGGAAGGGCAAGAAACTAACGTCAGGCGGTAATACAAAAACACCATGCATCCTTTTAACGTCCAGATGAGAGATGTATATGAAATCCACGATAAAATATTTGCCTTGCCACCAAGCTGAGCCCGCTCCCTCTGGCGATCTGTGAAATCTCCATAGTATGTATCAGGCTTGATAGCAATAATAAGTCCGTTATCGTGCATTATCTGATGCGAAACTAGTTGAAGGGTGTAAAACAGCTACCCGTCCGTAAATTTTTGTTTAGTGTGAGCTCTCGAGATCTCATACAGGTTTGCGGATCAGACATCGTAGGCAGGAACACACTTACCATAGCCAAAGGAACGAGATAGTCGTCTCCAGTGAAGCCCTTAAACCCAACAATTTTGATCCTCGCAATAATGCGGAGGATGAAAACCGCCATTCCAATTCCATATTCCGTCCATTGCTCTACTATGGCACTGTACGCCATCTTCTCGCTAGCGTTCTTATCAACTCAGGTCGCTTTGTGTGACCGCTAACAGCACACGTATGTTCCGACGTCTTCCAGTTCTTATTCTTCAACTTTCAAAGAACTTGCATTTGAGGAGGGGTGTGCCTAGGAGCGGCTAGAACTGAAATACAAGCATGAGACAGTAAATATACATGCAGAATGATGATGTTTACTTTCGCAAGTACGGAAGATTCGAAATGAGAAACATGCAAAATCCCACCCGAACTGATCAGCGGAGGCACCTATGTTGTATATACGGACGGTGTCGTGGAAATGTTCAACCACGAGAACACGCGCAATTCATTGAATGTCCCATAGGACTTTCCGCAGGGGCCAGGCTGCAGCCGAGAGACAGCTCCAAGGTTCGGATCTCTACTAGCGGTTGAGTTTTCCTTCAAACCTAGACTTTGAATAGGATGAGCTGCCTCATCTTGACTGAGTGTGGGCTGACGGCCACTTCAGACACGGCATTGAATTCGATACCAAGAAAGGGCGAGCCTCAAATGGGCTTCTGCATCCGATCTTTCGATTCATGCACGTAACAAAGTTGTACTGTTTAAAAGCCACTTGACTCCCTCGGTAGCTTCCGCCCTAGTAGTGGAAAAAGGGGGTCGAAGGGAAGCTCAGATGATTTATAAACTCTAGAGTATTTGGTCAACAGCGTACCGTGATTTAATAGCCCTCTTAGAACTGAAATTGAACGTTGGTCGCATCTTCGCATAGTCGACCCTGTTTCAGATTTTCTTGCGACATACTCATTTCGGATCGCGGGCAACTGCCTGAAAAAATCACCGTCGCAACTTCGTTTTTAAGGTGGGCTTCGGTGAGCCAGTTCTAGAAATAGAAGCCCGTCCAATAACTCTAGAATATTAATATCACAAGGCTCTTAATTGAGAACATGTCAACTTGCAACTCGTTTCTGGGTATCTAGATATCTACTTATCAACTGGATGATTAAATTTAAATTACAGCCGATTGGTGGGCCTAATGCCCAACCAACGCGCAAAATACAACACGATGCTAATTTCAACCTTCTGAGCTGAATTTGGAGAAATTAACTGTCTAGATCGATAATGCGGAGTAAATTTCAACAACGGGCCGACGGCCGGTTCTAGAATTCTTATCAGGAATCTTGAGAAAGGGAAATTGAAGATTGGTCATCTCTGCAAGTACATGCATACTTCTCTAAACTGTCCTGATGAAATTTTTACAAATTGCTTTCCAGTTTGTTAGAAGAGTTGTGCACAACACTTCCAAGCAATTGCCGCTATGGGATTCAAGTTGAGGCGTCGTATTGTGGCATATAGTTCACAGCCAAAGATTCAGCCGGGCTCTTCCATGTATGACGAATCTGAGGATAGAATGATCTATTCTAGCCATCAAACTACATATATATTTGTTTATATTTGTTTTTCGGAGGCATGGCGAGGACTAGTCTCGCTTTCAGACATCACATGGGGAGGTGTCAATTTGCTTTGGTAAGGGACCGGTCCTGTTTTGATAACAAGGACGTCATAGTAAAAGGGATATCTAAATAGAGAAAAGGAACACACAAGGTAGGAGTAAAAAAGATCTCTTCGGAGAATATATATTAAAATTTTGATCATGGTGTCTACAAGCAAGCCAGGTTCGAATCCCAGCCTAATTAAAGCCGTCCGCTCTTCAAACCCCGTACTCGCCTGTTGCATGTCCGAGTCGGCAGGCCGGAGTTTCCCCGCGTCACAAGAACACTTTTCTCAAACACAGCAATATGCATATGCAGGGGTAATTCACAAAAGGATTTTTTTTAAACCATGGTCCATACTTATTTTCTCTGCGCAACATATGTAGAATCAGCGGACCGAATGTTCCTGGATTAACCAATTCTGGAGACCCCGCAAACGCTATGACATGACTCAGCACAGCCAAGTTGAACTCGAACTCGGCAGACCATATGCCGCTCGGTCCCCCCCATATATATGCATGTGCACAATTTGTTTCTTCAGAAGTTGAAACGGGTCAAAGTGGGGCCCCAACTTTCGAAATTTCGTCCGATCGCAACTTCGGATTATTTAATTATATGCCTCGAAGGAAGAGGAGCCTAAGACGAAGAGACGTAAGGTACGATCATTGATATGCAACCGCGGTTCCGTTATGCCTTCGCTCCACCATTTTTTCAACTAGCCAAGCTTTTCAAGCCTTAGAATGACAGTGCGAAGACTCCGATCATCTGAACTTCGAATGGTGGCCATCGTCTAGGATGTATAAGGTGGAGATGGCATAGTTGTATACATGTATACTGGCTACTTAGGGCCATCGACAAGCTTGAGGTCGGATACGGAGCCGGCGGAAATGAAACCCACAGACCTTTTCAGGAGTATGACCTCGAGAAACCTCTATATAAGTACCGTAGATGTCGCTGAACAATCCAATTATCTCAGGAGATATATCCAAGACAAGCGGCAGATTCACTCCTATAGCTGCAAAACTTAACCAAGCCAGAGTTTTATCGGTTTCCAGTGTCTTTTCGTTTCCCCTTAACCATACAAAACATGAAGGTCTCACATTATTTCAATACACTCGCCCTAGCAACGCTAGTCAGCGGCCATGGATACTTGACGACTCCTAAGAGTCGTACCCGTCTCGGAAGTGAAGTGAGTTAAACTATTCTGATTACCCTAAATTTCATTTCGCAAAATGCTCATATTCCATACTAGGCTGGTATCGACACTTGTCCGGAATGTTCTATCCTTGAACCTGTTACCGCATGGCCAGACCTCTACGCCGCCAAAGTCGGACGAAGCGGTCCATGCGGTTACAATGCCCGTGTCAGCGTTGACTATAATAAGCCAGGGAGTGCCTGGGGTAATGCACCAGTCGCCACCTACACCGCAGGCGATGTCATCACTGTCCAGTGGTGCGTCGACAACAACGGTGACCACGGTGGAATGTTTACCTACCGTATCTGCCAAGATCAAGCACTTGTGGATAAGTTCCTCGACCCTAATTATACTCCTACGATTGCCGAAAAGGAAGCGGCAGAAGCCTGCTTCGAACAGGGTATTCTGAGCTGTAAGGATGTTAGCGGACAGAGTTGTGATTATTCGCCCGATTGTCAGCAAGGTCAAGCATGCTACCGAAATGACTGGTTCACTTGCAAAGGATGGGAAAGCGGTAGATGCCAAGCTGTCGACGGAGCAGGGCTCAACTCCTGCTACACTAGTATTGCGGGTGGTTATACTGTGACCAAGAAGATCAAGATTCCAAACTACGTTTCTAGCCACACGCTGCTCTCGTTCAAGTGGAACTCTTTCCAAACCGCACAGGTTTATCTACATTGCGCAGATATCGCCATTCTTCCCTCCGGTGGCACTACAACTTCCAGGGCTTCTACTACTTTCAGCACTTCATCGACAACGTCCTTGACCGCTTGTTCAGGAGCTGAAACTGTTACCAAAACTGTTACAGCAGCCGCTTGCCCGTCATCTGTTGCTGTTACCTTCAAAGAACTCGTTACCACTGTCACCGGTCAAGATATCTACGTCGTTGGTTCAATCTCTCAACTCGGAAGCTGGAATGCTGCAAACGCAATCCTTCTTTCTGCTTCGCAATACACTAGTTCGAACCCTCTGTGGTTTGGAACTGTCAACATCCCTGCCGGTACTTCTTTCACATACAAATATATTAGGAAGAGTGGGTCGACCGTTACCTGGGAGAGTGATCCAAATCGCTCTTACTCTGTTCCGTCATGTGCTTCGACGGCTACTGTCTCAGATACTTGGAGGTAGATTCGTTTCAGGACGTTTGTCTTGTAGATATAGGCCCATAGTGCCGCTTTATCACTACTAACTTCAAAATTTAATTTATATATCTGAGTGTAAATAGAACATATTCACTTGAACCTGTTTTCGGATATTGTTGGTACCGCAAGACATGTATTTAGCTAGCAGCAGCCGTTGGAATTAAACGTATTGATCAATTGAGGGAGCGTGAAATTCTACAACAACGATTATTGATTAAGATCATTTAAACTTGTAATTTTGCTGACTAGGGGTTTTTTGTGGACATCAACAGCTCGATAGAGTAGGAACGGCGACTCAAGCCCTCAAAGGTTTGAAATTGGAAGGCATTGATGTCCCGTGCCCTAGACTGACCCGCGTGCGCGGTTTCTGGTTTTAGATAAGGCAGTTTATTTGGAATAGGAGGTCAGGTATTAACATAAATTATTGACTAGAAATTCTGGCATCGGGAATTCCAATTCCATGGTACCAATAGGTGCTATGACTTTGAGCTCTGAGTTCTAAACATTCGCCAAGGGATTTATGATCCCAAGCTAGTATGAAGTCCATGGAGCCAAAGAAGTAAACAAAACAACTAATTTTTTAATAGAAATCGCAGATACCTTCGTAGTTCTATCGCTATGAAATCAAACAAGAAGAGAGGTTAGCGACAAAATGTTTCGTCGAACAGGCAATCCGCTTCAAAGGGAACCGCAATTTGAATCCATAAAAATTATGGGGCGAGAGAGTAAAAGAAACCACATTGTGATCAGTTTTTCAAACCAGTCGCAGCGAAACACTTAGTATAATGGGCAATTGACGTCAATCCACACCTTGATACAACTACGAACTGTACTGAAGCGGCAGGTGGACATGGGGGCAATGGAACCTTTCGTATTCAATCCCAAATGTCCTTTTCTTATGACCTATGTTTAGTCTAGTACTGCTGTTGGCCTTGAGGCTTCATGCGTGGGGAGTATGCCACACAGATACCGATGTACAGTGGCGGTCAGCCGAAAGATAAGAAACCAGAACAAATCAAAATACAAATTCCTGGATGTGAGAACTTTGATTTAATTGATATGTGTATCGGAGGAAATCTCTAGTAAATATTGGCATGGGGTACCTAGATGAACTGGCGCTTGGCAAGGGTATCGACATGGTGTTCGAATTCAGGGTGTTTAGTGAACTGAAACGGACGTCTCCCAACCAGACGACCGACTTAATGTTTTTGTGTTGCCAGCTGTGTTATTTCTGGCTAGAACAAAACGAGACTGTCAGCCGAGCCAACTTTCGCTCCATCACCTGCGATGTAACCATTGACCACTGCGACAAGGTCCGAAGACCTCCTAGCGATGTCTCTACTAGTAAGAAAAAGGACCTCTAGAACTAAATTACGCGTACAAAGTGTACCGCCAATTGAGCCGTGCGTTACCGCTCATAAGTTAGATGCTCCTGACGTCGCTCGACAGCCATTTGCATTTTCATCGCGACCAGCGAAACTGCACAGTTTGTTACGGCAAGGTTCCTTGATGCAGGAGGGCCCGGTCAACCCTTCCTCGTAAATGCTAGACCAATTGCGACAGCTTCCACTTTGGGATGCACTATCCAAAGGATGATATCGACGTCTTAATCTCGTTTGGCAGCTTTTGTCGCCACTCTGATACAGGATTCCATGGGTAATATTAATATGGGTATGCACGATATATGTACTGTTGCATGTTGAGCGGACTGCTGCCTAGATAACAGAACAATTCGATCAAGTTTCGGTGACCCCTCACTTGCAATCCCCAAGTATTCGAAGTCTTGTCCTGCCTTCGCTTCCAAAAATGATGGGCCTGGCATCCGGCTGCCCAGTTGCTCCAAGGTCGGCAGGACATCTTGGGATATAGCTAAGCTGATTTAAGCTCTTGCCCAGCCTGGCCAAGTGTGAGAAAACCGACACCCCTCAAGTTGCCGAAACTCCGATGGCTCCCTTGAAAATTATTTGTGAGATCTCGTGCGGTTTTACCAACTTGCAACGTTCAAATGAAGAAGCTCACGTTGGGGGCGTATACGGCACCTTTGATTGGCCAAATATGCTCCGCTGCCTGTATTTCGCCTGTTCTGGAATGGATGGCGTTCCAAAATTACAACAGATTCGGGACTGTCTGTGTTGAGAAATCACGAATCAAGTGACTTAGACATTATGCTCAATCGGCGCACGCATGTCTGTCAAAAGGCGCAATACCATCCAATGAGGGGCGATTCTTATCTAAGAATGCATATGTTCTTCTTAATCCATCCGCCTCAAACCGTTCGTGCGAATTGAATTGTCGACAATACCAGCGAGCCCTGGCATTGCTAGGTCGCAAATAATTCAAAGACAGGCATTAGAATGTTCCACAGAACCCAGCCATTTGTCAGATAATCACAGTATCACGAGAGCGCATTATCCGTATCACGAAGCTGCTATCGCTCTTAGAAGCTAAAACATTGTCGGCATTGTTTCTGGTGGGATTCTTTTTTACTTTTGATTCCGTCGCCTTTCGGTCTTTCCTAATTGGAACAGTTACCCTGCCCTGCTAGTGGTGTCGATTGGAAAACCCCCTGTGGAATATGCCGGACAACTATCACGGGCTAAGATATTTGCCTGATCATCGCTCGAGAAATCACACGCTTGATCCGGTTGTTGGTTAGCCTCTGGTTTACCGTTACAATAACCCTGCGAATCCAATGGGATTCCCAGGCGTGTCGCACAAAGTAACAGTGCAACATTATCCAATCGTGAGTTTCGCCGCTCTCCGCCCACGCTAGAATTCATCTGGAACCTCGAAACTGTTCTTCCCAGAACTTTTAATTTCTAGACTACCCTTGTCCTCCCTCAACTATGTGGGTGATAACGGGACGGAGAATCTTGCCTTCCCAAAAAGGACCCTGGAATGCGTATATAAGAACAATAGAAATTCTCTTCCAAGAAGTCCAAGAACTTGTCTTTTCGCTCACATCTCGAGAGTGCGTGCATTTCTTTCTTATAGTTCTTTCCATCTTTTCTATGGAAAGCGACTAGTGTCTCTTTTATATATTGAGAGAGGGATAACTTTTACTAGTTACCGCCAAGATGCTTCGAAATCTCAGAAGCTCGATTGGGGGTCGGTCGACCGACGCTACGGCGTCTGGTAACGACGCGATCGACTCCGCTGAGCGGCGTGCTTCTCGAGCATACAGTTCTCACCAATACGACCCAAACTATCCGACTGAGAAGCTTGACGAACTCGGCAATGCGCTCGCCAACCACGATGTGGAAAAAGAGCAGGCGATTGTCGAGAGCACAGAAGACGACTCTCCATATCTCGAGGTGCGAGCGGCCGTTCGAAACTACGACGAAGATGTTCCCTGTAACACCATTCGTGCATGGGCCATTGGTTTGTTCCTTGCCACCCTTCTCTCCGGCATCAACATGTTGTTCTCGATGAGAGCGCCATCCATTCTTATTACTTCTATTGTTACCCAGCTGCTCGCTTATCCGATGGGCCGCGCTTGGGATATTGTCATGCCAAAGAGGAAGTTTAAAACCTTTGGCCGCGAGTGGTCATTCGTTCCGGGACCCTTCAACATGAAAGAACATGTCATCTCTGTCGTTATGGCCAACGTCTCCTTCGGTGGTGGTGCCGCTTATTCGACTGATATCTTGCTTGCCCAAATTGCCAGATACGGATTTGATTATGGCTGGGGTTTTGCTCTCCTCTTGACATTCTCTACTCAGTGTCTTGGTTTCGGCCTCGCAGGGTTGTGTCGTCGTTTCTTAGTCTGGCCAGCTGCCATGATTTGGCCCGCTAACTTGGTTAACACATCCCTATTTTATGCGCTTCACGACCACTCCAAAGCTGTTCCAGCGTCTGCCAATGGTTGGAGCATTTCCCGGTACAGATTCTTCTTGTATGTTCTTATCGGTGCCTTTGTCTGGTACTGGATCCCTGGATTCCTCTTCCAGGCTCTGAGCGTATTCGCATTCCCTACCTTCATTGCTCCGAACAACGTTATCGTGAATCAGCTATTCGGTGGTTGGACTGGTGTCTCCCTCATCCCAATCACCTTTGACTGGACTCAGATTGCCGGATATATCGGATCTCCTCTTATTCCACCATGGCACGCGATTGGAAACACTGTTTTCGGTACTGTCTTCTTCTACGTCCTTATTACCATGGGTATCCATTATAGCGGAGCTTGGTACTCTGCTTACCTTCCGATCTCTGATTCCGGATCTTATGACAATACCGCCCAGCCATACAATGTCTCTCGAATTCTTGACGAGAATCATCGTCTTGACGTTGCGAAATACGAATCTTACTCACCCCTCTTCCTATCAACCACTTTCGCTATGTCATATGGTCTTTCTTTCGCTGCCATCGCAGCTGTCATTGTCCATACCGCCTTATATCACGGAAAGGAAATCTACGGAAGAATGAAGGCAGCCAGAAACCAAGAAGATGATATCCACATGAAGCTTATGAAGAAATACAAGGATTCTCCAGACTGGTGGTACCTTGGATTCTTCTTCGGCATGTTGGCATTAGGTCTTACTGCTTCACTTGCATTCAATACTGGTTTGGAATGGTGGGCTTTCTTGATATCCATCGTCATTGCCATCGTCTGGCTCGTTCCAGTCGGTATGATTCAGGCCGTTACCAACATCCAAATCGGTCTTAATGTCATCACCGAATTCATCATCGGTTACATGACCCCCGGACGTCCTATTGCCATGATGATGTTCAAGACCTACGGTTACATTACTATGTCTCAGTCCCTCAACTTCACCCAGGGTCTCAAGCTCGGCCATTACATGAAAGTTCCACCACGAACTATGTTCTGGGCTCAGGTTACCGCTGCAATGTGGACCTCCGTTGTTCAGGTCGCCGTCATGTATTGGGCGCTCGGTGCCATCAAGGGTATATGCACCAAGGCTGCGATCAATCACTTCACCTGCCCCAACGCCACCGTTTTCTTCAATGCGTCCATCGTATGGGGTGTTATCGGTCCTGCAAGAATGTTCTCACCCGGCCAGATCTACTCGGGCCTCATGTGGTTCTTCCTCATCGGTGCCGTTACCCCAATAATTTTCTATTTCATCACCCGCAGGTACCCTAAGAGCTTCCTCAGATACGTCAACTGGCCCGTTATCTTCTCCGGATCGGGTCTTATCCCTCCTGCTACTCCTCTCAACTATCTCGCATGGGGTATCGTCGGGTTTGTATTCAACCACCACCTCCGCAAGAGGTTCTCCGGATGGTGGGCGAATTACAACTACCTTACATCCGCTGGTTTGGATGTAGGTCTCGCTCTGTGCACAATTATCATCTTCTTGACGCTTTCCATGACCAACACTGAGCCTCCAAAATGGTGGGGAAACACTGTTGGTCTCAATACCATGGATGCTATGGGTACTGCTATTCAGGAGGGTGTTCCAGAGAAGGGATTCTTTGGACCTGAGGAGTGGCATTAAATGATGTTTCGATAAATATCCTTTTCATTCGTATTTATCTATCCACCAAAATCTTTTCTTTATAATATGACCCGTTTGATCATGTTTAGCAATTTTTTAGCACTCGTGTAGATGCTGATTCACCACTTCCTGTACTTAGCTTTCTTCTTTTGTTCTATTATTTCGGTTATAGTATATGATATCCCTTTGAATTTAAGAGCTGTTTTATACAAGATATCCACTATTAAATTTCTATATCTCATAACTCCCACTGTAAACCAAAGACAAAGGGAAACCTTTGGGTATTTTCAAAGAGACTAGGTAGTCTAGCGTAGTAAAGACCCCAAAGCTTCTGAGTAATAAAGATTGATTGGTTTGCCATTTATTGAGTATATCTTCAGGGATATTAACACAGCCATAAACGCACTGTATCGAAACAAAACTGAAAACCAAAACCCGAGAATATAGCTTCTCCGCATACATGCCCCTTCCCTCGATCAACAGGCCAAATATTTCCCCTCTCGCCATATGGCCATATGCATACTCCCCCCAAATCCGGGGTCCGCAACTAGTAAGCTCCCTTACTCACAAACATACCCCTGATGAATCCTAAAAACCTGATCCAACCCAAAGCCACCGCCGGGATTCGCACAAAACGTAGGCACAAACTTTTGATCAAACCTACAATTATGTCTAAAGTGTCCATCCGTATTGATCCACAATGGTCCACCACAACCTTCTAGTGTGGCGGCTGAATAGTCTTTAACATCGAATTTGACTCCGCAGGGGTTTGCGGGATCCTTGCCGAGGATTTTTGCTGTGTCGCAGGGGTTGTCGTCCGGATTCCAGGCTACGGTGTAAGTTTCACCGCCAAGGTGAAGGTTCCCAATTATAATTTTGGCAGAGGAGAGGGAAAGGAGGGTTGTGGCAGTTGTCAGGAGGAGGATCGGGAGGTGCATTTTGGATAGGTTTGAAGATTGACGATTGACAGTTTTTTGTATAGATGGAAAAGATATAGCGGTGTGATTCCGAGTATATCGAATAGGTCTTATATACTAATTCTGATGATACCTTAAGAAATATTGAGTCTTTTATTGGTACTGATGCCGAAGAAAGGAAAAAAAAGCTCGAACTTCAGGAACTGCTACTTATATCCCAAAAGTCAGTATCTATACCGCTGCTCGGACCCATTCCGGATCCAAAATTCGAACGGCAAAATGCAAAGCTGACTTTCTCCATAATATGGTTCCACAAGCTTATTCTGGTGGCCACAATTAATATCATGCGGCTGAATCTCTTGGAGGTTCCTAGGCTCCCCTCTAACGTTAGACTACTTAGTTAATGGTTGGCCAACTCCTCAAAGCGTTGTATTTTCACGATACCCAAAACGATGGCTATTCCGCCTAAAAGGGCCCACTTGAGTGGCGGTGCGTCCCATATGCCCATGAACATTGGACGAACCTTACAAACTCGGTCTAAACTGATAGAAAACCCAGACATTAAGCTTGTAAGCTTACTAGTAAACAATTACGTATTACTATTTCTTATAATCACAACTCTTCTTGAGAGACGCTTTGTCAAAGCGTTCGCATGTTTCCGTAGGGCTGATTAAGTAAATTAATTAATGAACAATATATTTTATACTGCAATTGCTATCCTTGTCGTTGCTCTGTATTGCACTTAGAGCGAGGTGTAGCGGGGAGAAAAATTAATATATTCTGAAATTAAAGCAGGGATTTTGCAGGTGTAGTCTAGTTACTACTATTATATTGGGTCGATAAAGGCTATAGGTATATACTTAAATATTTCTGGGCCCAGCTGGGTGAAAGGAATGCCTCGCCGATCGATCAAGGGCTATGATATATAATATCGACACCTTGACTAGAAAATGACAACTGCTAATTATATGAGGACTTTAGACACGTGTGCATGCTCCAGGCGTACTAGACAAGTAGAATATGATTAAATTGGCTGTCTTCTATATCTATAAATCGATCCTATGCATTGGAGGGTCATCCCAGGTATTGTCTAAGGATCAGCACCCGCTCCAACCCCCCTTCCAACCCTCGTCCTCATCCTCCTCTTCGCCGTTCCAATGCCCTCATGTCCACCCTCTTGGTTCTCCCCTAACCACGGTTTAACGCTATCGTCACCAATCCCACTAGCATCCATGATATAATACACAATCAAACCGACCATAATCAGCACAAAAGCCACTGGGTACAAGTAATGCACCTTATACCCAAAGACTCTAATGCCAATAATCAAACCCCAAAAATTCGCGGTCAATAGCGAGATATTAAAAAACGCCGCAGAGGATAGACGGAAAAGTACCGGTGTGACGGTATAAAATATGAACAAGACGAGGTTATAACCGACAAGGTATCCCGCTACTTTCCCATCCCAAACTGCATTCGCGATCGAAGTTCTGTCAAAAATTGCCGCTTGGACACCGTTGATACACATCCCCCAAAATCCTAGTTGTCCGATAACTACGTAAAGTGGCGTTTTGGATACGAAAAATTCTTCCGTAACGTTGCTGAAACCGTAGAATGTCGCTCCGAGTAACATGAACAGATCACCTTTGAGGACATCGGCACCACTGTGGAAGTCACCTCCTTGGAGTTTATCACTACCGATCAGAACACCCATACCGGCGCAACAGACCAGGATACCTACGATTTGTGACCAATGGTATCGGACGCGAAGGAGAAAGAAGGAGAGAATTACGACCACGACAATAGCCCAGAAGTTTATGAGTTCGGCCGAGAGGATAGTAGTGTACCTGTATGCTAGCACGACGAAGTAGTTGCCTTCAACATCGAAGAAGGCTAGGATGAAGTCTAATCATAGAAAGGTATATATTAGCCCCTATATTTTAATGCCAAATCGGAGGAGCTACAAAACTCACACTTCCACCCATCTTTCCATATAATCCTAAGCCATCCTTTAAATCCTTCTTTATAAATCGTAAAACTCGTGTAGCAGAGATTGAGCAGACAATAATTGATAAAGGTCTGGAATGCCGGAAAGCTAGTCCCCGCTTGGAACAATAGCGTTGTAAAGGTATTTGTACTCGTGATACATAGAGCTAAAAATTGTCTACAACGATTTAATTAATAAAATAAAATAAAAACATTTCAACTCAGGCACATGCATGCGATAAGGAAGAAACATACCCTATCACCAAAGTAATCCAAAACCTCTTCGATGTGTAAAACCCGAAGAACGACTTCTTTTGCGTCCTCTCAGACGAGTCATCCGCGATAGCCTCGGGCGCGATGATCGTAGGCGACTTCGAATCTACTCGAACCGCAGGATCGTCGACCGAGTTCGTCGCCGCCACGCCAATGGGCAATTCTGCGCTAGCAGCAGCAGCAGCAGTTGCGACCATCGTCGATTATCGTAATTAGGTATTCTATATACCAGAAAAAAATGTATTCGCTGTGATAAAAACTTCAGTTGTTTTTTTAGCCTTGGGACCAATAACAAGGTTGAATCAAGTGATTCGAGGAATCGTCGTGAATAGTTTGTGCGACGGCAATGATACCGTCGACTTTGCGGCGGCAGTTCAGATCAAGGGTTTCTTCGATTGTCCGTAGATGAGGAAGTATAGATATATGGAATTTGGATTCCTGGTTGTTTAATTAAGAGGGTAAGAAAAGAAGGAAGGAGGGATCAAAGAACATCAGGGCAGCCAACAAAAACCGGGAACGGAAAGAGGGGAAGCGGCAGGTTTTTTGGGGGTCTGCAAATGAGCATTGGCATTTTCTGAGCGCGCCAGCCGCTAGTCCTGGATGCGAATCTCGATCAAAGACTGCTGGTGAGCGTCCGACTAATTGCCAGTTTCATAGGTTGCAGCGCAAAAGCAAGAAGGTTGGAAAGACGGCAGCAGGGGTGCGTGAAAATTTCGATTCAATTTTTTGTGAGCTGCCACTAGTTGAAGAGAAAAAACTTTATGACAGCCCAATGGGAGGTCTCAAAAATGGGTGGAGCTCCAGATCAACCCCTCTTGGATAGAAACTTGGAAACTTGGAAGCTTTTAGCTCCTTTTGAGCTCGAAGCTGTTGGGAAGTTAGATCCAGGTTTGATCGAAGCCCAAGTCGAGTTGCTTTGGCGATGCTGGTTGGGGGAGGGAATCTGGCATTTGCAGATTTGATCTCAAATGTCCTGCCCTGATTCAGACTGACTTCAGCCGGAGGGCAGGGAACGGGTGTAAGCGAGACCCGACCGCAAACCAAGCCCGCGATGCAGATTTTAGTACCACATGCCATCGCCCCAGGAGAATTGAAACTAGATCAATCTAACTCTCCAAGAACAATCATCGAACATTTAGAAGAAAGCATATTCATGGATTGCAAATACATCGCCAAAAATAAAGAAGATAATATAAACAACGTTGGAGTCTATTTTATTACACAATGAAGTTTTCCACACGCGATGCTAAATCCGAGTACCCTTAAATTGCATGGCCATTTTGTACAAATAAAGAAATCATGCTCGCCAGCTCCCTATACAAAAACCAACATATCATGTGTTCGAAGGCAGGGTTTTTACAAAAGGAAGAAAGCAACGGCAATGGCTTGAGCGGCGACAAATCCAATGGTTGCCTTGACAGCGAAACCAGATGATGGAGCGTCGGCGTCGGTTGTCTTAGCAGCACTTTGGGCAGTGTTGGTTGGGGAGCCGGAATCGCGTGTGGATGATTCAATTTCGTATGTGGAACCTGTGGGAGTTAAAGCAATTGTGTTAAGTCGCGACGAATCAATGGTAGAGTACGATGACAGATCGGAAATAGACATACCAGGGGCTCTAGTGGATGGAGCAGAAGTACTGGCTGGAGCACCAGTGCTGGGGGCGGCAGAGCTAGTGGATACAACGGCAACGGGGCTAGGGGATGGCTTGGCATTCTTGCAGCTAAGATCGTAGTAAGGCTGGAATTTGGCGTCGACGATACCGAATTCGATCTCTGGTGGGGTTGGGTCGGCATCACGGAGCATGTACCACCAAGTCTTGTAGTTGCCAAAGAGAGCACAACCGATGTCATTCCAGTATTTCTGGGCCTCCTTGACGTTGGCAGAGGCGAGACCCATATCTTTACCAGTGACGGGCCAACCTGTTTCGGTGATCCAGACCTCCTTGCCGCTGACAGCCTGTTTAGTGGCCTCGTAGGATTCCCAGAACAAATCAGCCGCAGCCTCGATCGAGTTGTTTGGCATGTTAGATTGGAAGTAAGGGTATCCATCAAAACCAATCCAGTCCAAGGCATCGATAACGGCCCTGTTGGAGCCGTCGACCCAAACTGTCCAAGTATCGACGTGACCGATTGGTGTGCCTTTCAATGGGGTATCGGCAATGGCCTTCCTGACCATGCCAATAAACTCGACGATCTCTTCTGCCTTGGCACCGATTCCAGACTTGTTCTTGACTCCCATAGCGGAGCTCCGGTAAAGATCTTCGGAACCAACGGATAGACCGACGACAAGGTCTGTGAAAGCCGACCCATATTTTGTGATAGCCTTCTTGAGGGCGCTGATTTCTTTTTTGACGTGCCCAACAGGATCGTACTTAGGATCGATAGAGCACCACATTCCGAGCAAGAGAGTGGTGTTTGTCTTGATGGCAGCCTCGATGGCTTCGATTGGTTCGTCTCCTTCATTGCCTTGCTATAGATTGTGGACCGCGGTTAGAATATCGGCTTTGCGAAAAAAATCGTACACAATCAGCTCTAATAACAGAATCCTTACAATCATGGTGTACAATCTGGCGCTGCTGAACTTGCCGCCGCCGACAGCAAGTTTCTGAGCGAATTGGAACTCTTCCAAGAAGTCATCATGAACTTTAAGTGTCCAGCCGTCAGCCCTGTGGGCACCGTAGTTGAAGCCCAAGTATTCGCCCTGGGCATTAACTGCCGTCAGTGCCGCTAGAACGGCGAGAAGTACATTCTTCCCGAGCATTTTGTTTATGTATTTTTGTCAAAAGCGTGTATAAGTTGTGGTAGTAGGTATAAATGTCGGTATTGCAGTTTGGTGTTCGGGGTTCAAAGAAGAATCGTTGTTAAAGGAGTGTATTGTAGACCAGCTGGAGTTAGAGATTACGATTCTTAATTTCAAAAAAAAGTTACTGTGATAAAAACAACAAACTACTGCAAAAGACTATAAAGGAGTGTGTCGAAGCCGATTACAAAATAGAATGAAGGGCAAAAAAAAAGATAGAAAGTTGGTGATGTCGATGGACAGACTGTTGTGATGTTAAGGAAGAGAAGGAAAGAAGGGGAAGAGAAGCCGGGAAAGCGGCCAATTTAATCTGGAGATGCCAAGCCCGCCGAACGCCAACGCCAACGCCAACTCAACACACGCCAGGCTCAGCCCTGGAAAAAAAAGGCTTTGAAGAAAAGGGGTCTGGTCCTCGCCATGAAACAGGCCAATACAAACTACCACAATTGTCTTCAACTTCCCAAGAAATTGCGGAGGAGACAATCTAAGAGCTTCCAAGTCCTCTCATCTTCCTGGCTATTTAATTTCCTTGAGAAATCCCTTCCATGGTTCGTGATGTATCCGGCCAACTTCCGAGATCCTTTTTCACATTTAAATCTTGCCTTCGTGAATTCGTATATTAACTATTAATATTAGGTCGGGGACATAATATGAAGTCTATATTTAGCATCTGAGATATCAGGCTCTATAGACATCACAAACGAATTTTAAAAATTTAGAAAAAGACAGACCGGTTGCAATTGCCAATATGTTCAAAATACTAACAGACATAGTACATATGCTGTGGCACTTGTTCGGTTACACGATGTTGGCAGTATTTTGACGGAGCATTCGACTCTTTCATTATTAATCTTATGCACTTGCACTTCAGCCTTTCGCTTCCAACCCCCAGGACATTTATTACGTATACTTCAATACTTAAAGGGCAAAAGAGAAGTTTTCTAATTGGCGGTCAATAACGTGAGGTAATCAGGGGAATATTATGCATACACTGACAATATACGTTAGTTAGCTACTACGGAATATCAAAATTTAAAATCCCAGATCCCGAAGTCGCAGCTAGTTTCTTCTACTCTCATCCCCCTTAGTCAGGCCATTAACCAGGGCATTGTTTCTTGTTTCAAAACCGCTGGCGAAGTTCTAGGGTGAAACTGGGAACTAATGCAATGTCCAGACCGCCAAAAGATACCAGTCTTGCTGACCTTGATGGATTAAGCATGGTATACATAACCTTATACTATTCCACATTCCAACGAAACGCTCATGATCAGCTCATTTCGACCATCCTGCATCGATCCGGATGTATCCGACTATATATGTCGGCAGACAGCTTCGAACGGACTGATAGGTAGGAACATTCTCTGAAAATTAGTGTGTCTTCGCGGGATTTCTTGGCGCCAAAGTTCGAACGTTCCAGTCGAATTGAATGGATCAAAACGTAAAGACAACATCGTTATGCATCACAACACTTCGATTATCTTAACCCTAGCCATCTGTTGGCTAGAAGATATTATCGATTGACAGGGTTGCGTGGGGTCGTAAGGTTATAACTTCCATGCACCTAGGCCGGGATCAAGTCAGGAATATACGATCGAGCCAGTCAGCCACGATTTTGAATGCATAAATATATGAATGATCTATATTCCTGGGAAACATAGGGTGGCCAGGTTTACGAAGCTTGTGAATTTGCGCGAACACTGAGCTTATAACTCTGCAGTTGTGTTATCCCAAAGTTGGGATCCCGGATCACGGGAATATTCAAATGCGCCCGCAAATTTAGACTACAGTACAGTATGGAAATGCTCACAGGGGCGTTAGCGGTTGACGGCATGTAAAGAAAGTTTTGATTTTGAGTTTTCAATTACAGCTTGCATTTTAAGCAGATGCCACCCAACTCTGAGGAGAGACAACATAGTAGCTGACAGGACCGATACATATATAAGGCTTACCCGCGGTTTTGAATTCATAAGTGAGAGCCAAAAACAGTCAACCCTATATCAATCTCAGAAACTCTGTCTGAATATATTATAAGGCCAAATTAATTCGAATATATATTCTATGTCTATAAGTGTATAGATAAGCCAAAAAAAAAGAGATAGCCCCCAATTCGGTATCCCGAATCGCCAACAGCATTATAAATCCCCCTCTACAGTGATGGTAGGCTTCATGTATAAAGTTACCGCAGCCTTGCTGCCTGTCGGGCCCGAGGCTATGTTAGATTGGATATTCTCCACACTCTCACAAGCTCACTTTCTCTTCATACTAATGGGAATACCCCTTTTGTGTATCATCACCGCTACAATGTACAATCTCTACTTCTCGCCTCTTGCAAAAGTCCCAGGACCCTGGTATACTGCCATCCCAGGATTCTGGCTAAACGTAAAATAGATAACACGCGACAGGACACACTCAATTTATGAACTACACCGTAAATATGGTATGAGAATCCAGGTCCTGGCGTCCACAGAAATCGCCATTCTTTTCACAAACTTATCATCAAAAACTAACTTTCTCATGGATATCAAAAGAGCAGCCTAGATTACGTAACGGCTGGCCTTTCGGGTGGGGTAGCCTTACTCGGAGGCAAGTTTTTTGGCTGATTAATCAGCAAAGCGACGCTGACTCAAAATTGTCCTCTGAAAGAACTTCGAACCGCATTTCTCTCCCCGATAGTCCCTCACGGTCATTTTCTTTGATCTAACTTTATGGAGAGCTGGTTGAAAGAATCTGGAGCGGTCGGCTTGGACGACTTGAAGCTTGCTGACTTCCCAGCCACCGGGCGTGGTCTAGGATCACTACGGCATTTCAAGGAAGGAGAAAGGATTCTCACCATACCATCTAGCATTCTCTGGACAGTCGAGCATGCATATGCTGACTCCATTATTAGGCCAGTACTTCAATCTATGCAAGGAGCGTTATCTGTCGATGACACCTTGGCCATATATATTCTCTTTGTACGATCACGCGAGTCGGGCTACAATGGCCTGCGAAGCCATGTGGAGGCTTTACCTACCAGCTACTCTTCAAGCATCTTCTTTACAGATGACGAATTGGAAGTTTGCGCTGGGTCCTCACTGTATACTATTACAAAACAACTGAAGCAACAGATTCAAGACGATTACCGAACTTTAGTTGAACGATTATTTGGACAGTATTTAGATATCTTTTCACTTGGAAAATTCACCATCGAAGATGTAGGTGGTATCCGTGCGTCATTAATGGTTAACTGTTAACACATAACCTTTTTTTTTTAGTACAAGTGGGCTCTTTGCACCGTGTGGAGTCGTGCGATGGATTTTGTACAGCCTGACGGAAAGTCAATTAGACTGCTAGCACCATTTGCGGATATGTTGAACCACTCGTCCGACGTTAAGAAGTGCCATGTTTACGACACCTCATCTGGAGATCTCTCTATCCTTGCTGGGAAGGACTATGAGCCAGGAGATCAGGTTAGTTAGTCTTATTCCCATTGGTACCGTCTTAGGTTAACATAGAAATTTTTTTAGGTTTTTATTAATTATGGGTCTATTCCGAACAACCGGCTTCTACGACTCTATGGCTTTGTTGTACCGAATAATCCTAATGACAGCTATGATCTCGTTCTGATGACCCAACCTGAGGCACCATTTTTTGAGCTAAAGCAAAAGCTTTGGGTATCAGCTGGACTTGATTCGGTCTCTACCATCTCTCTCTCTCTCAATGATCCGCTACCGAAAAGCGTCCTCCAATATCTTCGCATACAGCGGGCGGATGAATCTGATCTCGCCATCATAGCGCTCCAGCAAATTGATGCCACAGACAAGATACTCAGCAATTCTAACGAAGAGAAAGTCCTGCAGGCTCTGATAGAATCGTTCTGTGAACTTTTGCACAATTTTGGGACTCAAATGGAAAAGCTAGATGAACAACTCGCTGAGGGCTTCTATCCTCCAGGTACAAATGCATGGTCGGCGGCGCATGTTAGTCTGGGTGAACAACGGGTGTTGAGATCGGCGAGAAAGAGAGCGGAGGATCTGTTAGCGGCATTGGAGAGCAGGAACAAGGTTGACAGTGGCTTTTCGGCACCGGTGCGATGCGCTAATTGTGCAAAAGTCGCTGTACAATTGATGTTGTGTGGAAGATGCAAAGCTGTTAGGTATTGTGGGCGGACATGTCAGGTCGCTCATTACAAAGAGCACAGGGAATTGTGTCAAGCTACCGCTTCCAAGAGTGGTTCTGTAAAGAAATAAAGAGAAACATCTTCTAAAACCGACAGTTCATGATCCTAATCATACAAAAGCCCTTTCCGATTTGAACAATTTATTGAGAATTTATTGAAATTTTAATAATAAAACGACCGTGTTGGCAGTTTCGACGCTTGGTATCCAAAAATCAACCGCGCTGTTCCGCAAATGGAAATGCCCGACTGAAAGGAGGGTTTTACTTTCTCTTTTACTTACCGGACGAAATTTAAAACGTCACATGACTAATTTATTATTTTACAACAATCTCAACACAGCATATTTAGTCAGTTAGTCATTCAATTAGTTAGTAAGTACTTATTCATTGATTAATGAAAATATTTTATAAATAAGAATAAATCAGTTCCTTTCAGGAGGGTTTACGGTGGTCCGAAGGACCCCTCTTGTATAAATAGAATTTTACCTCCACAATCATGAACACATTGTACTTATTACCACACAGAGTCGACCTCGAACGCCGACAGGGTAGCGTCTTGATATACCACAAATACAACACAATTGAATACAAAATTTGATACTGAAACAACACACAGTCTCGTGGGGTTTTGCCTGGCAACAGACATACAAGCTAGCCCAGCTTGAGCCTGATGTGTGGGCTCGAATCCAGGTACCGGAGCTATCAGCTGAGATATCCCAACCTAACAGAACATTAGTTGTAGGTTTTCTGGCAAGTAATTTTCTATTTTACATGTATAAGATTCCAGATCCGTTGAACCATTGACGGGAGTGCGAGTCCCCATCTGTAGTTTGCAATAAAATGCTGACGCATATGCATATGTGTCGTAGTTTGCCGATATGTCAAAGGATTCTGGGGCAAGACCGTTAGGGACCAATTGTTCGCGACATCAAGCTATAAAATCCCGGAGCCCGTCTGTGCGTAATAACCCCGGAGAGGCCATTTAAGCTCCCCGGCGATGTGAATCATATTCCCGAAGAAAAATGGGATGACAAGTGGAAAAGTTACTAGCGAGCACACAATTCTACAACCTGTTCTGTCCATCGGAAAATTGATCGAGGAGTGGGTCATACAATCGACCTCCTTGATTGATAACCCCTCACATTCGAGAAGTAGAAACGTGCCCTGATTTTCCCGCCAGCCTTCCCCCTTTGGGCAAGGAAGCTGCAGGTAAGGTTCCATCTGGTGGCGCACTTTCTCGAAGTTCTATTCGACGTTGGCTCCACATTCCAACAAGGATCCCTGCTCGTGCAAACAACACAGGGCAAACAACATTTACGAGATTCGATTCTTTGGAAGCTTTTCGGGCCAGAAAGTCGAAAGATCGGAAGGAGGGGCTGATAACGTGTGCCTTGCATGCAGGATGGTTTCCTTGCAGGTGGAGAGCCGTCAGTTAGATGGTATGCTCGGGTGTTTGCTCTAACCCAGCTTCTCCCCTTCGTTGAAGTTTGTAACTCAATCAACCTACACACGACCGCCCGCATTTTCAAGTCTGGATCCGAAGAGCGAACGAGCCGAGTTGCGTCCCTCTCTTACAAATGCATGTCTTGCCCTCGAGTCGGGCTCGACTCTTTCCTCTCTTTTATTCTCCCCACGACCTTGGTTGGCTCCGACTACGTACTTGAAATCTTCACTCGGGTTTCTCTTCAAGGCAATTTTACAACCCATCGAAGGAGGGTGAGGGGTCGGGAGAAGATGTTGTAAGAGGAAGAGTTGCAATCGAAAGAAGCCAGTTAACCCAGCAAAGCAGCATTAGGAGAAATTCGATCAAAACGCATTCAATATTCAGCTTTCAACCCTGTTAACCCACCACAATTCCCCGACCAATGTCTCGCTTTCTTGATACACTTGTATTGGTTTATCTTAGTCCTATACTATAGAATATAGGAGGGCTGAGGCGCTAACGCGATTATGCATAGGCATTCGAATGGGCTATGGTGGTCGGAACAATTTTCTTGGTTATTCTTCGCCTTTATCATCGGAATCGCTATGCCTATATAACGCTCTTCGAAGATGGGTTCGTGGTAGTCGCTTGGGTATGTTTCTTGAACCAAGTCAGCCTAGATACAGTTTTACACGACTTGGGGTTCTTCAACGAGGAATTGGGTGTCGTGGCGGTTGAAGTTGATGGAGGAATAGTAGGCACTACAGCATCAAAGGTAAGAGATGAGGACTATAATGCAACATCTTGTCTAGCAATTTCCCTTAACCAAAACTCACGTCGCGATCAGATATTCTTTGTGAAGAACACAACGTACCATTTCTGCATGTATGCCGCCAAAACAGCCATACTTTGCTTCTATACCAGGCATATCCCGGAAACAATGAAGAGGACACGGGTGTGTCTATGGATAACCGTCGCCACAGTGGTCCTCGGCTTCGTTGCCAGTATACTACTCGATTTACTACTCTGTATGCCCATATCGAGGAACTGGTATGTCCATCCCCTTCGAAATTTCGTTGCTTGAGATCGAGTAAGGCCACTCATCGCTCACTACTACTACAGGAATCCGAACGGAAATTGCTCTTCCACTGCCAGTTCGATAGTCACATATTTCTTTCACTTTCTGACAGACATTATGGTATACATCCTACCGGTTTCCGCTATTAGAGTTCTCGTACTCCCAACACCACAAAGGATTGGAGTCGGTATCACATTTGCTCTTGGATTTCTTTGCATCGCCTTCGCTGCTACAGTCATAGTTTTTCGCTATGTTACCACCTCTGCAACTACAATTTGGATAGTTGCGATATTTGAACAGACATTATGTGTCTGTGTAGCATGCGCCCCTGCACTAGAGGTTTTAGCGAGAGGATGCGACATCAGAAGGTGGAAGGGTCGGATGAGCTATAACAGGGGGAAGAATCAAGACACAGATAGCGAAGCAGGAACGATAGATGCCAGCTCAAGGCCACAATCAGATGCTACAATATTCGACCAAACACAAAATCACAATCTTGAAAGAGCGCCGAAAAGGGTTGAATCGCTTCTGGGCCAAGAAGAGATCGAAAAACCTCATTTATGCAAACCAACCCACATTTTACCTAAAATATCACCTGTTGCCGCGTATAACAGACAAAGCCACGACACTGAGTGCCAATCAAATAGTCCGAACTCCCCTGGCTATACGATGTCGATTTCGTCGATCGTTGATTTCTATGACTTGGAGAGACAGTTACAGCTGGACGATGAGAAGAGACAGGCTACAAATTGTAGTCCCGTGCTAGAACGCGCAAGTAGCGAGTTACACCAGGGCTCAAACCCGCCTCTTCCGATAAACCTTATGGAAAAGGATCTAGAGAGCTCTGGAAGTAGCCAGAGGATTTCAGAAAACTGGTAACAAAATGATACCCCATATTGCTATCGCGTCTAACGGACTTACGTCTATACAACTGGGGTCTTGTCACTACTAGTCGGCCCTTACCAGCGGCGTTTACTTATTTGTATATATAACCTTGTAATTTCGATTCAACTATTAATTATCATATTCACTTCCACTCGCAGGGCGAGGCTCAACCTGTTAATCTATCGGCTTCGTGACAGGGTGGACCAGATCTTGTACTAGTATCTATACTAACGTATTAGTAGCGTATTCACATCGCAGCATTATACAGTCGTCAAGAACTAAACTGCATTCTAGGACTGACCTTATATACTTACCTAAATTCCACAGTCTAGTGGATATTTGATACTTGCTGAGCTTCCTTCAAGGCTGGATACGTATACTCCGCTGAGCATTAATATAAGTACATTGACTATTCAAAAGACCGGAGTTGAAAGCAGTCTGAAAGCGACTGGTGGTAGGACCTTGCCTGAGAGTCAGAATGAGCCTGGTTATAAGACTTGAAGCAACTTCTGCTGAGCTAAGTTGGGCTCTTATGGCTATAAGGTGGGACACGAGACTAACTATAACGGTAGTTCTGTGTGGTCTAGCCCCCTCCAAATTATACCTTCTGCTCTCTCTCAACACCATAACTCCACCTTCACCTTCACCTTCACCTTCACTTTCACCTCCACCTTCACCTTTCAAGCTACCTCCCAGACGTTCCAACAGTCGTATCGGTATTCCGAGAACACCAACTTCTTTTCTTGTCGTCACTAATCCCTTTACCATCAAGGCTCCCTCTAATCACTACAGATCTATCATCTAACATCAAGATGCCTCTCTCAATCAACAATTATCTTGAGTGCTGGCTGTACGATTCCTTCTACCAAAAAGTTCCAGATGGTAAACAACCTAAAATCAAAGACATGGTCAACAAGGTTAAGAGTACTAGGCTGCCTGATCCGCTAAAATCAATCCCATTTGCGATCATCGAAGAGAGAATCCGAGAGGATCTCGTTGTGTAAGCTTCAGAAAGACTCTAGATACGATCTAGTTACCCCAGGGGTTCTTATAAGGGCCGCGTTAGACTAACTTCTATGATAGAAAGGCGACCTTTCGAATTCCGCCCACTCCAAGCGATCCTATTGTAGCAAAGGCTTTTCCAAACTGGCAATCCTGGCATCGTATTGGTCACCAGTCAAGTATCCCTGTTGCCCCGAAAGGTGCAAAGGGACAAGCCCGAAACGTTAAATCTCCACCGCCAGGAAATCTACATAATCAAGGTCAACCTGCTTTTACGCAGAACTCAACTGCTGGCGGTCACGATCGGGATCGCGATCGCGGTAAACAGTTTGGCAAGGGGAAGACACACACGTTCAGACCAGCTGGTAAGTTCCGCCCACTCGTTCCCTTCGAACAGTGATCTGTCCTGACTTGCAGCATAGTCTACCATGCTAGGGCTATCCCTCTGGATTCCGTCGCCGCCACCGGCCAGCCTGTTTCTCAGGCACCGACTCATATGTTCCATGGACAATGGAAAGATATCCTTAGCAATAACAACGCTGCAACAATGTTTGACTGGGCTACAGATAGCGACGCGAACGCCCAGGCATCCAATGAGCCCGTTATCTCTTCGGCCCCACTCTTTACCTCAGATGTTATCCGCGTCAATCCTACTGTTGACAACGCGCCCCCTGGCAGTATCCAGTTTGCAATCTTCGCCAAGCTTCACAGCTATAGGGGAAGCTCACCAGGACCTGGTTTTCCATATCAAGAAGAGCTTGAAGATGACATGGTATTTCTCAATACCAATGCTCCATTCACCACATTCATCTGTGGATTACAAGGATCCGGGAAATCCCACTCCCTTTCTGTTATTATGGGTATGAAGAACTTCTCGGCCTTGGTAGTTGAATCGAGAAGCCTCTGCTGAAATATGGTCTTTAGAGAATTGTCTTATCCAGAACCCGGCAATTGGGGTCCTCCATCGTCCTCTCGCAGGCGTTGTCTTCTACTTTTCTCCATTCACGCCCCTTGACGCTGGAAAACCATGCGAAGTTGCCTACCTAGCCGCTCCAGCCGTTAACTCAACCGCTCCAAATGGGTCCTACCTGGCCCGTGCGAGAAAGGTTACTGTCCTAGTGTCCCGATCCAACCTTGAAAACATGAAACGCGTTTATGGAAAGATTCCTGGGGTTACCGTTTACCCTCTACTTCTGAAGGCTAGCCAGTTGACTGCAAAAACAATGTTGCACCTGATGTCCGTCCAAGAGGATAACACGTCACTCTATTTGGCAGTTGTCACTCGCATCTTGAGGGATATGGCGGCAGAAGGTGGCTTCAACTACGAAAAGTTCAAGGCTCTGCTTTCCACCGAACCATTCTCTACAACTCAATGGTCTCTCCTCGACCTTAGACTGGAGCTTTTGGAGTCTTTCTTGGGTGCCGAAGGAAATCCAAACCCTTTTGACGCCTCTGAGGGATCCATCACTATCGTCGATCTTACCTGCCCATTTGTTGACTCCGAAACAGCCTGCGTTCTCTTTTCCATCTGCCTCGATCTCTTCTGCTCTAGCCCTAGCACCACTGGTAAAATCGTCGCTCTAGACGAAGCCCACAAGGTAACATACTCTTATCTCCTACCGGGGTTTTACTAATACTCTTAATAGTTCATGTCTCAAACCGCTTCCTCCCAACAATTCGCCAAGTCTGTTATCCAAAACATTCGCCTCCAGCGCCATCTCGGTCTCCGGACGGTAATCAGTACCCAGGATCCCCACGTTCACCCTGAACTACTCGAACTCGCCTCTTTCATCGTCATGCATCGTTTCGATAGCCCTCGTTGGTTCAACACTCTTCGCAAACACGTCGGTTTCCATAATACTAGTGAAAATGGAGACACGGCCGAAGATATTGAAACTAGTAGACAGGCAGCCAGCGCTTTTGAAATGATCATGAATCTCAATGCTGGACAAGCTCTCGTCTACTGCCCTCGTCTTATGACTGTTGATTATCGTCAAAATAACGAGAAGGTTGTTCGGCTTGGTACTAGGTTGATCAGGATGCAGGTAAGGAAGCGGCTAACTTTGGACGGAGGAGTTACCAAAACTGCTCTGTAAATCAATAATACACGATTCTTTTTGTTTGTAATTCTATCACATGTATTTTGCAGGCGTCGCCTTCGTTATGTTTGTATTTCCATTGACGGTTTATCTTTTACCTCCACACCAGCCGTGTTGGAAATAAAAAGCGTGTTCCTAATCAGTTTCCTACGCCCCAACCGTGTATTTTATCATGCTTCTCCTCATATTTGCTTGACCTTCAACCCACTGTTGCCTGACTATTCCAAATATCAGTCATCCTCCATCCAAATTTTTATATCTTCGACCTTGAGTTGCAGTCCAAAATACCACACCAGGAGGCGGAGCATTGGCCATCCTTGGCCTCTCATATCTTTCGTCAAACTCACCAATCGAAAAACGGTATGTGGGGGCAATCAAGGGTCTTCATGCAAGGCAGGTTTCGCTGGCACCTCAAAAGAAAGAAAAAATACCTTGAACACCCCTCTATAACACTCCAGGGACCCCATCTCGATGGAACATACACCTTGCCCCGCGCCAGCTGTCCATCACCTACGATCCCCTCAATCACTTTACACAGGCGGAGGAAAAATCTTTTAAAAATGTGATAAGATTTTCTCTTATGCATCGATTTTATTATATATTTTTTTTTCTAGCGCGCATGATAAGCTGCAGTTGACTGGAACAAGGTTGAAATTATCCAGTATGCGGAATACATCATTGGCCGCTGTCGACTCATCACTGCCTAGCGATTTGGCCTGGAATATATCCCGCCGTCTCGGGCCGGCGTAGACTCTACATTTTGCCATGCGTATATTCCTGGACAACTTTTTTATATCTGCCAGCTGTCATCAAACAGCCACTCCTTCGCCATGACCTCTCTTCTTCCTCATCAACCATCCCGACACGCGTCAAAATGGCCTCCCTCTTGACAATTGGTTCAATTCGCGAGCTCTCATTCGAAATCATTCAATATCTCAGTCCACCAGATATATTCTCCTTCTCGCTAACTTGCAAACTCTTCTATCCTGTTTGTTACCAAACCCTTTGGTCGACTCTCCGCCTCTATTCAAAGTCTCATATCTCCGACAAGGGTCTTATCTGCCATAAGCTCGTAAGAACTATTAAAACCCGAGGTATCGATAACACCGGTATACAGCATGTTAGGTCGATCCTACTGCATCGGTACTCATTGACTTGCACGAATGGGTTTGCGAAGAGTGGGTTGATCCATATCCTGGGGGAGCTGCTTGCGAGTGGGAGGCTGAATTTGAAGTATTTGGAGTTACGGTATAATCGTGAGTTACCTAGGTATTATCTTGAACGATTTTAGTTTACTTAGAAGCTATATTTTCGGGATAGTATCATGGTATACCCCCTCTGAAGAGGAAGAGCTATTCGGCTTCCTCCGCCGACTTCGAGAATACTCTCAACGGAAACAACCAGATGAATTCTCGATGGCTGTTATAGCGAATCCGATCTTTCTTGAGCCCGCACTGCATACCAAAGTCCTCGATATCGAGAAAATAGCCTCATTGGACCTTGAAATGGACTGGCAGTACAAAGGCAGCGACAACGATGAGCGCCAACAGGTCTTGTTTGGCGGACTAGGTGGATTGGAGGACAGCGATAGCGACCACACAGATCCTGGAGACGATATAGACGATCTAGACGATGAAGAACTATGGCCTCGTCCTACACCAGATCAATCTGGCTTATTGGACGGATCGCGTTCGTCTAATTTTCAAATCGACACGAGTCAATATAATAAACGGCTAGCAGAGATTTTAAATAACTTACTGTCCCAAGCCATCAACCTCAAATCTCTAACAATCCGTTCATTGCGCGACAACGGGAGAAAGTATGTAGACTTCAAACTTTCGCCGCCATTGAAAAATCTTCGAACCACGATTAGCAATTTACCAAAACTCCATACATTAACGATCCAAGGCAAATTCTTTCACCCCTCATTCTTCGTTGCCCCACCCGATAGCGCTAGGGTTGTTAGCTATGACGGTATTTTGTCGAACAAATGGCTGAGAGGGTTTAGAGAGTGTTCCTTGAAAAATGTAACACATTTGAATATCAGATTTAGGGCGGATATACGGGAGAGAGGGAAGGGGTGCAGAGATTTTCGCAGAAGGCCGATTAATTATATCCAAGCTAGAGGGTTGTTAAGGTGCGATATTGAGGGATTCGATATGGTAGCACCAGACTTGGGAGGGTGCATTTTGAGGGGAAACCAAGGGCTTCATGAGACATCGAAGAAGGGAATATCTTGTGAAATAGACCATTCGATATGAGGATTAAGTTCTACAGCCTAAAAAAGGGAACCGGGATCCTATCTGCCAAAGACAGCTAATGTAGAATAGAGGGCTTGAAAATAAAGTTGGAGCAAGGGGCTGGCATTCTCTTTCATGACGGGTGCCCGCCGAAATCCCGGAGGCGGGATCAAGCGTTTTCCGATAGTCTAGATTAGATTGTGAACGAGCATAGGAAGAGAAAGTGGTCGTGTGTGCACGTTTAGAACAACCCCGCCTCGATTTTTTTTGTTTTGATAAGCGAAGAGGAACTCAGCAACGTTTAATGCAGCGAGAGGCCAAATTGCGGAGTATAGTAAACAAGTTATCGAATAAATTGGTTGGATACAACAGTATACGTAATAATTTCTTCAACTCCCGTCTAATTTGAGCTTTTCTCTAGCCTCTACTATGTAATACCAAACTTCTCCACAAACTGTAGCGAGGGAAACGCCCGAGCTCGACCTTGAATTCCTGATATTTTTTAAAGAAAAAGAGGAGAGGAGAGGAACCCGGGATCTTCGCCATGACGCCAAGGTAGGCGCGGCGCTTGGTCCGTGTGGTTTTCTCAGCTCGCGTAAACCCAGGCCATTACGTATGAAATGGGAGGCTATCGGAGCTATCTAACCGGTTACAAAATGTTGGACGCCATTGAAGTGGAGGACGGGAATCGAAGAACACAAAGAGGTGTGCTCTTCAGACCATCACGGTCGAGCTCTCCTCGGTAGTTTTATCGGTGGGTCCTTTACTCAATCGGTTTTGTCACGCCAGACATCGTTAGCTTAGCCCTCTCCCGTTAAGTCCTTCATGTTAGTTGCAATTGAATTGAAGTCTGTTTGTCATACGAAAGCCGTGTGGTATTTTCAACCCCCACTGTGTTGTTGATGATTTTTCTCCTTTCCCCGTTTTTCAATTTCCCCCAATTTTCCAGCGCTACGAAAACCTGCGAAAGGCCGGTGGCAGGAAACAGCCAATCATCTGGACTGTGTCGAGTGTCGTGTGAGCAATTGCTCGAGTTGGCATCTGCAGGGCAGGGGAATGTGTATTTATGCATATACCAAGCCGGAAACCCCATATCCTGCTGTTCTTGGACATCATGCCAAGCCAGCTTCCGAGCCTGGGTAAGGGAAAGCTTAAGGAGTTTTAACACTGACACCTTCCAGAATCAGATGAATACCCAACGTCGAACCCGCTCGCCCGGAGGGAAAATGTTTTTTTTTGTCTCGGAGGCCTTCTATTGTTATCGATATCGTAATTTTTTTTTTTCAAGAATGAAAAACAAGGGACGAAGAAAAAGCGAAATAAAATACCAAAAAAAGACGACTATGCCGGCCGCGGAGGCTGCATGTGTATGCGGCGGGAAGATTCGGATTCATGAATTGCTAGCCTCAAAGCAGATCAAGCGCATCATTTATCCAGGGACGGTTTTGGGGGGTATCACCGAGAGGCATTGAGATGCATCCTGGTGCATTTTGTTACATCGTATGATGCCGAAGCTATGTCAACCAAGATTATGGTAGACTATACTTTACTCCGTATAAGTGAAATGAAGAAAGTTTCAGGCCCACATTCGACGCTGACGCATGCATGCAAGCACAAGTCTAGACGTCTGTCTGTCATGTCTCTGATCAAATAGGCGGATAGTAGATCAATGCGTGCCGTGATCCACCCACTACCAGCTTCCTTTTGGCCTTCTAGATCATAGGCAGAACGCAATTCTTAGACCTTCTAGGTAGTTACAGGCGGTTGGAATGACCTTTGCAAATTTCGAAGGCTACGGTAGCATGCTATAGCAAAAGAGTCCACGGAAACCCTTGCCGATGCAGCGCAGCTGTCGAGGGTCTGCCCTAGAAGATTTCACCAAGAACCTTATCATCTTTTGGCAAAAGCTTCTCGTCGCCCACAAGATTTCTTAGGAACCATCCAAGATTGCTTGTCTTAGCCGGCCCATTTGTTTCCAAAGCTATACCCGCCTGGGAAAGTCGGCATCCCGAAACAAGGCAAAAGATTATATGTGTTGAGGCGAAATCGGGCTGCAATTCGCATGCAAGTCAACGACCCCTCACCGTCCTAACCATAATCGTGGGAAAGAGCAAGTTTCCGATGAAGTTAAAATAACCAATCAGAAGGGCCCATTCATCAACGTGTTTGAACTCTTCTTCGATATTGGTCGCTTATCTAGCTTGCGACCTGCACCGTTGTCCTGAGTTCGCCGAAAATAACGTGCATTCGGCTGCCACAACCAGACGTCAACTTATACTGCCTTGCATATTAGCGATGTTTCCTGGGATGAGGCCAATAGAGCTCACGCGACACCAGATCAATTGCCTGGATTTTTTTTATTTTATTTTTTTTCCCTCTCATTTTCCGAGCAGAAAACAATGGCACGAGGGGCAGTTCGGAATGGTGGTTGGGTTCAGTGGGAGGGGGGGGTATATTAATTTTTTGGCCTTCAAGATAGTCACGCCGGATTTATATTCAATATATAAGGGAGCTAGCGGACGGTTTTGATTTCTCCTCTCGACTGCTCAGCTAGCTATCCTCCTCCGTCCGCCAGCCTTAGGGTTCTAGACGTATAGTTACGCCAATTACCTACTATCCGCCCCGTAGACCCTGTTCTATACGGCTTTTATCCAGAACGGTCTTAGACTTTTCAATTGAACGGACCCTTTTTACACGTACACCTTATCGTCTGACTTTCACCTAATTTTCTGTCATTTCAGCGACTTTCCAAACGGTGTCCGCCGGTGTCGCTCAGATCCTCGTCCATTCTCTCGGAGATCTAAAGTTGATCGCTCTATTTATAGCCTTATATATAATTCGGTCATTTGGAGTTTCTTCACGAATTCGAAGTAACCAACCAAACGAACAAACAGATTTGAATCATGAGTTCGAATACATCACCATCCGATTCTCCGGCGTTAAAAGCGGCCAATGAGGCTGCCGCATATTCCGTCGATAGCTCGAGTACGGATAGTCTTCCAGAAAGAGCTCTCTTCGACCCCATTCTCCTTCCCGACGATAGCTACGATATCGACGGCACATATTGGGCGGACCTGCCGCTAGCTAAGAGAGTAAAATTCGTTCTCAACTACGACCTCTTCGTTGAGGGTAAGAAGGAATTGGGGGAGATCTGGCAGGGTACAAAGAAGAATCCACTATATCCTTTGATTGCCTATTTCAAAAATGCCGTTCTTCCTGGTGCTGGTTTGGGATTGGAGGGGTAAGTTGCAAATTCTTGCCAGAATTGGCCAAGGTAGTTTGCTAACGGAATTATCTAGATACGTTCTTTTCTCTATCGGAAACATCAAGCCGCTATTTAAGGCGGTCTGGAAAGAGTGCTGGGATACCCACCAAGTTTGCGACGCAAGATGGGTGAACTCGATTGAATACCTCGAGGTTGCCGGTATCATGGTCGGTCAGATATTGGTCGGAATCCAGGGTGACTGGTAAGCGAATTCCTCTTCAATATCAAATCTCATTCCTGAGGCAACTTACTAATTTCAAACAACAGGGTTGGCCGAAAATTTGGTTTAGTACAGGATGCAGTTGTCATGTTCTTGGGTTTGGTACTTCTCACCGCTTCCTGGGGAACATCTCTAAACGGTTGGGTTATCTGCTACGCTTGGTGTCTATTCATCTACGGTATCGGTGTTGGTGGAGAATATCCCATGACAGCTACCATGAGCATGGAAAGCCGAACAGGTACTGGCGTCGTCTCCACAAAAGAAGATCGTTTACATCGTGGTCGTTCCGTCACTTCTGCCTTCCTGATGCAGGGATGGGGTCAATTCTGGAATGTCGTCGTCTTGATGGTAGTCCTATATATCGCCAATGGGACCGGGCATCCTCCATACTCTGAAAAGGCTGTTCAAATTGCCTTCAGAGTCAGTTTCGCCATTCCTGCTATTGGTACTGCCGCACTCGTCTGGCACAGAATGTTCTTGAAGAATACAAATCAGGAACTTGACGCTCAGAAGAAGAAGTCAAAGGTCACGGGGTATGATCTTGAATCCCTCAAGCTCACCTTCACCCACTTCGGTGGTAGAATGGTGGCTACCGCCGGTACATGGTTCGCAAATGACGTTTTCTTCTACGGTAACAAGCTCTTCCAGTCCGAATTCATCAAAGTCATCACCCCGAATGACCATTCCGTCATGACCGGCTGGAAGTGGAATCTTGTCAACGTCAGCGTTTCAATGGTCGGCTACTATATGGCCTCCCTCCTCATCGATAACAAGCTCTACGGAAGAAAACGTATGCAAATCGTCGGTTTCATGTTCGACTTCATTCTCTTCATCATCCCAGCTTTCGCATTCAAGTACTTCACATCTCGAGAACACATCTACGGTTTCCAGGCAATGTACTTCCTTTCCTCATTCTTCAACCAATTCGGTCCAAACTCCGTCACTTTCCTTGTTGCCGCTGAGGTCTACCCAGCCTCTGTTCGTGCATCTGCACACGGTTTCGGTGCCGCTATCGGTAAGCTCGGTGCTGTCGCCGCCGCCATCTTGTACAGCTACATTGATACTCAAACCAAATTCTACGTCGTCCCATGGTTTGGTCTTGGCGGTGCCATCATGACCTGGCTCTGGCTCCCCGATACCACCGGTCTTGATCTCGCCGAGCAGGAGAGAAGATGGAGGTACATCCGTCAAGGACGTGGTGACGAATATTGCGGTGTCGCCGTCCACAGCAACCATCTCAGCGTTTGGGAGCGATGGATGGGTATTGGAAAGCAGTACAATCCCGCTAAGGACTACAAGATGAGGATCGCAGAGATGCGTGCTGAGTGGGAGGAGGGTCGAAGCAGAGTTAGAGAAGGCCATGCTGATGAAGGTTGCCCGATCGTTTGGAACGAGCATATTGAAGCTTACTTCCTTAGAACGGCAGGTTCTCCAGCTGATCATGATGTGATTGAACACACGACAGCAGAGATTACGCATGTGAACGAGAAGAGCCAATAATTATTCAATCAGCGTTAATGTTATAGGGTGGTATGAAGGCTAATGTACGAATAGATGGGAAATGAGGGTAAAAGTTAGATGTGTCAGTTCTGATATATAGAGCTAGACTGTTTTGTATATACATTATTATTGAGTAGCTTTTATGTAGTAATATCATTATTGGAGTTTTTGGCGTTGACATCATTTGATCATTGTTGGATTTTTCCTTTGTAACCCTGGGCCTCGGTGCCGGCCTCAGGGTCTAGTTACTGAATACATGTATACACAAGACTTTAAGGCCTACGAAGCAATCTAGATCGCTTTCTACACCTTATGAGCCTTGAGTGTTATATTTGATCCTTCGTAAATTAAAATTAAATTACCTATAGCCTAGGTATACCGTGAAAAAAATGCCGTCCGGTCGCTGATACCCATGCCAAAGAAAAATATACAAAACCAAGGTCCAACCAAGCCCGGAAGCCCATAACCAAAAGAACAAAAGAAAAGAAGAGCAAGAGAATGCATTGAACAGAAGGACAATAGTTTCATATCCTTCTATGACCCGTAGGACTCATTGGCCCCGGTCCCTTTTCTAAATCCTCTTCTTTCGAGTACGGAATATTCTCCACCGTAACTTCGATCTCGACTTTCTTCCCGATCCCATTAGCTACACCACCATTACCACCACTGGTAGCACCAGTACTCCCATCGTTTGATCCATTCGCAGATTCCCATCCCGTTGTTGTTTGCCCCTGTAACGGCAGAATATTCTCCTCACTATCATTATTCAACATCGTGGGGCTCGTCACGCTGCTGGTTAGTTTATAGCTAGCGAGACCGGGCATCCCTACGCCTGTAATTCTTCGCGTATCTCGCCGTCGGTCGGCATCGTATGAGGAAAGACGATAGCTTGGCGAAGCACCTGAGGGTCTAGAACGTCCGTGACCGGAGCTAAGGAGGCCAGGGGCGTAGCGGTGAAGAAGAGGTTTTAGGGCTGGGAGGGAGGCGCAGAGGATTCCTAGGTCGCCTTCAATTGCTGTTACGATGTACAGTGGGCCACCTTGGTCTGAAAGAATGAATGTATTTAGTAAGTTTTTTTTTTAAAAATATATATATATATATAATATATATAAAAAAAGCGAGAGACGGTACGCGGTGGGCTTGACATACACGTGAAGTCCCAGTTAGTGGGGGAGAAAACGACCCATATGTAGTATATTCTGATAATACCAGCGATGCATACTCTATAAGCTCTTTGTTAGCAAACATTACTAAAGGGACGAGCTTATTTGGGGTAATAACATACATGGAACCCAAAGCGAAGACGAAGATAAGTCCAAGTCTCTGTTTCTTAGGGAGCTGGATCCCCCAGACTTCTCTAATAGGAAGGAAGAAGACATCTAAACGCTCTATCGTAAGCAGGCAGTTCCAATCCAAAAGCGAGTAGTAGATAAAAAGAACAAGAGGAAGGTGGGAAGATGGACTTACAAAGATCACTTAAGCAATTAAGCACCCCAAAGACCATAAACGCTAGTTGCCCATCGATGAACTTCCCATGGATAGACTTATCCCAATACGCACGTAGCGGGATCGCTTGCAAAAAGATCGTTATGATCGAAGCAATGGAGTAAGCGATCACATATGCAATACCTGCATATACGAACCATCTAAAAGACTTGGACGAGAACACCCGATGGTAAAATACCAAGATTGAGAGTTTTGCCAAACCGACGCACGGCACGAATAATGACTCGGTCGCAACGGCAAGCTAAAGTAATAAACAATGATGCCTCGGTTAGTTTAACCCTTTTCTTGAAATTTTTTTCTCATGCAGGTGCAGGGCAGCGCACGGCACTGCAATCTTCTCTCGGCTCCATATGAAAACAAAAACATCATCTGGGGAAAGGAAAAACGCGGGGCGGATTCTGGGGGTGTGGAGACCAATAGTTTGGAGTCGATATAGAACCAAGAGTCTGTCTAATGTGGAAGGGGAAGGTGGTGTAGCCGAGGTTAAAAAACTGGTTAAACTTACTTTTCGAGCGGGAACAAGCCATTCCGCCCTGAAGTCGTACAAATGGACTCCCCAGCCCCACTGCGGAGCTAGACAGTTCGCTGTTGTAAGGCCTATTGCAAAGAACTTTACAGGATATTCATTAGCACATCGATCTTATGAAAGTGGATATTTTTCCAACGTCGGTCGACGTCTAAATGTCTTATGATATGCGTCGGCATCTTCCTGGCCATGTGGAAATTCGGCGTCGTCCAATTCTTGACAACGCGCTCGGAACGAAAATACCACAAATACTTCCACATGCTAGAAATTTGGAAAAGAAGGAAGATTTCAACTTACCAAGGCTCCAGTCATCAACCAGTCATCCGATCCGATGCTTTTTGTGAGAACACCTCTGCTATACAGTCTGAGCATCATGACAATAGTAGTAACTGTACATAATGTGATTTCGATAGCCATAAGCTGCGCTGTCTGATTTTCCGGATTAACATAGTTCGGTGCAGGCCATGACGCAAGAACCTCTGGCGGTGGCCGGGTTCCTCTGTCGGACATCTTGAAACTCTGGTTAGGTGCCTGGCTGCAGAAAAACTGCAGACGCAAGGCTGTTCGAAAAGTTCTACCGTCGCAGGTTCGTTTGTTGATCAGGTGAGAAAGAGAATAAAAAAGAAACCCTTCGGACTATCCTCCTTTTTCTTTCCCCAGGTTTTTGATCGGGAAACTTTAGCAGCGAAAAGGTCCCAAAAGTTCCAACGCCTGGGGTAGGCGGGGAATGGATGGGGATTATATGGACAGGGTCGTTCAGGAAAAACTTGAGGCTGCAATGATGAAAAAGGAGTCCCAGATGCTAAGGACCATCGTCGTACGACGATGTGGATCCATCCATAAAGTGCGGGGAGACTGGAAACTCCCCTGCCTCATGCATATTTGCATGCGAGGTCTTGAAATTTGAATGCATGGTTCCAAGAGCTATAGAAGGCCTGCCGAAATGCATGAATGCTGGTTGCCTCGTGGTGTTTGAACAATAGTTCATATTCAAATGTCTTTTTTGATAACAGGTTAGACCGGACTCTCCGAGCGGCTAGCCATAAAGATGGGAGTAATTCGTCAACCGAAAGTGTCACAATAGTTATTGAAGAGGCCCAAGCTCCAGGTAAGTGGGTCGCGTGGAAAGATCGTGGGCCGAATGTGGCACTTGTCCTGGCCGGACCAGACGCAAGAAGGGTCTGTGTACCAAAAAGCGGAAAAACTGTGTTGTCCGTAACCCGTTAACCCTAAGGCCTATCAAATTTACCCTTCACCCGAGGATAATGAAGGGATTGCCACGAGGCCGGCTCAATATATCAACTACTAAGACATCTTCAGCGAATGTCCATGCGGTTGATGGATAAGGGGCTGGATAGGGCCCAGATCTTGGTCGTCGTTATAAATACCTCAGACGTCCGTGGGCGAAGACTTTCTAGAAAACCTTCTTTAGAAACTTTGTTGGATTTCGTTTCTTTAGCGCAGTGACATTTTGATTACGAATTCAACCGTTAAACTTCCTTCAGAGATAGTACAGTTACACTAGATACACTTTTCAAGTTTGGCGTCATTCGGAAAAATTATGCCGGTGAAATGATAGTCCAGCTATGTGTATTTAATCCCAATACGTTTGAGTTTGATACGAAGTACGCTCTACCAATTGCAACTAGGCCATGAGCCATGGCATTGTCTCAACTTGCATGGCCATTTGTCCGAGCACACAGGCTATTATCGAATGACTCGCTCTCCTTTCCCTTGTCTTGCCAATCATATACATGTTATCTTCCCCTGGAACATCAATTCTTTGTAGTTTAGCACATATCCTACAAAATTATGTCAGAGATCCCACATCGCCACGATGCAACTGCCGCCGAGTCAGTCTACACAATCTGACAGAAGTCAGCGAAGCTTCAGAAGAGCTGAGCTGAAGGTACGTAAAGAGGCAATTCGAATCGATCCGTCGAGCTGCATCGACCTGAAACAGGGGTTCCCTGCGGGCGACTTTCACATGTTCGGACGGTCCCACTTCCCAAAAGAAAAATACAACAAGGTATGAGATCTTTCCCAAGGATTCGATTAGTTCAGAGGGCTTTCGGTACCCTTTAATCTGTAACGCCAACGGCCAGGTTTTCGGGGCCATAAACATAAGACATTCTCTGCAAGCCACAACTTACACCTTCGACAGAACAGGCAATGACCTCCGGAATTTGACAACCTCTTTTTCGAAATTACTTCTATCGAATTTCTCTGGATGTTTTATGTATGTAAACCTGTTATAAATATATACTTCTAGATCGCATGGAACTTCTCGTTTGTCTCGCGGCGGGTATTAGTTAAGTCATTATATAACACACCTGATTCGCCAACAGGCAGCCATTCTCCTGGGACGGAACATGCCATTCAAAGCTCGAGCTGTCCCAATCCTCAGCCCACCATGGAGCCTTATCCATATGCTAGGATTCCTCCCTTAGCGATATGATGTACTGTTGTTAAGTTTAAATAGATCCAGCAAACCTCCTGCATAATCAACTATCAAGACTTATGTAATAAAATGGCAGCGGAATGAATCAATCTTAAGTCAGTGATTACATGTTTCGCTTGAGTCAGGGAAGTTTAAACGGCCTATGAGAGAACCGAAATTCAGAGATTCTCAACCTCTCAACTGCTATCCCCAACTTTATTTTCGAGCATCCCGGAATTTGAACAATGATTCAAACTGGAGGCTTTTTGCGACCCTTGAAAATCTTTGCTTCGAGAAATTCCCGAAATACCGACTTGACTTGCTGCCATTGTGGCTTATGAATAAACTTCGCTGAAAAAGACCTAAGAGATGCCGTTATGATACGATTGATTGTAGACCGGACCTTGCGTAGGCTTACGATGGGTGTTGAGAGCAGGTAGGTGCGGTGTGAGTCCATCCCCAATGAATCTTTCTAGGCCTCGGATTGACTATGGCCGAAGAAAGCCCCAGACGTGCTCAGGTTGGATATATGTCTGCTGTCCACATTTATACTATTTATACTTATACTAGTTTAATACCTAACTTCAATTTACTTACTGCCATTTTATAAAACAAAATGTTTAGAAAATCAACTGATTCCGTTGTTAGATGCGTGGAGACCCGCGAAAAAGATATTGATTCATGCCATCTAACATTCGCTTATAATCTCTGTTATTTTGCCGATTTTGCAAAAGTCGGACGCCGCTCTAGTTGCCTCTTTTCCAAACCTGTGCCCCGTCACTAGGCATTAGCGAACCGTACACCCAAAATAATTAAACTGGATTAGCACTCAGATCTCACCTGTCCATTTAAATGGCTTTTGGCCGAAGTTAACAAGAACTTTACACGCGCGACCCCAATGGCCTACCACTGGGTACAACTTCCGCGAAATCAAAAACTGATTATCACCCTTGAATCGCGCTGGTGTATCAAATTTTAGCATCTCCTCTTTCATCATAAGCTCGATGGCACTAGTCACCTTCAATCTTCCCGTCAAGTGTGAAATAGTAGTCGCCAAGTTCATAGTCTACTCCACACCCAACTGTGTTCCCTATTCCAAACTTCGTTCCCTCATAGCGATACCTGTTGCCATGTTCTTCGAACATACCCCCGTCGTCTCCATGATATCCCAATGTCCATATATTCCAACCAGGTCCAGCATTTGCCAAGAATGATAATTCTCCACAGAGTCCTATAAGGACCGTACTTAATTCTGTGGAGCCACCTTCTGCCTCGATACCTTGGATCTCGATCTCGAAGTAACTCTTCTCAGTGTCTCGTGGCGGGAATGGGTGGTCTGATCGAAGGCTGCAGGCGAAATATGTGGGATTGTCATACTCGTCACGGCGGTTTCCGTCTTGCATCAAGATAATAAAAGATAAAATTAGTAACTTGACAAGGGCTAGAGATGTTTCAACTGGTGTGTATCTGTAATGAGGAATATGGAAAGTTACCTGTAAATGTAACAACAAGGCCGTTGTCGCTTATATCGAATCTATTGCCGACATCAAGATCTCTACGCCGATTCCATCTCCGCCAAATATCCGGTAGTGTCAACGATTTAGGGCTTATTGTGAAAGATTCCGGGATTCGATCGGACTTTACTAAAGGTTGTGAATCCAGTACTTGAGACTGGTAAATAAAATGATCGAGCGTCCAACCATCCTCGTCACGTATTTTTGATGCAGAGTCTAAAAGGGGTAGGAATTGTCGCCAGAGGATTCGGTCGCGATACTCGATGGCTGTTCTCAGCTCTCTAAAACCGCTACCACAGTCCTCAATATTTTGTGGTAACTTAGCCATACAGGCATCGATGAACTTTTGCCGTGGCTTCTCCCTTAAGATAAAGGCTGACTGGAATACTGAGAGTTTAGAGCCGACTCGGGTTTTGAATGGGTCAAATCCTTTGTCCAGTAATTCGAGCGCGATAGTCTCTTGGGTGTCTTCAAATTCCTGCCACGAATGCATGAGCCCGAGTAGTAGAGGGTCCAAAACTCCACTAGTAAGTAGACCCGGTTCAGCCTCCAAAATAGGAAAAATCCTTTGATCTAGCCCGCCATCGAAGTGTTTTGCGATGAGCCGTCCCAAATCCTCCCCCGACCAAAGAGGAGGGTTATCGGTCTTATCCCTCGCCAGTAAGATCCTTAATAATTCACCATTAGGATTCACAGCTGGTTGCATTGCCAAGTCTAAACATGTTTCATCAAGATCAGTCTTTGCTCCTATGTCAGAACCTTTTTTTATAAGCAGTTCTGCAACACTTGGATGGCCCTGTTTGATAGCGAGGTGCAGTGGCGTATTTCCTGTTTTATCTCTTATACTAATGTTCGCAACAGATCCTCCACCGTCCTCTAAAAGAAGTTTTGTTATATCATATCGCCCGCCGGAGGCCGAAAGGTGTAGCGCAGTATATCCTAAAAGGTCTTCTAGCTCAAGCTTGGGACGATGCTTTAACAAGGCTTCGACAGTCGCCAGGTAGCCGTTTATACAAGCTAGCATCAAAGGAGTGTGGTGGCTGGAGTTCAAAGCATTTATATCAGCACCATCTGAAATCAGTAGTTCAGAGAATTCCGCAGAGTCATAAGCTGCATGTAACGGTGTCCAGCCATTCTCATTCCCCAGGTTAATATCCGCTCCAATATTTAGCAAAGTCCTAGCAGTGTCTAATTTAGTATAACATGCACTGTCATATAGCGCTGTGCATCCGTCGTTGTCGACTTCGTTAACTATTCGTGACCACTGAAGTTTTGGTTCCCATTCAGGGAAGAGACGTGAAAATTCCGGAGATGCCACGAGTACATGCATCAAGGTTTCTCCAACCGGTCCCCGTAGATTTGCGACGTCAATTTTCAGCCTAAACGCGCGCTCGAGAAAATACTCAAGCATGGGGGTCCGAGAAAGTTCTACCGCCCACCTCGAATTTTGGACTAGAGTTTGCTGGAACTCTTCTGCGTAGCGATAATTCTCACAGATTAGGCGAACTATATCAAAATGGTCGTTTTTAATCGCATGGTAGACTGCAGTATTGCCCATGAGATCGGCGGTTGCGGTGTCCGCCCCAGCCTCAAGAAGCAATTTGACAACCTTGAGTTTCGGTGTTTCCGCCATGCAAGCCACAATCAGTGGTGATCTACCTCGAGAATCTTTGGCATTAACATCTGCGCCGTTGTTTAAAAGAAGAGTGACTATTTCAGGCCGATTGATCGCAAGATGCAGTGGTGAAAACTTCGACCGATTTTCAGCATTCACGTCAGCTTTATTTTCAACCAGGACTCTAGCAACATCGCACCCGTCATGCACCGTTGCTAAATGTAAGGGGGTGTTTCTCGTGGGGTCAGGAGAGTTAACGTTTGCACCATGAGCTATCAATATCTTAACAACCTCGGGGTGGTCTTCTTGAGCGGCGTAATGCAGTGCTGTGCGTCTCTCGCCAGCTTCACCATTAGGTTCTACTTTCGTAGACAGAAGTACTCGTACAATCTCCGAATACCCGCATTTCGCTGCTTCTATCAGTGCAGCTTTGTATAAATTTTGGGTATCTGGATTAGATTGGTCACCCTGCCAATCCAGGAGGTGGTCAACGATAAGCAACTGTCCAGCTTTCGCTGCAATCTGAAGTAGTGAGATACGGTCTTCATCAGCCCGTGGCAATAGATGCTTGAGGACCTGGAGGTGACCATGTTTCACCGCGACCTCGGCTGGTGTTTCTTTTCTGGTATTTTGTATGTAGGTATCAATATTAGCATTTGCTCCAGACCTGAGAAGCTCTTCTACAACATTAGCGTCCCCAAGGGCAGCTGCTATATGAAGAGCTGTCCAACCCGTTTTTGTTTTCCGGTTGATAAACTCCACAGTTTCATTTCCTCGTGATCTAGCCCTGAGAACGAATTGGACGACTTCAAAGCTCTCAGACCCCACGGCGAAATGTAAAGGTGTCCATGAGCCTTGCTCGCTATCAATTGGGCTGGGTTTCGCCCCTAGAAACTTTTCAATGAAGTAGAAGCGTCGGAGGGCGGGTTTGTGGACTGGCTTGAGCGCTGCGTTCGGGGATGGAGGACTATTTCGCCCTAGTATCTCTTTGATATGAGCCAAAACTGGAATATTGTCCAGTTCTAGACATAGAAGGGGATCTAGTTCCCAATCCCGTAGGCCAAGTAAAGTAACATAATCTCGCACATTTTTATATTTCAAAATGTACTCTACTATGCTAGAGCTCCCACTAATGATTGCTGCAAGGAGAATGTTCCGCTCAGGTATAGTAACGTAGCTTTCCGATTCGCTGATAATTTTACTGCTGCACTCTGCACGTGGCAATAGGTCAAGTAGGTCCAGTCGCCCAGACTGTACAGCTAGGTGGATAGCAAGAACTAGCAGCTTCGCTTCCATAGGTTGCTTAGTTTCTATAAAATCTTTGAACTGCGATATTTTACCGTTGCAGATAAGAGCTCTGATAAACTCTTCTGATGAAATATTTTTAAAGATTTGGGTCCGGACACGGTAGCCGTTCTGAATCCGGATGTTGTAGGCCAAGTTTGAAGTCTCGACGACATCCTTGCTTAGTTTATCGACAAGCGATGTAAATCCGAAGTACTCCGCAACTTCGAGAGCACTCCCTATTCCTATAACTTTCGGAAGATTCGTCACTTCGACTTCAAATGGTAGCGTCGCGGTATAAGATGCTGACCTCCGCCCCGAGTCAGCACTGTGGTAAGCTTGAAGCCATCTATCTCTTACCAGAGAATCGTTGAGAAACTCAATCACCTCTGTGTGAATACCATTAGTAGCTTCTAGGAGGTTGGCTTGGCGATAGTGCTCTACCCAGTTCCTAACAGCATAATCGAGAAACTCCATACTTCGGGGGTGGGGGGCGAAGACTGCAGAAGTTGGATGCTGCCAGGGCGAAGATAAGTGCATTAAGCAGTGTTCCCACTCTTTACCAGCCTCTGGCCGTGAAAGGACCATCCGCAGGTAGTGGAGACACAACTTAGTTAGTTGTGTATGGTTTATACGTTTCAGAGAATGCTCAGGGTCCGCCTCCTCTAAGATTTTCTCCAATTGATACTTACCACAAACAGTATGTATCTGGTCATTTTCAACTTTCAGAAAGAAGCCAGCATACTCGGTAAGATCCGATGACAAATCTCGAGAAATCCTCCTATCGAGATCCTCGAGTGAATTATCTGTGAGATCAATTGCCAGTGCTACTGAAAGCTCCTCAAGCCTAAATGGTCGAACCGCTTTCAAGACCCAAGATATGCCTAGGCTACACCAGTCGGCTACAAACTCTCCGCATTCTTTGATTTTTTGCACTTGATGTCTCCGGAGATCAGCTATAGATGATGGGCCCATGCTGATACTATCGATTATGGTACTTGGTGTCAAAATACGTGGCGTATATAAAGAAAGAATTTGCGCGTAGAAATCAGGGGCAGCGACCCAAAGATCTAGTGCGCAGAGTTTTGTCCTTAAGGCGAGGCGAATCTCAAGATGTTTTCTGTCTTCAAGAAGTTTCAACCGTGGGCTATGTTTGATAGCCTGCTCGAGAGCCAGTTCTGCAAACCGGTCGTGACGCTCGGATACGACTTCAGAGCCGAGATTCAGAACGACTCTTGATGAAGAGCTCGTAAGGTTTTCGGTCTTAATTATATCCTCGCTCGAAAAAATATAGAGGAAGTTTGTGGAATGTTGATCGAAAAAGGTCCCCAAACGGTTGAGCCAAGCTGACATCACACTGCCCCCTTCTCTAAACTGCTTAAAGTCCACGGCGACAGCGAATGATAATCTAGAAGGGCAATTTGTAATTAAGATGGACAGCAATTCCCATAGATTTGTCTCTGTCCAAGTATCCCATAAGAAATACTCCTCCACTATCTTCTCGATGCTAAAGAACAAATCTGGTCGTTGAGAAATCACTTGATGTAAGAGAGCTACTAGCATTCCGTAGTTGCTCGCATAAATATCTCTGTTCGGCTCGAGGATGTACTGAACTAGGACTCTAGCTGTACGTCTTTTAACTTGTTGGCAAGCATATTTGAGCAGATGCGATTTTCCGTAGTTCGGAGGGCCGATAATTTGGATCTCGCTGCTGGAATCATCTCCCCTCCAATCATACATCTCTAGCGTGGTGAAATCTTCAGAATATATATCGCTTAAGTCGATCTCTTGGGCCAAAAACGATTCAGGCTCCCATATCAAGCAACGGGACGGTGAAAGAATTCGAAGAAATTGCAAATAAAGATCATAACTACTTTCATCTCGTAAAAATGTCGTCTTGATGCCGTTAAGTGTATCTGTTATGCTTTGTCAGCTTGTAATTAAATTGTATTTATTGCACCTTTATACCATTTCAAAAGCAGCTTACATACCGTCCATGATTCTGGGGCCTTGCAGTAAAAATACCTTTCTGAGGAAGTCAAGATCAACCAGAGAGTGCTTGTTGAACCGCAGAATAGTGGTTAAGCTCTGCTCCTTTCTCCACTCCACATGATGGGATTCTGTTTCACCGCCAAAAGAACCGAGTTCGCCAACCAGCTATATAGATCCCATGCTCAGAATCGAATTTATGACTAATAGATAATTCTCGGTACCATTTTCATACATACCGGAAGCTCGTTTCCATTTACGCCCTTCCCTTCGATCACGTTGATCAACATGTATTTTTGAAGGATATCGTAAAACTTGGAGTATATTTTTGTAGCCGCCGTCGATAACCCTGAGAGCACATTTGATATACGTTCGTCTGTCTTGAAGTTGCAATTCTGAATAATAGAAAGCAGAATATTTTCCCATACCTCGACTTCAGGAACTTGGTGGGGTGTTGCAAAGAATATCTGTATGCTCAATTCGATGTCATATTAGAAAGAAGTTATAACAGTGGGTGAGAATCTCAAGTTTGGGTAAATGACTATTTGTCAGGTAGTAATCGTACCAAAGTCGATGTTTGTAGAGCAATTCGGTAATAAAGGGGGTTTTGATTGGCTAGTAAAATTGCCTTGATTGAAATATGCCATACATGTCAGTATAGAGACTTGGGCAACATGATATGACATGTGAGGTACGCATACGTACTCTTTTCAGAATGATTCCCCATATACCATACCCCGCGAGTACAAGCTTTTTCCATGGCTGCACGGGACGACAAAATTGAATACGTAAACTCTCTAGAAGATTTACGGCCTCGATCTCAATCGAGTTAGACTGGAGGCGTATTCGACTTTCAGCGCTGCCTTGTGGCCTCGGGTGTCCCTCGTTTTTTTGTGGCCTTGTTGTTTCGGCTTCCCTCCTTTTCAACGCAACATCTTGCTGCTGGGTTTCACCGTGAGTTTTGTTATATCCGGTAGAAAGGAAATCTTGGTTTTCTTGCTGCGAGTTTAACTTCGAGTTTTTTTGGGGGGCTGATTCACGCGTTTCAAACGAGGGCGACTCGAATACTAAGGCTTCTGGGATAAGATGCGGTAGGATATTCGACAGATTTTCAGTTTCGGGGCTGCTCGGATTTGAAGATTCTATTGCACAGAAGTCGGTATTTTCGAAGCCGATTAAACAAATTCTAGTTCACGGAAATAAATCCATATAGCGTAAGCCATTCAAGCTTGTCAATTGCTGTCGCCTGCCTTCTAACATAATAGATCACAGTGCTAGAATTCGTTCATATGATGCTCGTGTTTGTAACTTACATATATGCTCCATTATCATGGGCTCCAAGGCTTAACAGCTTGAAACGATAACGACTATCATCGTCTTCAGGACGGTCGTTTTCGCTGTTATTGTTATCCATATTTCGAATAGTTCTGAATCAAAGCTCTGGCCTAGCTTGGTCCCAGTCCCAGACGTCACGAAGTGAGGAGTCTCTGGCCCGGCGGGTCTGAATTTTGCCAGCTTGATATAACTGCGACCGCTTAATTTCTGCTAAATTTAGAGTAAAGATATATATATATGCGGCGTCTGGTTTGACTTAGGAGCAGAAGAGTTTACGGCGATTCGGAGAGATCGATTATTACTATTGGAAGTACGTGTATTTTATCACGGCTGAAACCTTTTGAGCTCCAAATCATAAGCTGGGACCGATAGGCCGGAATGCCTACCGTCGTTACTCGAAAAGCAAACCGAGTGTTCCAGGGCCAGGGTCCGCCCCACTATGCGGGAGCTAGTTGGTTAGCATCGACGAGGAAAGCTTAGCCGAGAAATATTATGTGGGTGGTGCAGGGTCAACGACGACCAATAAGCTCAGGCTTATCAGACGGTGCATTTTCCGGGTTAACGCATGATGCTCGCCAATGCGATCTAATATGTCCCGTGCAGTCGGATCCTGTGAGTTCTGTGTACGACCTTAGATTTGCTATTATCCATCTTTCTTATCCGTCCCCGCAATGGTTGTTACTGCGCATGCGCAGCTAACCCCTCTTCTTTCACATCAGCGCCCCACTATACTTTTCAAGTTGAGAGTTTGAAATATGACTCTACATACAAAAGCAGGTATGAAATTTCGAAGACCATAATTCCATAGTGTTTAAACTTTGAGAATATGGAGACCACACGTTTTTATAAAAGGAAATCCATAAGTGTCCAGAACACAGCTTGAGTTAACAGTGCGTCATTCATGTCTACTCACTGCTGACAAAACTATCTATGATAAGTGGATCCAAGCGCAGCACCAAACTTTTCCAAGTTGACTTCGCTGAGATTTTGTTCGTCGACTTCCGCTGCTAAGTTTCGTTCTAGGTTGGCATTCAAAGTTGGAGGCCTTAAATACTGGAGGCCTGGTTTGAATATGACAGGATCATTAGCTGGCGTTCGTCCTGTGAGATTCCGTAGGCCTTTGATACTATTCTGGAAAAAGTTCCCTGTCGCAGTTACTCTGACAGATGCGGTAAACCTATCGTCATTTTTCCGACTTAATAAAACTGGGACCCTCAGATCCGTGATTACGCCAGTCTTATTGGTACTATCTTCTTCGAGAGTGATACGAACTGCATTGTTAGGCCCATAATTTCGAACCTTCATATCGAGCGTGATAGAGCCTATGACAATAGATCTGTCCAAATGCTGGTATCCTGATTGTCTTTCCAATTTGAATGCAAGGGTTCCAGCCGCCCCCACCACTCCGACTTCCCCTCCAAGCTCAACCCCGCTCGTGTTTTGGATGGTGACAGGGGTTTCGCTTAGCGTGAAGTCCCCATTTGGCCATAATCCAGTGACGGCTGGATCCTTTCTTGGTCGTTTATCGAGGTCTTGGAACAAGATATTGATTTCGGCTGTTCGGAGCCGTCGCCCATCGTGAAGTCCGTGAAAACGGAATCCAAAGACTATAAGGCTTGCAGGTTTTCCATTTCCTTTATTCGAGTCCAAACCATGGATTACGCGATCAATCCGGGCTTGAACATGTAATCCCATACAAAGATCGTCAACTATATCAGGCCGCTGGTTTTCGTCGCCATCGTTTTTGCTATGGAACCCCAAGTCACCCTGGGATGTGAGGAGTTGAATAGGCTGGAAGGCAAATGGGTCATCTAGCTCGATGGAAGACATTGCTGTATCCACCTCAAGAAACTGGTAGCTCCGTAGTGGGCTTTGTAAAAGATGTCTAGTTTGGTTTGAATTTAGGGGGCACGGGGCCTATTCTGGCGTACAAAACTTGGTTGAACGCTGGCCTGTTAATTAAATTGTCGCTGGATCTATAGATATAGTCAGAAAGGGAGGATCACTCGATCTCCTATCGTACTTATAATATTCAGACGCACGGAATATTTGAATTACAGAATCCACCTTAATGATGGCCCACCTTTAACTTGCAAGTTGGCGAGGGGTTCTGAGTTCGTGTGCGTATGTGTATATATTAAAGGGGGTCGGCCTATGCGAGGCCTCGAGGGGGTAGGATTTGCCGGATGGCGAGGTGCATGCACATCTGCGGCTGGAAACCATGCGCTATTGCATGTCTCAAGGGCCCTGTCGAAGACTAATCACGCATCTGATATTGCGAAGCCTTCCCCGCGATAATATAATCTGACAATGCAGCGCTAGGTCTGCATCCCGAACACAACAACAGTCTTTCTCCTCGGCTTCGACACTAGATTACCTGGTGAGTCGATCAAAACACGAATACAGCGTACGGCTCATGAGCTCATTATGTGTACATATGGAAAACTGATTTGATACCCAAGATTTATACGAACGTGATAACCGGACTCGGAAATTTTATTAGCCAACCTCCCAAGAGAGGTCGAGAGGGTTTCATTAATCTATTCTTCTTAGCTGACGCAAATTCTGGCGGTACTCCACGGATCCGGCAATCTGCTACCTATTTTCCATGAATTCGGGCTTAGTTACTGTACCAAATCTCACCGCAATTTTAACGTTTGATGATCCTTAGTGCCGATTCATATATTTGGCTGACAATATAACAAAATTTAGATACAATTCGCAACGCTCGCGGGAGGTCTTAATATTATCAACGAGCCTGTCACCTCAAAGCGTCCGCTGAGCAGAAAAGAAACTATGAAGTCTTTCGGTAAAGTAGGGGTCGAGGACAAGAAGGGTGGCGCCCGACCGATGTCCAAGAAAAAGATCGCACCAGAGAATAGGGCGGATATAACCAATAAACACGAATGCCTTCTACGAGATTTGCTTTGGGGTACCTTTCAGGATGATGATAAACATACCATGACCAAGATAGACCTCAGTCAGTACGCTGGTGTCCTAGAAAAGAGTGGCTACCGCAGGTCCAATCTACTACACACCTTGGTTTGGGAGTTGACGGGGGACCGCGATCCGTACCAAGACGACCAGGACCGACCTGATTCCGAGGTCTATGATGAAGGGGTTCCCGAGGCAAATGTTACAAAGCGAGCTCTGGAGCTAGTTGAATATCTAGTAGTTCTAAATGCTGGCCTAATGTGTCAATATGATGATTCACGCTCGGTCCCCCTTGAGTTATTCGCGACTTCATACCCGACGATTTTGTTTGGAATCATCGACATGCTCCCATCCGACATAGACCTTGAAACGATGCTACGAAAATGCAACACTACATCTACGGCGCATGCGACTAGCGACAACATCTGCCCCTTAAAAAAGCTTAATGGATGTTTACGAGACTCTTGTTTGAATTCTGATGTCAAGAACGGTCTTGAACCACATAAATCTCATTGCATTCACCCGATGATCAATACTTCACAACTTCGAACTAAAATCACCCATATCAAAGAAACAATCCAGAGGTTTCTTGTCTCCTCCGGAAACAAACCAAACATTCCGCAAGATACATTCATTCATGTCATGTTGGGCAAGGAAAGTTTTGACACGGCTGTCATGCGCAATGATCAAACTCAACTCAGAAGTTTCAAAACGATATTGAAATTCTTCCCAACGGCAGAAACTTCAGTCCTTAACCAGCCAGATTCAAAAGGCTACAATCCGTTACAAAAGGCTATAACACTATTCAAAGAAGGTGCCCTAAATTATGAGCTGCTCTACAAAACAATAAAAATATTAGTTAAATACCAACCAGACTCAATATATTTCAGAACGAAGGACCACAGGGAGGAGTCGCTGGGAAGAACCGCATATACCTTACTTAAAGAGATGAAGCCTGCGATTGGAAAGAGAGCAGAGCCTTTTTGGAGGAAAGCTGAAAACCTCCTGAAAAAGACATGCATTCGAGACCGGGACCCACGAGACCCAAATGGGGAAAAGATCAATAAAATTGAATATCTATATTCCGATATAAGATCAGGTATGTTAAATATTTGTATAGGCTAGGCGAAGAAGAAAAGGATTCCCCGGGTTCTCGCCAGAGCTCACTCTCTAGTCTAATACCGAAGAAAGATTTTCCTAACGTGAGCGATGATAGAACGTCAGATCCGTTTCGACCTAGGCCACGAGACATCTACAATAATTGATGAAGACTATGTCGATTTCCTTCGCGAAAAGGCGGCAATGCAATTCGAAAGTATACTTGAGTGCGTGAAACTTCCTTTCAGAACACGACCAGTTGCACGAGATTCGGAAGACCCGCTCCAATATGAGGATCGGGTCAATAGATACAAAACGGCAGACCCATACATTAGTGTATTCGATTGGTTGAAAAGAGATGGAATGGTTCAAAAGATTTTTGCGATTGAAGTTGACGATCTCGGGAACGAACCGTTAAAATCAACCCTGACGCCACACAGCAACTTCGCAATTCGAGATTGCCTGCGCAACAATTTTAAGTCACAAGCTGCTGTAGCTGACAATAAAAGCACGCAAACGATTTATGAAAGAGATAGAAAAGGTATGGGGATCGAAATTTGGAACTGGAGGAAACTTGATATTTGTAGCGATACAATTCGAGAAGCAGCACCAGGTGTCCGCATTTTACATTTATATTCGAGTGCAAATAAGGCGGTATTGAAGGGTTGGGCTTGTAAAGACGGCCTAAGAACCCTGAAAAACGTAAGCCTAACTAAAGCTTTTTGAGGTGTTTCTAAAAGGCCACCATCTATAGCCTTCAGTTAGCTGATTTGTGATGATTCGCTGCATAGTTACAAACAGTCCGAGTAGTAATCTATCCGAAGGTAACGTATCAAAGTCCTTGACCTCGCTTTGGGGCTTCAAACATTCACTCCGGCCGGGGAGATATATTTCTTACTAACATTATATTTTAAATTTTGGCTTCATCTAGAACTCGCGAGACGAGGCCGATTGTAAGGAGTATATCCCCGCATTTGAATCAAAACTTCGAAAACGCAATGCAGCCCTTGAGGTCGAGGTCTTCTTAGAGCCCTCGCCAAAAGGCAAAGGTTCAGGCGAAAACGCCACAAAAAATCAAGCTAATAGTCAGCAAAGTTACATGTGAGTGCCCTGATGGTTTTTTCTACTATACATATACGTAATAAAAAGAGAGACCTTTCTAACCCATACACCAGATATGAAGCGGAAACTCAGACGGATTGGATCCAAAGCATTAGTCGATTCAAAACTTGTGTGAGGGATACTATCGATGCAATATCAAGAGACCTAGGACCAAATGCATCGGCCCCCGTCGTTAAAGTGGCTATTATTGATGACGGTGTGATCCTAGCGGATGATGGTGTCCAAGGAATAGTCAGAGGGTCGTCTTTTGACTTTAGCCGACAACCATATTTCGGCGAGAGATCTAGGCATGGTACTCATATGGTATCGAGTCTGCGAGAAGTTTGTCCCATGGCAGAGCTGTACATTGGGCGCTTAGATGATACTCGAAGCACTGATGGCCAAAGGTTTACTGTGAAGTCAGCTATTCAAGTAAGTTCTCTTGTCTGCCCTTGTGAATAACTTGATGACTAGGCTAACTCCCAATCTACGTTACCAGGCTCTTGAATGGGCCACGAAATGGGAGGTCGATATTATTTCCATGAGTTGGTCCTTCAAACTCGACAATAGTTCTTGCACTCGAGAAGAGGGCTTGGCATTTAAAAATGCTATTGACAATGCGGTCGCTCAAGGAATAATCCTTTTCGGGGCCATGCCTGACAAGGGCCCGATAGCAGAAGATATAAAGAGACGCTACCCAGTCGGACTTGACAATGTCATAAGGATTACGGCGGCAGCGAAATCCGGAGAACGCTTGAAGTTCAACCAAACAGATGTTCCGGAGCTGTTATTCCCTGGCGACGAAGTCGAGATTGGATCAGAGGAGTCCGTCAAAATAACCGGTAGCTCTGTGGCAACTGCACTTGCCGCAGGCTTCGCTGCATTGACGATACTTTGCATCAAGTTACAGGCTGCTGGTATGCTAGATCGAAGTGTGCAAGCGGCTGGCACGATACCGAGGGCTATCGAGACAGATCTATCTACCCGCCTCCGGGCACTGAGAACACCAGGCGGTATTAGAACAATCTTCAGAAACGTTTCACCAAAGCTTGTGAATTCTAAAGATAGCTTTGTTCAGCCACACACTGCGCTCCCTGATGATATCAAAGCAGGTCTACAGGGACGCGAGGAAGCGATTAAATTCTTTCTTAACCGAATAGTCTAGATTCACTATAAAGACAGTACGCGGGCCGAGATCTCGAGAAGCGTGTTTGAGGATCGAAATGACGCCCTACAGGGGTCATGAAGGTGCTATATCAAGCCAAATCCGAGTCGCTTGTTACCACCCAACCGAGGCATCTCTCGGTATGAGGTAACATCCTTTCTGTGGTATATATACCCTTCAACAAACCAAGACTCCGTCTTAAGTGTATCACCAAGTTTCCTCCTCTTCTTCTCGATCAGTCTCCTCAACCAACAACTTCCCGGCCCAGTTTTCAAAACTATTATCCTCAAGTTCCTTTTCATGTTCTAAAAGTCGTCTATGAAGCTCATTAAGCTCAGCTATCGCTCCTGCACGCTTGATCTTCCCGGCCTCATTATCCTCATCCCTCTTCCTCTTCGCCGCTTTCCCCTCAACTATTAACCCAGTATCTTTGGCCATCTCATCCAATTTCTCTTTAATCTTAGCTTCGTGGTACTTTTTCCTTAGTCGTACGTTAAACTCTTCTTCGGATCTTTGCTGCCGAGCTAGTTCCTGACGAATCTGTTCCTCTTGATCATATTTAACCCGTGGGAGTTGTGCATATTTTCCTATCATTACGTCTATTTCTGAAGGCTTCGGCTTTGTGACCGATAACGCGTTTGGGCCTGGTTTCGGCTTCGATTTTGGAGGCGATGGGGAGTAGTATATTACCTTTGGTCGCCTTTGCTCGCGTACATGTACGGGAAACCTCCTCTGATTAGCCGATTGTTTAGCCGGGATTTTTGGCGCCGGCATCACCACCTCAAGGTTTTGTTTTGGACTAGGGGGTGATATCAATATCGGTGGCGGTCTAACATCCAATATATTAGTATCTGACACTGAATTGAGGCTCTCTTTTCTTCCGGTGTGTCCATCCTGTAAAGATCGACTTGCCAAACCATTCTGGCCCACAGACCCCTGTATCCGTAGACGCAAGTTACGATCGTCCGTCTCCTCGGCCTTCCGTTTAATTTGCCATTGCGCCCATTGCATCTCTCTCGCCACATGTGGTATCCACTCTATGTTCTTCCCAAGAACCTTCCCATCCCTCAACCTTCTCACAAACAACGTAGTCTGCCAAATTCCCCCCCAAAGGCCCTGTATCAATCCTACCCATATATTTGTCCAATTCGTAACATTGAACGGTAAATCTGCTATAACCATCAGCACCATCTTTTTGGTCTCATGTGAGCTTTCATCAACTCCTAGTTCTTCCTTAAAGATGAAACGTAGAACGTCAAAAGAAGTACGCTCACGCAGTATGATAGTTTGAAATGTTTCTAGAAGTGTGGAATACTCTGATACTGTCTCGTGAGGAAGATATTGGATTATCTTCCCGGGACCGGCAGATTTTCTACACTTTGTCGTGAATTCAGAGAACTCGCAAAGGGAGGCAAAAGTGCATATTTCCTCGTCACTGGATTTTAAGCGTATGAAGCACGATAGGAGGGGTAGTAGAGATTCTGGAGATGAGTGTTCGATAATGTCATGGGGAGAACAACCATTTAGTAATTTTTTTATCTCGTTCTGAAGCTCCTTTGATGGCCTGCCAGGTTTTGAAATACGATCTCTGAGGTTGAAGCTGCCCGGTGTTCGTCTGAGGACAGAGGATTGTTGCATTTTGATGGATATTTGTGTTGTCGGTAAAAGAAGTTCTCGTCAGATATCGATATGAGAGCGAAGAATACCAACTTTAGAAAAGGGAGATCTTATTTCGACATTAAGATATTGATATCGATGGGTCTTGGATATTTACGTCTGTTATATTTTCGAGACAGCGGAATCTTCACATTGAATTCCTATATGTAGATGCGCATACGGACGCAAACTCAAGCTTAAGGTGTCTAAACTAGTAGCTAGTCTGCTGAAACTTACAGCCCGAAGAGTTAGCTAGCTAAAAGTGAAACAAACAGGCATATGTACCCCTGAATGGCTAATTCTCGTTATAAATTGACGATATGATCCATAGCTCTCATGTTATTTGCCTCAAACTAATTATTTTATTCCGGCTTTGCAATGGTGACGCATTGTCCACCATATGCATGATCCGGAAATCTAGGACAACTAAGTATATATATCTAAGCACGGCTAGTATATAAGTTTTAATATGATCAATGTTAGTAAAACAAAGTTACGAATATCGATATCATAATTAAGATCTATGAATAATTAACTCTTTGAAAGCGATGCCGTGCACGTGATTTGCCGGTCTAGGTATGGTTAATTCACAAGGTAAATAATTATCTACATCCGAGTCTCTCGAACTATCATGACCGTTTAGAGCCCAGATATGAGGGGACAAGGCTTTCTATTTGACTCACAATTGATGATAATATCAATTTTGTCCTCTATTAAATCTAAAACGAATCGCTTGTAATATCAATCGTCTATCACAGAATATATAAAGAACGATTCTAGCCAAACTCTTTGATGAAAGATAAAATATACTACATATCGCTTGGAAGACTAGGCCCATCAAAATGCCGATATGAAATAGTAACAGCGCCCCCCCCCCCCCCTCTCCAAAAGATCAATGCAAATGCCACTATTAATATAACCACTCAGAACAGCGCCTTAAATAATGAGTAAAGGTGCTGGGAAATAAGATACCATATCTAAATGGGGAAAATTTCTCAAAAAGAATACGCCCGCTCTTTGGAGGAAAATCGTAGAAGATGAGCCGATATACATGAAGCTCGATCAAAAAAGTACCGAAGGTACCAGGCCATGCGAATGAAACAAATACTATGGTTAGTAGGAACAAGAAGAAAATGATGCGTAATTCAGCATAAGAGAGCGCGGACGAGTAGCGCAAGCAGGTAGCGCAGGATCAAATACGAAGGGAAAAAAAGCAGTCTTGAATTCCAGTGGAGTATAAAACCCCTCAACCCCCCCTACCTCGCCACTTCTTCTCCCTTCTTCTTCAAGCTCCTTCCTTCCTTCCTTCCTTCTTTTCTTCCCTCACCGACTCCCTCCCAGCTAAAGATACTGCGAGAAAATACACTATAGGAGAGGAGAATAGTAAAAAAACCCGGTGCCTAAAGAAGTGGGCACCAGCACCAGCACCCACTGACACCCAGGAACCACAAGGTAGACAACAATATGTACGTACAAAGCTGAATATAAAACGCCAGCAAGCACCAGCAAACACCATCCAGACGCCGGCCACCCCAGTTCTATCGAGACAAGCTAAGACAAGAACCATCACATAATCAAATAGAAGATAATAAGACAAGCCAGGTAAGGGTCCCTTACAACTTCCTAATCTTGCCACCTTTCGGCGGCACACCTTGCTTCCCCCTCTTCCTCTTCCTCCCACACCTCTCTTCCCCTTCCTCATCCTCAACTTCGGTAACATAGCCATCAGGTCTATACTTACAGATTTTCTTGTGTCGTGGGAGATCCCACTCCCGCTTCAGCGCAATCGTACAACCGTACGGTTGGAAGCAACAGACAGCATACCTGATATCGAAGGCCACGTTGGTAACATGAGAGACAATATTGTCTCTCTTCTCGAAGACTTTGCCTTCACAGGAGCAGCCACGTATACGGCATGTGAAGTCGTGATCAGGGAACTTGCGGCTCTTGATATGGTCTGTTTTGATATGCTCGAGAGCGGCACGTTGGTCTGTAAAGACCTGCGAGCAGTCACTCCATTTGCATACGATGGGGCCCGGGGCAACAGGGGGCTTTCTCGGTTGCGGTGGCTTGGGGGGTGGAGGGGGCGGCGGGGGCGGCGGGGGTGACGGCTTGGGAGCCAACACTGATCCGGGGATCAGCGACACTCGTTTTTTCTCTGGCTTTCCAGAACCAGACCCAAGCGTCACGACATTCTAGAAGAACAACAAACAATACAGTGTCAGCAACCTAGACTTCATGCACTACATCACACAACACCACACAATCGGTGAAGTAACGAGGGACAGAAGGATTGAGAGATAGGAGAGTGAGGCCAGCCGGCTTGGGGACATACCATCTGGGAAGCCGTGATGTCTCTAAATGGAACGGGTCTCCGTTGAGGCGGGGCCGGGTCACCATTGGCCGACGGCGAAGACGAAGACGAAGATGAAGACGACGACGAAGACGATGACGACGACGACGAAACTGAAGGGGCAGGAGTCCCAGCACGCGTGCTAGGCTCCGAGGCTGGCATAATGACCTTGGTAGGCACCCTATGCTGGAGGTGCCGACGGTATGGGGCCAAATGGTGGGCTTCGTAAGGGCGGGGGTAATGAGGACCGGTATCCCTTAACGCTCGGGAATATTGAGGGAGGATGCAAGTATACTTTGGTACTTCTTGAGGAAGGCAAGTGAAAGGTACTGCAACCTCTTGAATCTCCCCTTCAGTGAGGATTGTTCCACAGGTAGAGCCTCGAGTGTGGATCAGATCGAAGTGGTCGTTTCGGATCCAGACAGCACCAAAGGGACAGTTATATGGGTCTGGGCAGTAATCTCGCCAGTAACCACTACAAAACTGAACGGGGTGGAAACCATCCGGGGCGACGGCAACTGGTAGCTCTGGGTGTGGTGCCAGAGGAGCTCCACGGGTCCATGTACCAGAGAAGGGATAATACATGGCGAAGAAGAGCTAGAGGAAGGAAATAGAGAGCGAGAATCACGCAGAAGTGGTAAAAGTGGTAGTAGCAGCAGCAGGAAGCAAAGTTCCTACCACGAATCTTGCTGTTAGCCCTCTGAAACAGTCTCGGCGAGCTTTATTATACTTACGAGCAGGTCGTGATGGTGTAGATGGACTGGTGTCACGTTCTGACGGTTGGTAGTGGTGGGAGTGTGCTCGGTTTGCTTATTTTAATAGGCAAGAGTGCGGTCGTGTGAGGGTTAGTGGGGAGGGAGAAAAAATAAAAAAAAGACGTTGCTGAAGTTCACACTAACACACACAGAGGGTTTGGAGCTGAGCTTAACTGGGCTTGAATGACTGTCACAGTCTGTTCTGTGGACCATTATGGGAAGCTGGAGCTACTGCTAGAAGCTCCTGCTGAGCATTTCGTCTCTTATATCAACTTCTGTGGAACTAACTACACTATTGACCATATTGATGTATATTTCTAGGAGACGATTATCTCTATACCAAATTCCATGATAGTGCTGAACTACTTTTCAGTGAATCGCACACTAAATTGGAAAAATTGCTGTCCTAGATACATATATTCACCATCAACTCCACAGAACTGTGTTCAGACTGCACCGCCACACTCTTGTTGCATTCTGTGCGTTGGGTTGTGGCATTTTGGAGGCAATCAATTTCACACCAATTGCAATTAATGCAATCGACCTCGAGTGAGCTGAGGTGGCCGCGGCGCGGTGGTACGTATTTATATTTATAGATCTTTCGATTTCTGATAGTTGATTTGTTTTATACCTACTAATCTATAGATTCATATAGACATTTTGGGATGCCTTCAACTTCTCCGACTTTTAGGGCGTCAATATAATTTATAATTGCAATACGTTATAATTACGTGGAGCTAGATATCAACATGCGCACGCGTACGCCACAAATGCAAAACCCACGTTTTGAGCATGCATTCGATATAACATGAATATCTACAGACGTCAAAACTTCTCGATATTAACCCTTAACTCCTACGTATTGGTCTCTACAACGAACAAAATGAAATATTCTCCCATACTGGCGATAATATTTTAGAGCCTCGTAGTCATCTGTCGAGAAGACTGCTTTCCTGCAAATTCGTATCTTCGACTTCGACTTTGACTTCGACTTTCTCTTCTCTTGGTTCGCGTTCGAATTCGACATACGAAATCGATAGGATACACTATCCCTCGAACTCTTCAATTAACTCTACCGGTCAAGATCTAAATCTATCATACAAATATATATGCAGAAGAGGAGCGGATAAGAGAGAAAAGGGATTTAAGATGCAATTACACTTCTTCAACTTCATTCTTTCAATCCTCTTGGCTTTTCTCACAGTCACGAATGCAATCCCTGCATATAATATAATAAGCACTGTACCGGGCGTCATTCAACCTCCACAAAGTTTATCCTCAACTTCAACTTCAATTTCGGGTGCGGGTACTGCAAATCAAACGACCAAAGATAAACCGGAATTCACAAATTGGCCACCTCCATCTCCGAGGAGCGTTAACATCAAACAAGATGTCCACGATGATGGACTACCGTACACGGTACTCCCGGTAGTCCATCCAGACATACTTTGCGTCCCTGTCGGCGACTTTGAAGTCAACTCCTCATCGGGCGATTGTATAATAGACACATTCTGTTCCCCTTCCAATCACAGTCCCGTTCATATCGGTAGGAACAATACCATTACCACGTCGCCCTCCTCTTCAGCTCCTCCAATCCAACAATTACAGGGAAAATACAAACCCCGACAGAGACGTCGACGTGAAGAACCTCCAGAAACAATCTACGCCATAACCCTGCCAGGTCCCACAATCCCAATATACTTCCCTACGGCCATAATTCCTCCTTCTCACACCTCTCACCAACTACAATACTTCCCTCCAGGCGCTCACCCATGGTACGAATACTCCACATTAACCATCCCACCAACCCCGACGATTCCAAACTTCAGCTCTCAAGAATCCCACACTCAAACACCAAGCCATCCTTCCTCTCAAAACCCGCTTCAAAAACCCTGTCGGATTCCCAAAATCTACGAAGGAATCTGTCACCCTTTGGTGATCCCGTCAGTCGTCATCGCTGTCTACTTTTTATCAACCCTCATTCTCTACTCCGGCGACCCTTCAAAACCTGTTTCTCCGGTTTATAATTACCAACCAGCCCCGCCACCACTACCGCGCCCTTTAAACCCTTACATCCCATACTTCTACCACCAACAACTCCAACAAACACCAATTGGATCATATCTGTACCCACCAGTCGCCACAGTCGGCCATAGTATCCGACGGAACCTCCTTTGTTTAACAAACTTCTTTTGCGGAGGTACAGAAGATCCGCAATTGCCATTACCGCATCGGCCGGGGATGTTGAATGTTAATATCAACGAAAGGGTGCAACGTAGCGTGGAGATTGAAAGGTCGAATCAAAGTGCTTGTTATCTTTTGACAACGTTTTTGACGTATGGCGCCGGATTGATTATTTTGGGATCATTCTTGGGAGGGTTGTGTAATTGTGTGAAGACAGAGTGTGAGTTTATGTAGGCTTTGTCGTCTTTTTTGTAATCGTCTTTTTTTTCTTTTTGATAATTGCTGGATGTGCAAGAGGAGAAGGGAATAGTATTGGTGACTATGGAGGAGGGCAAAGAATCGTATGCTACCCTGCGGAGTATATAGGTTTCCTATAGATCCCGCCACGAATCGAATCGAATCAAATCAAATAAATTAATTAATCGATCCGTCTTGCGCAAAGTACTGGCCAATCTACGTAGAATATCAATAACATCACTACTCACAATCTGCTCTAATCTAGTATACACCATGAATTAACTCCCTCCCAGATATCTGCAATACAAAACCTCAGTCGATACTAGTTACAAAATCCTATAGTCCAGTTCTAACCAATCCCCCGGTTGCAAATTAAGTATTTAAGTATTAGTTAATCAAACCTCCTCAAAAGGACACCTTCCCATTCGCAAAATCTGCTTACACAAAACCCCCACCAACGATCCCAAAATGACAAATACAATCCCCACACTGCCAGCCACTATGACCGCTCCATAAAATACTCTCTTAGGCTTCGTATCATCTAACATCCTCATATGGGTTTTTCTCACCATTTCTCTTCTCTTTCTTTCCAATTCTTTTTCTTGATTATCCGTCAGCTCCCGTCTACCACCCCCTTCTTCTCCTCCCTCATCCACCCTCAATTTACCTTTGCCCTTATTGAATCCAGTTACAGAAGTATCCACTTCTTCAGGCGTATTATTCCCCTTCCTAACCCCCTTCCTTCTATAATCCAAATCTTGTAACCAAATCCTTTCATGCCCCGCCAAGTCACCTCCATCATCATCACCATTCATAGTTCCATACCCTTTCCCACCCCCACTTCCACCCCCACCAATCCTTTCCATATCTTCAAGTCCCATCATAGCTACTCCCGGTAACTCAGGCTGTTGTCTAATCTTCCAACTCCCATTTCTCAGCCACGCATACCCGCCACTAGCGTCTCTATGTCCCATTAACACTTCCCCTAACTCCAATACCTGTCTTGCACTTATTTCTTGAAGATATAAAACGACCCTTAATATTCCCGTATAAAACAGTAAAAACAGGAATACGAGTAACGTGGGAGAACAGATTGTAAGTGACTGTTGACTTGGGAAGTTTCGGCAAGTTATGTTGTGGTTATCTTGGAGAAAAGAGGTGGGTAGGTGGTTTGACGAGGTGTTTGTGGGTGGTTGGGGTGGGTAGTCGTCTTGGATCCATGTTGATTTTGCGGGGTGAAGGGATGTGATCAGTGGATCTGTATGGGTTATCCAGATGACGCTGGTGGGGTTGTTACTATCGTCGAAGGAGGATGGTGATGATGATGATGGTGGTGATGAATTGATATGTGTGGGTGTAATAGATTCCGGGGAAGATGAAGAAGAAGATGATTTATTGAGTAAACTTGTAGTTAAAGCAGGAGGAGAAAATGTAGGGATAATAGACGTTAATAGAGGTGGCGCGGGAGGTAGTAATCCCTTTGATGGCGATGATGGAACTCCAAGAGATAAAGAAGCTGAAATTGTAATTGGATTACCGAAGTTCAGGGAGTGCGGTACGCCCTCTACTACCTCTGCTCGTGGTAGAATCGCCGGCGAGGTTGAAGCCAGTGGGTGGTTTGCTGTGATGAGTAGGGTCGTCGAGAAAGAGAGGTGTTGGAGCTTCATGGTTAATGTAATATCTGATCTAATAAGTAACGGGCGAGAGAACACCATCAAGGAGATAACATCGTCGTGAAGCTAAGGTAAATCAAAAGAACAGAGACTTATGAGGGTAGGGAGGGGGGGGGTGGAATATCTGCAGACCCCACAGGGCTTTCCTTCGGGTAATTATCCGAATCTGAGTATTATATTATGGCACCATATATCGATAGACTGCATATCCGGGGATCACCATCATGTTCACAAGCTTCACGCTTACAATTCACCAGGGAATAAGTAAATAAAGGGTCATAATCAGGTCGTCACATTTCGTATACTAAGGACGAGAAGAAATAAAAGAAAGAAGCCGAAGATAAGTATTTACAATTGAATCAGAAGCAGAATGACAAAGCTGCTCGCTGCATTGTTTTCGAAAGAAGCCGCGAATAAAGAAGAATAATAAAAGAGGCCATTGGGATCATGTCAAATGAACTCTTGGAAAGCAAAAAAGTGCGGTAAAACCTCTGTCATAGACAGTCAGTAACACCTTGTTTGCATTGTCAGAAGTAAAAGCCGTTTTAGGCATTTTCACTCATGAAGCAAAAGAAAGAAAACGGTTAGTTGACAAGAATGTAGTGGTCTGTGTTTCCATACCCAGGTAAGGAATACATAGTGCAATGAAAGGTAATAGTGTAGTCAGAGGACAGAAAAAAAACGAAACTGAAAAAGGATTTTATCAAGAACGCCCCCTTCCAGAGGTCAAAACCAATCAGTCAAAAGGAAATAGATATGCTACAAGAATGTTCTCACACAAGATAGAAGCGAGGCAGTTAGTAACTGCCAGCCTTATGATGGCGATAATGGCGGACAGGTCGACGTGTCGTACAATTCTTTTTCTTTTGCGCAGCGGGTCGTGGTCTTGGAGCAATAGTCTTCGGTCCTGCAACTCCGTGAACGACGATGGTCTCGGTGACAGTATGGAGACGAGTGCGAACAACAACCTCAGTGTGGGTGTTACGTCCCTCAGGAACGTATTCGGGAGGGCTGACTGGCTTTGGAGTGTTGACAGGCTTGACGACGGCTTTAAGCGTGGTGGATGGACGCGCCTTTGGAGTGTAGACGACAGATTCAGGCTTAACGACGGGCTTGGATTCGACAGGAGCAGGAGCAGGGGAGTTGCTTCCAGGGGCGGCATAGGCCTCAACTTGATATCCGGAAAAGGGGTTGTTGCCAAAGAGCTTGTTGTTAGCCATAGGAGAGCCAAAGTTGTCGGAGGAACCTTCAGAGAGAGGGCAGGTGAGCTTGCAGGCCTTCATCTCTTCCTCAGAAGTCTCACCACCAGGGAGACCAGGGCAGGAAGCGAGACCAGCGTGTCCAGGGTCGCAGTTGTCAATGAGGTAAGCAAGCGTAGCAGAATCCCATCCGTTGATGAAATCGGCGTGAACTGAGTATCCGGTAGTGTCACCATTGGAGAGGACCCAGGGCTGCTTTCCAGTTCCCTTCTGCCACATATCCTTGAACTTGAGAGTGTTCCAGTAGACTTCCATGAAGACGTGGGGGACGTGGATCCAACCGGGAGGGCAGTCTTCACCACCTTGACCATTGCTACTTGGGTAAGCAGAATTGTTCTTCCAGTCTTCAACGTCAAGGTCCGGGTTAACACAAGATGGGAAGTGAACATCAGCACGAAGAGGAGAAGCGAATCCGTCGCACTCTTGATCAGGGAAACCCCAACCTTGGCCGCCGTTGCTTGGATCCTGAACACCAACACCCTTGGTTCCATCGGACTCTGGTGGATAGAGTGGAGTGGAAGGCTTATCACGAGGACAAGTCCATTGGGCCGGGGTGATTGGGCCCTTGGAAGAATCGAGGTTGTTGCGAGCAGGGTTTGGAGGATGACGAAGAGTTGGGTCACCAGCTCTCATTCGGAAGCCCTTGGGGAAAGGTTTGATGTCATCGTTGGTGGCCTCGAAAAAGTAGTAGACCTTCGCATAGAAGAGTTCGACAGGATACAATGTACCATCTTCGGGGCTCTTGAAATAGAGGGATGGTACCCAATAGTTCGAATGGTCGTTCTTAACATTGGCAGTGGTACAGGTGGAATGTGCCGAAGCATAGTCACCGGGCATCAGATCGGTAAAGGCATTGCCTCCAAAGATGGAGTGCATATGCCCGGCTACACCGCCGGGGTTAACAATTGGATCAAGACGGCATCTGGTCAACTCTTTTCCACCTCCAAAGCTCAGTGTGCCAAAGGTACGGCCTGGCTTCTTCGAAGCAGCATTAGCGACACCGGAGAACGATGCCGCCGAAGCAAGGAGGGATATGAAAGTAGCAGTCTTCATCTTGACGAAGAAGTCGATAAGAGATTGTGATTGACTATGATGATGGTAGTCGATGAGGATGTCAAGGCAGGTCGATGATGATGTTGATGATGTTGACGATGGTGATGTTGGTGAATAGAAGGAGGGATGGAGGACAGAAGGAAGAAGAAGGAACGGATAGAACGAGAGCTTGCTCGTCTGCAGCGAAAGGAGGCTGGTTTAATATCTCGAACTTGTGTTGGACGACGTTGGATATTTTGCAGGGCCAAGAACAAGTCCGCGAAACAAAATGGAGATATCTTCTTCTTCAGATCTAACTAGCCAAATACACCCGGGAAAAAAAGATGAGGTCGGGGGTTTTCGAGGAGTTTTTTTTTAAAAAAAAAGGGTCTTCGAGACGATCAGGTCGGTCTTTTTAGTTTTTTTCGATTTTGGTTTGCTGGTTGTCCTGTCAAAGGAATGTGGCGGCTTTTAGCAGGCGAATTTCTGTGGCTAACTGGCAGCACTGCGCTGGTCGGTTACAGATCTGAATAGATAGACTAGGCTACTCTACTGCTGGAACTGTCTGCACTGCAGATATTACACAAGAAATTCGAATGATTTAAAAAGACCGGAGAAAGGAAAACGACACGAAAGGAATGTGAGCAAGCACCAGGGCGAGCAATTGTAAAGCAGGATACAGTAAAGACCTGACTGATGGGTGAGAAGGAGAAGCCAGAAACAAAAAAGACCCCGTCGATGGCGGAGGGGACCCAAAGTTCTTATATATCCGCATAAGGCTTCAGGGGCAGCGAGACATCCAGCGACATTTGGGCAGCTGGGGACTAACTCCCCTAAGCAAAAGTAGGTATGTATGCTATTAGCGACCTAGCACTCGCATTCGGGGCTAAAAGAGAATCTTAAAAGTACCCATGCTCTGACCAACCGACCAACCAAAGGAAACCGCTGCAGCGGCCGCGGCGGCCAGGTACCGGTGCAAACAAACCCTCGTGGTTTAACATTTGTGGAGGTGGGTTCGTGCATGACTTCTCCCCGGGAGGGATAAAAGGAGGAGACACAGAAATTCATTTTTAGTCAAAGGAATCATCAAGGATTCCAATATCGGTATGACAAACCAGGTCGACGGCCAAGATGAGCACAGGACTCTTCCAACAGGCCAGGCCATTTGGATGTGTAACAGCTAGGTGGGTACTATTACACTGGTTCTCTTTTTTCTTTCTTTATATTTCATCTCATCTTTTAACTAACGAATTAGTTCCTTGGTCTAGTAATCAGAAATCCCGCTGACCTTCAATAAGCACCTAGATGGTTCCATCAATTACACCTCTACAGAACTCGCGCGCCAAAATATCAAGGTAACAATAGCGCACTGAGCTGAGTATAGATCTACAGCTTTTCAAAAACCCCATGACGGTCGGTTTTTACCTTGTGCGACAATGGATTCATGCAGTCCCCGAAAGCGTACAGAATACAGAACAAAGACTATTGTCCGGCCGGTTATTCTGCGCGCGGCCTTCAAAACGCAGGGGCTAAGGAGCCAGCAAACAAGCGGATTAAGCCTCACCTCACCTCACCTTCGGATGGTGCTTTTGTTTAAAAGAAAAAAGAAAGACTTTGTCAAACAAGGCCCAGGAACGATGAGATCAGGGTTGCCTTCCAATTTCCCAGCTTCCAGCTGTCAATGGCTAACTAACGGAGGGTCGGCAGACAATTCTACTCGCCATTTTAGCACCTTTTTGGCCCCCCTGCTTATTTAGTCACATAAAAGGGAAGTTTGGCCCGGCTTCAGGCCTGGGCTTGGCGATTCCAGGCTCCGGGATCGTTCAACAATACACGAGGATTGATGGAGCTTCATGAAACGTGAGTGACAGGGAATGTTTCCCTGGCCTTAGGAGAAGCGGTTCAACGACATCAAAGCGAAGTACAATGCACTCGCCAGGGCTTCTCCAAAAGGATTTCTAGAATTCAAGACAAAATTGATATCGCTATCGACTATCTACATACGTACAAATATATCTCCGCTCACCTCAGCTGGCTAAGCAATTGTTTCCAATATCACTTTGTGAACCTCTTCGCTAAAGCAGTAATCCAGGAGAGAATGTTGAAGAGAGAGAAAAAATCCGCTGGATCTCGCATATCTTGAAACAACAAGCCTCACCAGCCTTCCCTCCCGCTTCTCAACGGGTGAAACGAAAAAAAGGCAGACGTCGGCCCTTTTTTTTTTTAAATAAACATCTTCAATATCATCAAGATATTACATTACAAATCGTCACGAGTTCGGCTATGCTGTCAGCTTGGTACGGCATCTATATTCCGCGATGCTCCGGGGATACATTGATGGCCCAATTTGAAGAACCCACATTCCTCGCATTCCTGCAAAAGAGAAAGTTGAAGCAAGGAGATATCGGGGAGAACTGCAATGCCGTTTCAACAGCCTCCTCCTCTCGTGATCACGAACCACAACATGTGCTCTCGTACAGCCGTCGGTACCGACCTCTCCTTGCTTTAACTTCCTTTCCTGCTGGTAATCCGACATAGGAAAATGTTCCAAAAGCCGCCAATCAGAAATTATAAGCTACCTCTTATCTCAGAAGGAGCGATAAGTAGGTAAGGTACCAGTTACTACCTCGTCTCGTCTCGCGGTCTCGTTTCTCGGAGTTTGGTCTAGGCAAAACCCTCAATTCCAAAAAAATCCTTCCCGTTGACCCAACGAAATTCCAGAAAACTCGCCGTCGATTGACAAAAAGTTCTTTCGACCTATCCACATATCCAGCACTTACTATGTACTTACAGCCGAAAGCACAGAGATGCATAAACCTTTCCACCACGGAAGTCCCACCAGAGATCCAAAAAAAAGAGAGAATACAGCCGATAGGCCAAACCATGCAACAATATCCTCGAGCAGTGGGGAACAGCGCCCAGGAAGTTTCCGCGATACCTTTGACTTGACCTCTTCCCCAACATGAGACAACGCAACCGTTGATCTTCACCACAAACGACTTTTTCCATATGTCGAGAACTACATTGAGTGACATCTTCAAATTTGCGAAAATTCATGTAAGATGCGAGACATTACCAGAATCATTCTCGCGCTCGAACTCAAAATTTAATAGAAAAAATTCCAAATTTAGGAACCCCGGAGCCGCGAAACATTGATCCGTGCCTCCCCAACATTCCGATCGATGGCAAAAACCACAATATCAGGTACCAGTATACCTACTCTTCATATGCATGCGCGTATGCTAGTGATAGGGGAAGCGAGGAGATGTAAACGTACCGTATCTTTTCCTCGGACCCAGGTACATACTAGATACTGTACCTTGACCTGACAAGTTGGTACCGGCGTTAGTGAAAGAAAAGCTATTCCTTGTCATTGGGCTGACTATCCGACCATAAGGAACCCAGCTCTTTTCTTGTCTTACAGATAAGAAAAGCAACAAAACCTCTGCAAACTGATCTATTATATGAAGTCGCGCCTCGGAGAGGGGTGAAGGGAAGCAGGGGGAAAGGAGTCGACAACGAATAATTAGGATTCTTCAGTCATTGGAGATACTGGTTACACGATACCATTGGTATCAAAATCCCGATCCATCCAGAGATTTCGGGTATTCACTTTACTTTATTTTTTGAGACTTTGCTTGCTTCATGATACAGCGATACTTTTAAAACATGCTACGAGGATGAGAAGCCGACATGCAGATATCCGATCGATCGATTCTAACATAAAACATAAGAGATGTTATTCCCAACTAACTCTGGGTTAATTGACATACATACAGACATGTTGTGAACTGTCGGAGTTACTAACATCTCACGGATGTATGAATAAGCGCCACCTCGCTCTTGGTAGGACTTCGAAGAATCCAAAGAGTCTAGGCTCTAGTCATCACCAAATCGCAAAAAACATCTAATTCGGGATGTACAGTAAATACGTATTCTGTGTAGGACAACTAGAACAAAACTTCTGTAAACGTATAGCGCTCGTACTCGAACGTTCCGTTAAGCACTTGAAGGACCTTTTGCACATAAAGGCGACGACCTATCTCGATACGCGATTGGGTCACGACCAAAATGTCTCGACCCCGCCAAATTTCCCAGCTGCTTGCCCGCCACATGGACACCGCCGTTACTAATGTTTTCTTCTTTTCTCCCCGCCAAAAGTTCTTCATAGAACATATGTACCAAATTCATACACAATCAATTCTATCACGTTCACAAAAAGATTGGCCCTTACATGACTTCATGACTAGCAAATTTCCAATCTTGCGCGAATTTTCTTCAGGATCTGCGATCTTAGCAAGCTTGGATAGCTAGCTAGCTAGTAACTCATCGCCACGTCGAGCTCCCAAGAGCCCATCCTTTCCAGCTTCTGCAAGGAGATGGCCTAGAACCCTTGCTTTTTTGCCCATTTGAGCGGACCTAGCAGGCGGCACAACACATGTGCTCGTTCCTGATTTCCCCCTTGCCGTCTCGTCTATGCAGGAACACGAATCGTGCTATCGAGCGCTGGTATTTTTATGGTTTATCTCGCCCAGCGCAGAGGGCGTCCCTAGAAAGAATTCTTAATGATTCTAGAGCAAGAGAATAGAAGTAGGACCTTGGAGTGGGAGTACGTGGCAGCTGTTGTACCGATCAATACTCGTCGGCATCGAATCTCGACTTGCTTTTAATTTTGGGATTTTCAAAATGAATTGCCAACGATGAATTCAGCTTGACAAAGAGCTCGGAGAAATGAGCATGGATGCAAGCTGTTAAAACTGCGACTAAATGAGCCAAGTACATGACATCGGTAGGACGGCTAGTTTGTTGGTGAACTGTGTGGATGTCTGTATGTTGGGGTCAACAGTTGGGAGCTGACATCCCGTGCATACAAAACCTAATTTCTTCTTTTACCTTCTTTTCCTTCCTTTTTTTTTAAAAATAAAAAAAATAACTGACGTAGAAAGAGAATTTCGGTAAACAACAAGAAAAGGGCGACGAGTAGTCGAATATCACCGCACGAAGGGAGAAGGTATTGATTTGATTCCTAGCTATCGATATGTCAAGCGAGAGATAATCACAAAAGCCTGGGCAATAGACCAAAAACTGTAGACACAATTGCTTTAACGGGTTCTACCACGGTATCAATGCAGCCCAAAGATTATCCCTTTACGATTGGACCAACAGACGGCGTAACTAACTTAACAGGCCTTTCTTTGCTCCTATAATCGTGGGATCATAGTATCCTGTCGCACAGTTTCAAATTCAGTTGTAGTTAATTAAAATAAGAAGATGTTCCCTGAAAAACAATTGCAAGTCTCCCGTGGTCTCGTACTCGCTACTCTGGCCAAACATTTCAAAGGGATTTTTAATAAAATGTGGTTCTTCCAGCCTTTGCGGTTCGACCGACCCCAGTACTGCAGTGTGTAACTATTGAGACAGCGCATCCTTGTCGGCTTTCGAATTCGATGCCTTTTTGAGAAAAAAGTTGTCATCGATCTTCGATTTTTGGGAAATACCACTCTTGAATAAGTGTTGGTCCAACTTACAATCAATTAGCTAGACTTATGTGCATCCTTCGAAGGGCTTCCAACATGTTAGATATTCATAGGCATGGCAATGGACTGGGGTTTTCCTGCGAAATAATTGATTAAGGTCTTAGAGGATCACAATTGATGATGTTTCCTCTAAGTGGAATCAAGCCCTTACACTTTAAATTATAAAATAAAGGGTGCGATTGCCTTAATTCTATCCGTAAATTCGAAGGCATACCCAACCCGTAGTCAGGACTATATCATAATAGGTTTTGAATATATATTTGTTTGTATGAAGCTTCGGTTCTGTCTTGTTCTGAACGGCACAAAGCAATATATCTGCAACCAACTAACTAATAGCAAAAGACTTATACAATTTTAAAATTTGACAAAACAAAAAAGTACCCACTTGACGTACTCCACTCCTCTCTCCTAACTAATAAGCGATTCACTTCAACCTCTATTATACCCCGCCTTCTTGTGTCATTGACGGCTTCTCCGTGTACATCTCCTCCAATTTAGTTACCAAGCTTACAGGTGGCGCGCCATTCCACTTATCCCCAGCATCCCATCCAAACACCAGCATATTAGCCCAGATTGCCGCCGCACTTTTCCCTGCACCGGTGCCGAGATCCGGAGTGACCCATTTCGCTTTAACATCTGACCATGGAGTCGAAGTCAACGGGAGCTTTGGTTTCCAATTCTTTAATTCCTTCTCTCGTTCTGGGAATTCAACACTCGCGGCCAGGAGTTCCGATGCCTTCGTGATATCGAAACGAGGAATTTTGTCTTCACTCTTTAGTGATTGAGGGGCGTAGAGGATGATATCTGTAGTTAGGTCTTTTGCACCATCGGGCTTACTGTTTAGGAGCTTTGCCTGATCGTTTCGGCCGCCCGTTGGGTCTTCATCGGTGGCGTCTAGAGTTATATGACGAGGGGCGGTTCCCGGGTCAGCTATGTAATTAGAGTGCTTATGGAAATTGAAGGCATCTGCAAGTTGCTTACATTTCGCCCAAAGCGCTGAGGGGAGTTGACTAGTCGCCGTCTCCACTTTGTCCCACTTCGGAAGCTTCGCATCCTTGGTATCAATTCCTTGGGCCTGTGGCTTCAACAGTTCAATTTTTATTTGAACATCGGACGTCTCGAGGGGTATTACTAATCCCATTGGTTTTGCGAAGATATCATCCTTTGACTTTGCGCTGAACTCATAATTCTGATCGTCGGCGCCGGACATAGCGGTGATTACTTTACCCTTTCTGAACGGAAATTTGCAGGAAACGTTAAAGGCGAATATTGCACCACGGACTGTCCAGGGTTTTGGTGTTCCACTTGTATCGTTTGGAGAGTTATTATCTGGTATCAATCCGCTCGTACAAGAGAAGACGTGAGCTGCAGGTTCATCGGCCTCTGAAATCTCAACTTCTTCTCCATTCTCTAAGAATGCTGTGGGAGTCTTAGTATCCTGTTGAAGCGCCATTCTGAAGAACTCTAGTAATTTCAATTTAGCAAGAGCACCGGAATTCTTGTTTCCGAAATCGATGTCGAAGCCAAAGACCCAGAAGTCGACATGAACGGTACCCGCCACTGGTGGACCCTCAAGGTACAAGGTGGCGCTGATATCAACTTCAATAGTAATCGTAACGAACCAAAGATCAAGCTCGAAACGAACACCCACTGAGATTCCTCCTTCGGCCATGAAATGGAAGGGTTTATAATTAATTAAAAAGTCGGCCCATGCATCGAACCATGCCTGAAGCGGACCTAGGTCTAGTGAAACATGGAGACGGCCTCCACCCATAACTGCTTTAGGTGTGATCGCAAAGTAAGATTCACCAACGATATTGATGGCGGAGTCGAACTTCCAGTTAAAGCCTAGTCGAGGAGGATTTGGAAATTGGGAAGGTCTTTGGAAAGCCTTGTGATAACCTCCAACTGTAAATACGAACTGTCCCTTGAGTGTCTCATCCCTTGGATTAAACCAGTAGAACAGGCCGAATCCACCAGTAAGATGACAGTTAGGATCGAGAACGAAAGATGCAGGAGTTAACTGTCCCTCAATACTCAAGACACCAGCTCCAAAGTCTAGAGTCGCTACAATTCCTAATTGAACTCTAGCAAGCTTTTGTTGCGCCCTCTTTGGCATTTCCGCGGTCGCGACACCGAATATCCCCAGTTTTGGAAGGGGATTAAACTCCAATGCCACAACAGCACTCAACGTCAAAGTCTCTAGTGCAGAACCAGATATACCTGCCGCGAACCAATATGAGTGCTCTTTTCTTCCGAACCATGCAGGATTACCATTTATCAACTTAGACATGGCTTCAACGACACTATTTGACTGTGGGACCCCAATGAGAGGGAAGTCCATGACGTTGCTGGCGTTGGGGAAGGTACAGAATGTATTGTACCCGAACCCGGCCGTCAAGCCATTGATATCTGCGACTCCGATGGTAGCTATTGGTCCGTCTAAGCGACAATATGTAAAGAACGAAGTGACCGTACGATCCTTCGTCCTGTAGACGGTCTTGATAGTCTCCTCGCCATAGTACCCTGCCGCCTGGAAGATGTACGGTTCGAATCCGATAGCAGCGGCCCCTAGATATTCGTCCACGGTTTCGGTCTTCTGGTGTAAGAATAACCCGGCAATTGTCAGTGGTGGCTTCTGGTATGCAGCACCAAGACCGTCAAGACCAAAACTAGTCTTGACTTTGGTGATGTCCTTGAGAGTGAGACCGTCGAATTGAAAAGAGACACTAAATCCCATCAGAATCAACTCTATGGGACCAAGAGTAACACTGCCATTTAATCCTAGCGTCAAGGTACTATTTTTCATATCGAATTTGATACCAAGGCCGGTCAAAGACACAGGTCCAATTTTTTTATCCAAAGGGCTTATATAACTGCTACCACCAGACCCACCGCCCGCGACTTCGAGCTCCATGCCTGTCTTTTCGACTTCTTTCTTTTTGTTCCCGAAAACATAGTCAATGATTGTCTCCTGTTGGTTCTTTACAATAAAATGAAAGCCATTCCCTATAAGAATATCTTCCGGCAGCCTCTTCTCTGGTTTGACGTTGTCTCTATATCCGGGGGGTTTCTCATCTTCCTTCAACGCTAGTTTCAACTCGTCGACTTCTGCCCTTGTGAAGCCATCAGAACTTCCTGAGCTACTAACCCAGCTAAAGTCAAGAGCATCGAAGGGCTGAGGTAGCTCCCCGATGAGTGGGATGTCTGGTATCTTGGGCAAACTTTCCAGCGAGAATAATACAATCCTCTTAGCGTCATAAGCGTTCTTATCTGTGGGACTAGTCTTATTTTGTTGAATCTGGTAGAAGTGTACTGAAGCACCATCAGCAAGATGAAGTCGCAGTGCTACAACGAAATACCTTTGTCGCTTAACAATTCGAAGCGAAGTAAGCTCCGTTTTCCCGCTGGGAAGTATGACAATATCTCCCAAGAAACCAGGAAGACCGTTTGCTAATTCATCCCCAACTAGCGAGCTAAGGATTGATCGAAGGGTTGAAGTATCGGTAGTTACCGAAAGACTAGCATCGAAGCTCCAGCGAGGTTTGTTTGGATCTGCTAGAGTGTCCCCATTGTGGATGTAGTCGTAGGCTAGGTCAAAGTTCCCAATTCCCAGCATCCCTTTAAGCGCAAAGTTTGACCCTCTGCCCTGAGGCCCGTAGAAATAAGACATGTTAATACTAAAGTTGATGTTCTTCAAGAAGTTCGCAATCTCAGTATTACAATCATCATCAAATAGGCTGTACAACAGATCTCCACTAAGGCCATTAGTGTATCCTTGCAAGAGCCAACCTGCATTTTGCTTTTCGAGTTGAAGACCAAAGTTCGCTGACCGATCTCCACTTGGCGAGGATAGAACAATTCCCGTAACAAATAGAAATTTATTCAATTCTTTTTGGGAAAGGTTATATTCGACATCCAAAGTGCAGGCTGCAAGTCTAAGCCTGGGCACCTTTGCGCCCTCGTCCGGTGGAGGACTGGTAACTGTGCCCGAGAAACTCAGCAACTCTTTCGAAGCATAGAATTGTAGCCCTATCAGTTCCAGATTGACTGGTGGAGTAGGTATATCTAGACCAGTAATCTCTTTATAGAGTGCTCTGGTATCTCCAACATCGGACCCCACATCCATGATCCCTAATTTGCCATCACCAGTAGGTACGGCTGGTGTGGCGACCCAACTCTCATATGACGGCGTGAAAGGAACGAAAGAGAATCTTGTTTCGAGCTGAGCTGGATTATTCTTGGGGAATAATCCGCCATAAAAATGTGGCGAAACGTTCCCGTTTAAAAGATCAACTTTTATGGCGCATTGTAAGGTCATAGACGCCCAACTGACTTGGAATTCTACACCGAAACTTTTTGCAGTTCCTCTCTCCCGGGACGAGAACATGAATCTGCGAAGTTTAACAGCATCGAGGGCCCCAGGAAGGAACTTTGATGGTGAAATATCAGCAGGTACCGGAAGCATTGAAACCAAGAAATCCAATAAATCGGGAATTGTCATCCCTTGGTTGTTCGGGTCCAAAGTTACGACGAAGCTAGTGACCTTTTCCCCAAGCTCTATTGCTGCATCAAAGAGCAATGACTTCGGTGTTCCCTGGACAGAACTGTTGATCTTCACTCTCGCCAACAAAATAATTTCCGTTTCGGATGCGAAATTAAAGTCGACACTTCGTACCCAGTCCCTCGTCCAAACTTTCTTTCCAATTAATTTAACATTGGAAATTTCGAGAGTACCAACTTTCGCCCCAGTAACATTATTAAGTGTGTCCAAAATCTGATTAAGGAACCCCGTTGTTTCGCCGGAGGGTACGAAAGATAATCTCAGGGTCGTTGTATAATCCGCATCCGGGAAAAACCAGAGGGTGTTTTTAGAGCCTTGACTTGCATCCAAGTTGAAAGTGACCTTGTCTGAAAGGTCTAAAACCTTTTGCAAGGTCTTTGAAACCTTGATCTCAAATAATTGCAAAATATCCCTGAGGCTAAAGCCTTTGTCTTTCATATCGTTTGCCGCTGAGGCTCCGAGACTGAGTACCAACATCTGACCAGGCCCAATGGTATCGGTGCTGCTATTATCTGTCTTATCTGCAGGTAGGCGTAGCCAGTCTGGTAACTTAACGCTTCCATCGCTGAATGCATAGGAATTGAACTCGGTTGAAAAAGTGATGGGAACCTGGCAGGCCGGAATTTTGGCAGATGGGTCTTCCCTATTCGTAAAGGCTGTGGAAAGGCGAGTCGTGAAATTGAACGCAACGATATCGGTCTTACTCGCTTTTCCTTTCAGGATATAGTTTTTGTCGTCCAAGAAGCTTCCGAGCACTGTCATGAACCATTGATATAACTCGTCCGAACCATCAATAGCGTTCCAAGCAGCTGTGGTATCGAGTTTGTTTGGAAACACTATGGCCCCGGTTCGAAGCTTCCCCAGAAAAAGGTCTAAGTTGCTTTTTGCCGTGGTCGTCGTTTTATTCGCGATATCTTTGATGATTTTTGCATCCGATGCAACGAAATAGCATAAATCCTCATCGAGACCAGCTCGCCAAAGCGCTCTCCCAGACCTCGAAGGCCGCTCGACGTCCATACGTGTGTCGTCGCTTGAAGATTGTACTTTAGCTAATCCAGCGTCTTCAGCGTCATCAGGGTCATCGTCATCCTGCATTTGCAAAAGCTTTCCAACGGTTGAGTTTGTATAAGCTCCCATTGGTTCATTCATAGAGTTTTCTGTACCAAAAGCGCGCATGGTACGGTCGTTTAATGGCTTTAAGACAAGGAACTCTGCTCGACCTGCCTCCCCAAATGTCTTAATCGTTAAGTCATCACCACCGCCTATAGGGTTCCCGACTTGGAGATCATCTTCAAGATCTTCTTTCATCTCAGCCAAAGTTGCCGATAGTTCTAACTTGGGACCAGTAATTACTCCGATGGCATAAATACCACTATTCATGCCAGTTCTCTCCCACTGATATATTTGAATGGCTCTAACGCCTTGACCTTCTGCTGTCATTATGCTGTTATGGATGTTTGGTCTCCTCGAAAGTGTGTAGTATTCGCTAGCCGGGACAACGGAGAATTTCTCCCACCGGGCCCGAAGGAATTGGCAAACCCCTAATTTAGTCTGTAAACGAAGTCTTCCATCCTCCAACTTGTTTTGAGACTCTGCACTATCTAGTAGCATATCAAGAATCTCTCGGAAAGCTTCCCCCTTACTATTATTATCATCGAGGGAGGCAATAGATCCCGGGTTGACGAATCGTACCTCGAAGTCCTTGCTGGTCTTGTATATATCATATGCGACAAGGTATATTGGATAATTGGTGCACAATAGCCTGGGCTGATGGTGCCTAAACGGCACTTTTATTCTATATGTCCAAAAAGTCCAGACATAGATGAGGAGTAGGGTGTCCCAGGCTATCCAGACACGCGCGGGAAGTAACATTTCGAAGTTAGTGATATTATATGAACATATATCTATCATGGGGAAGGTCTCGTTCGAACTCACAAACGTGATTATGACCTTTCCGTAGTCCATTCGGCCCGATGATGTACAAAGGGTCCAACGCAAACAACATATAAATAGGTGTAGAAAACTTGGACCCTACATGTTTTAGTTTTCCGCACTTTGTTAGTAACGACTACGCCACTTTCAAACAAAAGTATAATGAACGGCCGGAAGAGATATTCAACGGACGCTAGGAAACACACCATGATGGGACAGTTTATGACAAGATATCCTTAAAGGATTCCTCCGCTTGCCGCTCCTCGTGGGCAGTGTAGACCATCGAAGCAATCGCTCCTCAACCAGATCCCCCACATCGCCTCCAAAATAATGAGTTACCACAAAATTGTTGATGGAGTCCGGGTCGTTATTGTCGGGTTCCCCCCATATTATCATACAAGCAATTGATGATTGGTTATTCCCTGAAGTGTTGCCGGTGATAAACTGTGCCGAGCGATTATCTTTGGATGTCTTGTTCATAAATTTGGCGATGGAATCCTCGGCTCCGGTGTTTTGATCGGAGGAGCTTGAAGAACCCGGACTCCTGAGGTAGACGCCAGGATTTTCTGGTAAACTCGATTCCCAGACCATTTCATCAAGGTCATCCCAACCACTTTCATTGCAAAAATAGCTATCCGCGGCAATGCAGAACATAACTGGTCTATTTTGTTTAGCTGCTTTTAGGGCATTCGCTACGTGCTGTGGGGATATCGCGTCGTCTCGTTGCATAACCATTTCGTCGGTGAAAAAGTCTCTTGCGACTAAGTCCTCTCCCGTTCTCAACATTCCTAGGGTGATGTTTCCCCAGAAGCTAACATCTTTCCCTTTGACATTCAAGGTTATATCAACGGCTTGTCGTACCATAATCCTCCCGCGCCTGATATTTAGCTGGAGTGTCCAAACATCCTCTGGTCTTTGGCCCCTCGCATCAGGAGTATTCCTTTTGGGAACAGTACGGGTAGCTTCTCCCTTGCTACTTTTTGCTACTGATTTCTGTATCGTAAAGTAAGGAATATATATCTGCGTAGTAGGTCCGTCGTCGTCGTATCGTATGAAGCTCGCTTTGATAGCGCCGTCATCGAAAAGCTTCTGCAAAGCTGCATCGCTTGTTATAGTTCTCCCCCGACCACCATCCAAGTATTTCCGCACCTGAGCCCTGACATCAGCAGCTATAGCCTGGATAACGCCTCGATAATGGTCTCCATCCCAATGCGTTATGACAATGGCATCGAAGTATGGAGCGTCACCAGTAGATTCGTAACCTAGAGACGAATTAATCATTTTCCAGCATTGTGGTATATTATCGGCATAACTTTCCCGGCCACCATCTACCAGGACTGCACTCTTTATGGCGCTTATTTTTTCACTTGAATCTGAATCCGATACTACATGTTGGGCAAGGACGTGAATTGCAGAGTCGCCTTCATTGATATTGAGGTGAAATGAATGGACTCGATATGTGCCGTTACGTGGAAGTGAATCCATGATTCTACCCCCCCTTGTCTAGCCTGGACGCTATAAAATGGACTGGGTTCGGTCGAATTTTCAAAATCTTTCTCTCGGTATCGATACTTAGACGCAAGTTAATCCTTTGAAGTATCGCGGTCAGTGGAGGAACGTGGGCTTGGTACAATTGGTAACATATACTCCCAGTGTAAAAAAAAAGATCTAGAACGCCAATTCACTAGAATTTTAGGGGGCTTGAGATCTCTTACTCAATCGGACTGACAAAAGTGACCGTTGTAACCGGAGAACTCTAGACCTTGGACCCAGACCTTTCGAAGTTAAATTGAATTGACAGGTCGTAGGAAGCCAATTACAACAACAATAATTAAGTAACGACGGACCAGAGTAAAAACAGCTTTCGCTCAAACATCAACTTTCGACTGTTATTTTCTCTTATTTTGTTCTGTTCGTATTTTTTAATTTTTAGTTTTATAAATTTATCAGCAAGAGTTATTTTCGGTACAATCCAGCAGTGATGTCCAATGAAAATTAACACAGGATAGAAGACAGAAATCCTGGCGTAATGCTGGCGCCATGGCTCCCAACCATGGAGTCCCCCTCTCGACGGCTGGACTCTCTCTCGGCTCTCAACCGACCAGACACCACCGGCCCCTTCACTTTCCGCATGGTTTACTTTGCCATCTTTGAGTAGAACAACCAAATTCGATTCGTGATACTTCAGCAGGACTCAAATTTTAACCGGGCCCTGTTCGAAATCGAAACCAGAAGCTCGACAAAAACCCGCAATATCAGCCCTGTGGTAATGTTGTGGTAAAGCGTTAGGCTCTTGCATGCATTAATGCAATCGCTGCCATTGGCCCTGACCCCTGCAAGTTCAGCCCTTCCAGCCCGCTTTGACATTCGCACATGCATGATCATAAAGCATGGGGTTTCCTGCGGGATGGGAAAACCCTCGTCTTGACATGGTACGCTTGGAAAAGTACCGCTACATCAAAGAAAGCCTTTCGAATTATAATATTATTGAGATTGGGGATAGCACAAACCTCTGCGGGAATAAGACTCAGAGTCGCTATCCGCAGAGCTTAAGCTTGCGGGGTCGACCGGTTTTGACTTGCAAAAACCTGACGGTTAAGATATCCTAAGGATTATTGTACATTTTTCTAATCCTACATGCAAAATAATAGTTCCTTAGAATGCTAGGCTTACAAGATATTGTGCAGATGTTCGCTATCGGGCTGCCATCGTCCTTAAACAATAAAAAATAAATATAAAAACATGCATTGAGACAATATTGCAATTAATTCGTGAAATATCTATGGTACCAAGGAAGGAAAGAATTATAACTTATTACACCACTTGTTATCACCCACAGAGATATCCAAATCATATTTTTTCTTTTTTAGGCTGCTTATCCTCCACAATCGGAGCCCTCATCTGCAAATAACCTTCAATCGCTGTCTTCGGCCCCTTCTCAAGGTTCAACTTCGCTTGTTCCTTACTAATATCCAAAGCCATGAATCCCTCTGTATACGGCTGAAGCCAAGCCCAATCAGCAACCGGAAGCGCCGGAACCTTTGTCGCCGTGGCTTCAACCGGTTCATTTTTGAGATACTGACTATCCTCGCTACTAAGCTTTTTACTTGGCATGAAATCCGGAATATCGGTATCCAGGATAATGGGACCTGCGTGAAAGAACCCGGTCATTTTCTTTAATGCGGATTCCCATGTCCACGTTGGAAGTTTTAAAGATTGGACCGGCAGAAGACTTGTGTATGCTGTAACCGGAAGGAAAGGATCAATTAAAGCGCCGTAGACTTGAAGTCTTTTGTTTCTCTGCCTTTCAAACTCTAGATGTCCATCTTTTGCAAGGAATCCTGCGTTTTTATCGTTAAGGTCGAGCCACCAGCATTTAAAATGGGGATAGTTTTCGTTATTGATTATCTTGATGGGGCTTTTCTTGTCAGGATCATCGGGTGGGTTCTTTTGGAAATATGTATAGATCTTTTTAAGCTGAAGGTCGTCGTCGGGACGGCGAGTGAATTGGTCGAAAGAATTGAAATATCCAACGAGACCGTCATTTGCCCGCCCCTTATCGCCAAACTTAACAGGGAAAGAATAAACTTTGAGGTTTTGGGGATCTGGGAGTAGACCCCATGGATTACTCAAGTTCTTCTGATTGTTCAACGTGGATTGTGTCTTTTTGGGAGCTGTCGCGAGCTCAAGGGACCATCCCATATTTACCAGCGCCAATGGCCGTCCGACTAAAGCATTGACAAACTGACCATATGAACTAGGCGGCACAGTCGTTCTGTCCAGGGCATCCGTGATCATATCAACGAAAGATAGAAGGTATATCTGATCCTTACTCAACAACTCATCGATGAGTCGGTCAAGCTGAGATTTTGTTCCTTCAGTTGCCGACCTCTGGTGATCGAACGGCAACCATTTCGTAGAACCATTGGTACCTTGTGTTACCCTTACTTCTCTATAAAATGTACCGTCGGGTTGATATAGCTGTAGCCCTTGGTCAACATAGTTAACCACTACCCACCCCCAAATCGGATTCTCCCATTCCAGGGAAGGTCGCCAGTAGGACCCAGCCTCTCCCTTTTCGTCATGCATGACGAAGGTACAGTTCAGCCGGGCAGGTTGGTTGATATATGGCGGGAGTTGGATGAATTCGCAGTGACCCGGTTTATCAGACCTTGACGGATCTACTACGTTTGGTATATTTTTCGATTGTGAAACGGGCTGTGGGGAGTAGAACTCGCTGACGCAAGGATACACAGGAAGACTACCCTCTTTTGCTTTAGGATCAATCGCATGGATTGCTTGGCCGAATTTATCAACTATATTTATCTTTCTAAACCGTAATTGGCCATGTGTAGCCGGCTTAAAGGCGGGAAGTTGTAGATCGAGGAGACTGCCGTTCGGACCGTAAGGAGTCGGATCGGACTCTTTATCAATCAGAGCTAGTTTCTCCATAGTGAGGCCTATCCTGATAGCAGCATCTCTTGCATCCCTAAGTGGCCTCGGGGCGACTCCAGGCTCACGAACTAGCGGCTTTACATGGTTACCGCTATACGTCGTTGTGAGATGGTGGGTCAGCCCCTCTAGTGGACAAGAAAGATACGCCATCTTGTCAAGATTCTTCTTTAGGTCCTCGCGCCGGGTTTTGTCAAGGTATTTGTCCAATTCTGTGGGAGGTACACTGCTGAACAACTGCTCTATCTGAGCTTTAAGATTGAAGCTCGGCTGCGGGAGTATTAGGTTCCGACCAGAAATTAGTCGTACATCTTCTTTGTACTTATCCCGAACATCGAGGATGAGCCCATACGTGTATTTATTATCTGGTGGAGGGAACCTGCTAGGACGTTCCATGATCTCCCAGGAAGCGAAAGGGATATGGGTATATTCCGCTTCCCATTCCACGTAGAGTGGAAACCACGGCTGGGTAGAAGCCCATCGATCTCGCCAGGGATTTGTGGGGCCTGGACTGTCTGAGGATTGGCCATCGTGATATAGTGGAAAGTATTTTCCAGCGGGGCTTTCCTCAAAGGAGGTCTTCTGAGCGAGCAGCAAGAATTCTTTCACGGCAGAAGATCCACTACCTTGAATTTCGGATGGGAGACAATCCAAACCATAGGGCTTTCCAAGTTCGGGGTTATCTGGTTGAGTAATGACTTGATTATCCAGTCGAGCCAGTAATTTATCTTGAAAATCGCGAGGCCAGCCAGATCCGACTCCACCGATCAAAAGAGTCGGATCTCTTTGTTGTGAAAACCGAATAAGGGTACCTTTCTTCGGCTGGACCCCGAAGCGGGCTTCGATATCGATTTCTGTTATCCGTTGTGACTGTGGGTTCGACCTGAGAGATTGTGTATTTACACCAATCCAGCCGTTTATAAGCCTCTGCACGTTGTCTCGGGCGGCTGCTAAGGCTGTGAGTAAATCATTAATATCTGCGACTTCCGCCCTGTAAGCGTCGTCTCTTCTGCCATTAAGATTATCATGATCTGATATGAATTTCCACCAAACGGAAAACAGATTCCACCTAAGTTGTTGCATTCTCCTTAAAATGGCATCCAGAAACCGTTGTGCAGAATTAAGTTCCCTCATATTTTTTTTATCCGGATCAGACGGGGCCTTAGCTGGCTCTTTTGCGTTTTCCGTATCCGCAAAGGTGAACTGTGATCCGCCATCAAAGTGTGCAAAGTTGTGGCTTTGAACCTCATCCGCCGCAGAAATAAGAGAGTCCAGAGAATCATCTTGCGCCCGCAGCAATGGAGCTAAACTGTTAAGATTATCTGCTAGAGAGCCATCCGGTTGGTGATGCGCATTGACATACGCCAGAATTGAGTCCATCGGGGTTGTTCCAATTGCTATTGGCATATCTTCATTGAGTTTCTCTGAGAATTTATTCGCCAGGACGGTTGTAGGGAGCGCACTGCCCTTCCATTCGACGTCATACATGGCGCCATGACAGAGCGTTCGGGAAGAATCAGTAGACTTCAGCCAGTCAGCGATGCTCCCTACGGCATTCTCTTGGTCATTGAGTCGCATATTCAATGCGGCTAATCTATCCTGCCGGCTTATCGCATGACTTGGGTCAGAAAAGAGGATATCGTTCGCGGATTCGGCTTTCCAACCAATAACGTAGTAGTCAGCTTTCGCTGACACCAACGTTTTCTTAGCTCCATTTTCAGCATATTCAAATGTATCAAGCATAGAAAAGACATTTCCACAATGATATTGAAGATCTGGAAAAAGTTGATTTGAACTACTAGCAACCGTCAAGCCAACTCGTGGCTTTGCACTATATGTCTCCTTCCAAGTCGAAGCATCTTCTCTATAACCAATAAAGACTTCGGCTTGTTCATCCAGCCGTATATCCTCACTACTTTGGCTGTTTTGTAGGACAGAAGTAATGAACGGAGCAACATCGACTTGAAGATCGACATTGGCGCCCAAATTGTCTATATTATGGCGCCGGTCACTTTCAACCACCCAAGCTTGGACAGGCGCGATCGAAGTATTCGTAGGCACCGTGGAACTCGCCTTCGGGTCGAGTTTTCGAATTACCAACCAACGGTTGGGTACTGCCGGAAACTGAGGTGCGCTTACATCCACCTGTTTGTTCTTGTCATCTTGGACCCGAAGACCTTTCTTGTGAAGGGCTTTCTCCGATTGATTAGAAGATTCTGTCGCTGCTGTTCCCCCTCGATATGGGCGTGGTAGTAGCCAATGAAGATAGACGCCTTGTCTATTCGTTCGAGGTAAATTTGTTCCCAAATCTGTAAACCGAGAATTGCGATCCGCAGGCGATGCATTGTGGAGGTCCGTATGATCTAGAATATCTGGTTCTACCAAATAGTCGTTGAGTCTGAGAGAAGTATAGTTGGGCTGGATGATAGGCGCGATTTTGGCGTCCTTGGGTCCTCCATTGCACACTGCTTCGTTGAAAACGAAAGCATCTAGTTTCATTGGGATGAGAAGATTTTTCGGTTCTGCCATTTTGTCTTGTAAACCACCAATTGCTTCTGAACTCCCAATTGTCCCAATCAGTACTTCAATAAAGGGCCATAGATTGTGCGATAGTCACTTACTGCTAAAATCTACGAAATCGCGTCTTTAATGAACATATAGGTAAAATTCGACGTCGTGGGGTCAAATTTTTAATGAAGCTAAGTTCAGGATTCTTGGCCCTACATCGGCTGCCCTGATTCAAGGCCAACTAAAAATAAAGATAGAAACGACGAAGTCGCGACCGCTAACCAAAGGGACCTCGTTGGATGAGTATTCTGGCACACCTAGGCACGAGCTGCTCGACACAGCGAATACAACTTTAATACTATACATTCGTGGACCAAAGCTTCATTCGGCCTTACAGCCTCCAAAGTTCGCGTCTTGGTACCAGTACTTTCGTACAGGTACATTTTAAAAGATGTGAGGCAAATTGTGCTTGTGGGTGCATCACGGATGGACAAAGTCAAACGGATCCGGCATGATGCATGAGAATGAGGTGTTCACAGGTGATTCCCTGAAGGATGAAACTGCGGCTGCAGGATACGTCCAAAAGCTAGTTTGGCGACAATATTACCCGAAGAAAATCAATCCTCGGCCATAGTTACTCTCAAGCTGACAAGGTAGCTAGGCCCAGTTACGAGCTACTCCAAAAAAACAGCTACACAGCCGATGTGTCTGTGCATAAAGCTGAAATTACGGCTCCCATGACCATATCCTCATAAGGCGGATCAAACCCGAAGCCAAGCCCAGCTAGCATCACACGGGGGGTCCAGAAATTTAGAAACTCGAGGTTCTCTTAGCCCCAAAGATGCAACAAAAGTTAAGCTTTTAGACCCCTGAAAGCGAAATGACAGGGGTATCAGAAACGGTGGCTCTAACTAAGCTTGTTCAAAAGAAGCTCCGAGTGCGATAGTGCATGTACATCTGCATGAAGGCGACAGGGTAAATTCAGTCTTGAACAATTGAGATCATTAACTCAGCCGCAGTATAGCTGTCGCCATTTCGGACTTGGTATTTTTCGGTCTTCTAGACCGCTATGATTTTTCTTATCGGAAAATAGGAATAGTGCATGCAAGAGTGCTTGCTTTCAGGCCTGGGTACGAGACAAGAATGCCTGTAATTTTATTCGCTATGATCCTAGTGCATATTTCTATGAGCACAATTCGTAGCCTACCCCGCTCCCCACCCTATTTAGGCCCGTTTTATAGATGGTGGGAATAAATATGGGCGCCATTTGCGTCTATGAGGAATAAATGGTAACCATTATCAGAAACTCTGCAGCCCTCAGTAGTCGGTTTTCCCATTCTTTATTGGATTCGTAGAACGTCTACTATAAACATATAGAACTCTAAAGATTTGTTTGCACGGATCCGAACTTATCACATTGTAAGTTTCGCATTACAGACATTAACTTCTACCAAATATATCAAAATTGCCCCGAGTGAACTCGAGTACGCAATCAATCGACTTCTAATAGAAATATCCCTTATTTAACCAACGTATGAACGAGCTCCGTGTAACTCCTGCCTCCTGTCTCAATATAGAAAATATGATTATGCTTAGAATCCGTAGTCACAGTCAATTGCGAGTTCGCATTAACTTTTTTGGACTTGGGAACAAGGATTGGGGCCTCCCATTTGCCATCAATGCCCCCCCTCTTAATAGAGCAAACAAGATCCTTCGATGGATCCACAAAATAGACGTAGGTCACAAGACTATCGCCTGAACCACTGATTGTTGCAGCCAAGGGAGTTCCTGGGAATGCGGCAGAGCGGTTGAGAGTTTTCGCTGTAGCGGGTAAAAAGTTAGCTTATGCTATATGCTTCATAAAATGTCGAAGAATAGGGTACCCACAGCTATCTTCGTCGCGGCTTGGGAAGTAAGCGTAGATTTTGTTATCATTGTCGTTATCTTGGTAGAACAGAATACGATCATCAGATTCTGGGTATTTGATGACGGCTAGTTTTGAGTTGACGAGTGGCTGAAGGTCTTTATTCAGAGGATTTGCCTGAGCTGAGTCGACATTGATGGTGCTCTCGTAGATGATTGGGTCCTCTCCTGGCGCTCTGTCATGATCATCTCTTATTAGTCTCTACTAGACTTTTCTATGGGAAAGTCTGCCATGATATTCTTGACAGCACTTACGGCAGTTTGGTGTAGTAGATCCATGTAGTAGTATCGCCATCATCCGCTGCAGCTAGGCCGAACAAACTTGTTTGCATATCTTCTCCAGCCTTGACAGGATTGACAATTGGGCTCAACTGGGCAACATAGTTAACTTCCGTCTTCGGAGAGTCGTCTGTCCCAGATGCGTCGAATTGACTGGCGGGAAGGAAGCCATAGACTGTAATCTAGTATATCAAGTCATAATGTCAAAGTTAGTCCGACTAAAGAAATAAGGCACGTTGACATAATGCAGAGCCAGCTGAGAGGGGCTAAAATAAATTGATACTTACCACACCCTGACGGACGACAGTAGCAAGAACACCAGGAGTTGCAAATCTACCATCAATAGTTCCATTATCATTGTGCAATCTACGATTACTAGCAGCACCAGGATCTAAAGGCCATCTTTCAAGGGCCAGTTGACGCTTCGGTGTGATATAGTAGAGAAGAGTCTCTTTTTGATTGAAAGGGTTCACGACCGATGTCACAGGATTAGAAGCAGATGCCATTTTGTTGTATAAGGGTAGAGTATCTGATGGGTTCTAGTGAACTATTTGGGAAGAAAATAGATAGGTGTATTGCAGAAGCTCGAGGATTCTAATTTGGAGATATTTTACCTTGGTCGATTTTTAGAAAGATCTCCAGAAGGAAGTATTAAATACTCATACCCCACTAGATGCTCGATGTCGACTTGTATAATCGTGAATACGTGCTCAAAAATATTTGCTTCTCAAAATAAATCAATGTGGTCATCTCGAAGACGAGAGCCAGCCACAAAAAAAAACTTCAGCTGTCCGCCGAAATCTAGTTCTAGCTGCAGAACCCACGCCTCGTTCAAATCATTCGCAGGATCTAGCACTGTGATCTAGACACATGACCAAATTTTGCACTGAAACTGCCCGGCTGAGCTTCCGACCCCTCTTCCAACACTGGTAGCTACCTACTTAACTTATACTTCGAGTCATTTTTAGATCCGAAGTGGTGGCAGACTCCGAATGCACCAATCGGCTCGCTGCTAAACAACGGACAGAGGAAGATCGAGGGTTCATGAAAAAAGAAAATCCTTAGGCCGCCAAAAGCCTCAGATAACTTACTACTCAACTGCTGCTGCATGCCGTAAGCTGTCCCCATATTAATCTCGACATTCCGTACGTAATGATCCAATTACCCCTCACGGTAATTACGCAAACCTAAGATAGATACATAGGATAAGGAAACAGCCGAGCCGTCAACTGTTTCTAGATTTTCAGCCCTACCACCCTTTTGTTCTTGAGTAAAGATTCCACAATATGATGTAAAAACGGGTGCACATTAGGTGGGAGTACCTAGTTTTACGAAGGTTAGCCTGAATTATTGAAAATGAACAAAGTTTCACGATTACTTAAGTATAAACCACTACTTAATGCCTGATTCATCATAAAACCCCTCCTCCACATCCCAGCCTTAGGTCGATCAGCCATCTGCAGCGAATTCAATTTATCGGTGTCTTCATCCCAGCCTTAACGGAGTGCATGATATTCGACGTTATCGATTGGACAACCATCTCTCGAGCAAGGACAGGGACAAGGACAAGGCGGTACGTAGGTCGTAATCGGAGTCGCAGTTCGTGCAGACTGCATTCGCATATGCACCTAGAATCAAGTGCTTAAGTGCGGCTGAACCCTCCGCTTTGCAGGACACACTGTGCAGCTGTGTCCCGTGTTGGAATTTGAGGTTTAGCATGCAGGGTGCTATCCCCTGCTATGGCGCGAAATAGCGGGCCCCCGGCACCAAAAATAAAAAATTTAACAAATCCAACAAACTCAAACAGAACAACACAATTTTGTTCTTTTTCATACCATTTTGTTTGATAAATCAGTTTTAAAGTTCGGAAACTCACAAAATAAACTAAAATAAAATAAAATAAAATAAAATAAAATAAAATAAAATAAAATAAAATAAAATAAAATAAAATAAAATAAAATAAAATAAAATAAAATAAAATAAAATAAAATAAAATAAAATAAAATAAAATAAAATAAAATAAAATAAAATAAAATAAAATAAAATAAAATAAAATAAAATAAAATAAAATAAAATAAAATAAAATAAAATAAAATAAAATAAAATAAAATAAAATAAAATAAAATAAAATAAAATAAAATCAACACAAAATTAATATAATTCAATTTTTATCAAAGATTTTTTTTGTTTCGAAAAAAAAAAAAAAAT